ATTCTTAATTATAACTTTTAGTATCCGGACAAATAGCTCCTTAAGCTTAGCTTCACTGTATATGTAAAGGTGCTCCAAGCACTAGGATATGTTTTAATTTCATTGTTAGTTGGTAGAGTGGGAAAACCTTACTATTAGCCATAAAGATAATATTCAGACAGGGCTCACTAAGTATTAAACTATTAGAACTATATTAGTGCTATCTAATAATGACCTACATATACATAAGTCATAGTTTAAGCATAATGAGACATGTTTATAAGAAAGGCCTAAGCTTAGAACTTACGGAGCTCGGCGGCCTATAAATATAGAACTAATCTATATATATATAGTAAGAACTAAATTATAACTAATTAGTTCCTCATTGTAACCTATATATACTAGAGAGAAACTATACGTAGATAAATCTAGGTTTAAACCTTGTAATAAAAATTTCATGTATGTAATATGGGAATTAAACAGCTAGAGGCGAAAGAAGGCTATTAAGGCTAAATAGAGCATATACCCTAAATATTATAATATTATCTTTACTAGTTTATAGGTATAGAATAATTAGCCCAGCTAAAACTCCTTTATTTTATATATACATGTTAATAATTCTATAAATATAGCCTTAAATCTTCTTTCTTACCTTCTGGGCTATTTAGTAGACTTTTATATCAAAACTAAGGCAAGTTTCTACTACTGAGACCTAACTATAGAAATATGTAGACTGATAGCTGATAAGTCTGGCGACGCTTCCTGATTCAGTGAATTCTACCCATTTACCTACCTACATTCGATATAACTAAGCACATAATAATTATTTTAACTTTAACCATATAAATTAATTAATTATATATCCCTCTACCTATTCTACTTCTAATACCTAGTAATATAATACCTATCTAGACGCTTTATAGCTATAATTCGTCTAGGCCACTAACCGAATTAGGGTTATCAAATGTCCCCTAATCCAAAGCATCATATGCCTCGTACATATAGTCCTTAAAGAACTCCTAATCAGCCTCTGTTTAACCTATTAACTAATTTAAGATGTAGTCGAAAGATCTTAATTTTGAAGTCTCTAAATAGGCTTAATTCGGTTTAAATAGGAGAGTACGGAGGGTAATCTACGTCAATACTATATTCCAAACTACTCTTGTGCAACCGACGATTGTAAATCTTCGCTTTATCTTTTTAAAAGATAATACTAGGTCTATAGCGCTTACTTCATAAGGCCCTCATCGAGGGCATTAAGATATGATTTGGTAGTAGATGTATCCGTTGCCAGGCAAGTTAGCATCTTAATCTATAAAAATCGACCCCGTACTTACTAATCTAGACTATAGCCTAAACTATTTACGAAATATCCTTCATATAAGGCTTCACATTCATAAGATTACATCGATATGGTTTAGAATAGAAGCGAAATTACTATTAATCGCTAGAATTAGATGTATCTCAAACCGGACATTCATTTAAAAGATCATATAGTTAAACAGCCTATATCTCCCCTAAATTCGAGCGAATCACTTCTGTTTTCGAGTAGTAATATCATTTAAAGGTATCTAGAACTTCTGTTTACCTCTATTTGTATTATTATAACTCTAATGCTTTAAAATTCTACGAATAGTATTACGATACGGATTTCTAGGTAGTTTATAGAAAGGACCCTATAACTCTACCACGGGTTCTAATAAGCGCGATGAAGATTTTTCTATAACTATATTAGGTAAGATCTTTAGGGCGACCTATACAAGGGCGAGATTTACCGTCTACACGTTGTTAGAATTGATAGCGTGCATAGTAGGTTATGCTATGACAGATGCTTAAATTAGAAGCGATTTTAGTAGGCGATTTCCCTACTTCCAGCGTATACAAAATTGTAAAGTGCGTTAGGGCACACAGTCTAGCATTTAGCCTTCTATTTCCACTTAGTTCGTTCCTAAACCGACGTATAATTGTTAAGTAAACTAAAAAACAAAATAGGAGACGCGTCGTACACGCGCTAAAATTGGGGCGGTGTCGCCAAACTAATCGTACGCGTTGTACTAAAAATCATCTATACCTAGAGAAATATAAATATTAGCAGAACGCTACTTATTTACAGGTTGAAACCTACAATAAACGTTATAAACCTTTTTACCTTCTAAGTCTAATAATAATACTACTCTTAACTTGGGTTAACTTGAAAATACTTAATAGAAAGCTAATACTAAGATTTATTAGTCTATTCTAGGTTTTTAGAGTCGTTAGATTATGAGTATCTCGCCTCAGTCTCGTAAATTAATATTATTATATTTTATATTAAATTTACTGTTATCTACTTAAGCTATAAAAAGTAACTGGAAATAGATATAGAGAAGACAGAACCAATTACAAAATATAGGAGTAAGCTAAAAAAAAATTTAATAGCAATTATTATTAGACTTGTATTATATATACTCTTAGTAAGTTACACTCTATACAGTAAGTTTTTACTATAGTATTAAAAATAGTAGAGTTATTATAATAACTACCAATATAGCCTTGATAGACTATATTGGATCAGTGTAACTCATTATTATATATTCTTCGAAAAGTTAGGTCTAATCTAGTAGTTTTGCAAGATTAGGTTAATTATGAAGTATTATATAGTTTATTTAGGAGTAAATTTCGTATCTAAAGTAGCCCTAATACATTTATTTAATAAAGAAGCTAAACTAAGAAATATAAGGCCTTTAATTATACTCTTTATACTATTTTAAAGCAAGCCTATTATACATATAAATGACTAAGAAATCCTTATCTCCTTTACCTCTTTGTTAATTATTTAGCCGAGTTAATTACTGTCTTATAGTTGAAAAGTACTTTATAGTATTCGAAGCATATTATCTAGGGTCTATTATAAGAGACAGGATTTATATCTATCACTATCGAGATAGGATATAAGTTCTGCAATATGGGTAATTAGGGTCCGTATTTATTAAATCTCTTTATGGGGTAATACAGTGACTAAGTTATATAGATGGTTCGAACCTAAGCTAAAGAATAGCATGTATGGTCCATACTCATAAATATAAAGCTATTTACTGTATTTTCTATGGGTGCTAAAATATTCACTAGATATCTATTAAAGGCTAACTAGGTATTAAAATAATGTCTTATCTAATTAGTTTTAGGTATGCGTAAATTATTTATGCTATTCCTCTATCTGAGGAGGAAGCAGGCTTCTCTGAGACCTTAGGCTTGTCTTACTTCGGTATCCTTATTATCTGTAAGGGTCATAATATCGATTAAGGTAAAAGGAGATAAAATGTATTAGGTGTTGAGGTAGTGTGCACTACGTTTATACTTGGGGCATTTTAGTTGGGTTAATTATATCCAATATGGCCCTATGTCTTATGATAAATGTAATATTACATCTTAGTTGGTTTAATCTTTGTATATGTATTGTTAATAGTAGAGCTTCTCTATAGGGTAATCTAGAAGTTTGGGGCGTCCTTGTATACTACTATTGGTTCTTTATAGAGTCAATGGCTAGTATATATTGTAGTGCGTCTCTCACGCCGTAATTCCTGGGCGGGGCGGGCGGGTCACCCCAGAACACTATGATAGATAGTAAATGGAATATTTTACAACTCGGTATCCCAATAACGGTAGCTTAATACGAAGTTTTATAGTATATATACGTATATTTTGGATCATATGGAGCCCGATTACGAGGTTTGAGGGGTTGTCATACTTCGTAGTTCAGATATATATATCTGTTGCCCGGATAGGCTTTTTTTTTTCCGGGCAACGCAAGGAGTTATTTTTTAATATTTTTTTTTTAACTTAGATCTAGGCGAGTGCATACCGTTGATCGTGCCCATAATACAACCATTCCAAGATTCACATGGAATATCAAGCCATGGTTGTTGAAATATCGAGTTGTAAAAATCAAGCGTCTATTACGTTACTTTGGGCGGACCCGCTCGCCCAGGAATTACGTTAGTAACTAGTTTATCATAGTTACCTAGTATGTCAAAAGTATTTCCTTTATATTATTCAATACCAAGGGATTAAGCGTCTAGACAAAGATACCTTACGAAAGTATAGTATACGACGTGTAGCCATTCTCGTGCGTCTAGACGGTCCCTATCTATGATAGGAAAAAGGATGATAAAAAAGGGAGCAAACAACAAAATACGGAAAGGCAACCAAGAAAGTAAGAACAGTCTTGGTAGAAGACTAGATTAGGATCCAAACACGTGGTTCTATAGCAGGAGGCATAGTATGCAAGCTCACCATAACCGATAGCACGCATTCGCAGTAGATAAGAAAACCAAAAATACATCCGGCCCTGGCAGAAAGAGAGTAATAAAGAATCGGTCGGCCCAGTCCACGCCCAGATGCCTATCAACATCGAAACGGATGGACGGTAGCTACCCACCACGACCAGTGGGTAGAGGCCACCGGTATGATCGACTCTTGCCGTCGCAGGGCGGGCATCCCACCAATCAGGCATCCGGGCATGCCCCAGGCATCCACCAGGCATCCCCCCATCATCACGCACATCCCTCCTCCCTCGGTCGATAACGTCAGGTGATCCCCTCGGCCGGCCGTAATTGAGTTTGGCGCTGCTGCCTGTGATGTCTCTGCCTGACCATCTCCTGCCACGCTCATTGGTCCCCCCCACACGATCCGATCGCCGCTGGCTGACCCCCAGCCAATCACCGCCAGCAGGGCCCCGTCAGCGTGATATGAGTCAAGGCGGTGCTTGTCACCTGTTATCGCCACAGACAAAGAACCCCCGAAACTGACAAATCACTGGCCTGCTTTCCATTGACTTCCAATCCTACTTCTACCATCTCTCTCCCATCATCCCCCGTAATCCTCCTTCTGCTTCCTCTCTCTCTCTCTCCCTCTTCCCTTTCCCATTAGCATCATCCATAACCATCCTCACTGTTCCCCCCCAAACCCAAACCAAACCCCACACCCGTGCCCCTCCATTCCCTAAATTCCACTGGCGATCGCCCCTGCGTCCTGATCGGAAAATGACCTCATCCGTTGGGCTGCAGCAAGGCAAGCGCCCAACCACCATGAATAATCACCTCCCCTCGGTGTCCAGCCTCATGTCGCCTCCCGAGACGAAGCCGCTCGAGAGCTTTCACTCCTCCTTCTCGCCGCTGATGCCTCGGGACACGTCGCTCGGTGGCGATGTCACGCTCCCGCCCATCTCAGCAGATCGGAAGCGCACCCAGTCCGAGATGGACCTGCCTTCCCCACCAGTGACCCCGTACACGGGGAACAAGAAGAGGAGATCGCAAACGGCAGAGCAGATCGAGCGAGATGTCAGCTCGTCGCGGGACCCTGTCCTCTTCCCGCGCCACGATTCCATCACCGAGGTTGCCACTGATGAGCCGCTCTTCGGCCCCATCGCCCCGCCAGCCGCTCAGGCCCTTGTGGAGCAGCACATCAATTCCCACATGGCCAGGTTTGACAACAAACTGAACAAACCGACCCGGGATGAATATCTCCTGGCGCTGTCGTGTGTGCCGATGGTGTCGACCCACTACAACCGCAACCCGCTGGCCTGGGCCAGGGAGGAACGCGAGACCCTCGAGCGCCAGCTGATCTTGATGAACCGTTATCGTCCCGACGCGGAGGCGAAGCTGAAGAAGATCGCCCCAGCCCCATCCAAGAAGATGGGAATCGCCCACACACGGGTGCAGCGCGCACCCCGCGTCAAGCGAACCCCCAAATCTACCCCCAAACAACAGGCCCTGGATCACTTTGATTCCCCCGGGTCGGCCGCGAAACCCTCCCGCACCCTGGGAACCGCCCGGGATGACACAGACTTTCACTCTCTCCAGGACTACTCACCCTCGGTGGAAACGCTCGGTGGCAATGCGAAAGCCCTGAAAGCGGACTGGAAGGGCCAGATGTTAGACTTGAGCAATGACCCGGACCGACATCTACTCAGCCCGGCCGAGCTCAACCTTGCCTCCACGTTGCGCCTGTCGTGCGCGACATATCTCTGCAGCAAGCGCCGTATCTTTGAAGCCCGCGTCAAGGCTTTGGGAGTCGGCAAGGAGTTCCGCAAGACGGATGCTCAGCAAGCCTGCAAGATTGATGTCAACAAAGCAAGCAAGCTTTGGACGGCCTATGAGCGTGTTGGCTGGTTCAAACCTGAGCTTTTCACCCGGTTTCTGCGGTGAAGGGCTCTGTTGTTCCATGGACCCTGGCCACCTCGCCTCCTGGCAATATCTTTTCTCACATACCTAGTCCTTTTGTTGGTTATGCTTTCCTCTGCTGGCGTGGGATGATCACCAGCGGTCCCTCCCTCCACTCCCGGCCTTCGAGAGAGTGCCCTCCCTCCCCTGGGGACGAACGCTTTCCCCCCCGAGTAACTGACCCATCTGCCGTCCCTCGGTGGACGATTCCGACTCTTTGACCCATTACAATTCCAGCATCGTCTTGCTTTGCTATACACAGAGACAATGACTCTGGATGGCATCTAGGATTCATGCCATCCCCACAGTTAACCTTTCGGCTTTCACACGACCCAATGGCTCTTGAACGATTACGATTGCATTGACGACAACATTCCTTTCTCTGATTTTATTTCCTAACCCGTTTCACACCCTCTCGTTTCTTGCTGTTCGGCTCCTGGCTTTCGGCGTTTGGTGCTGTCCTGCTTTTTCACTTACGTCTAGAATGGTAGGATTTGGTCTCTGGTGTTCGCCTCTTGAATGATTTGATATTTGTTCTCTCGGAGGGAACTCGGGCAGATAGGATGATGATAGGCTTGATACCCTGACATAACAATGGAACCATTCTCTTTTCCAATTCCCTACCTATGAATCAGTAGTACTTAGTAACTAGTTCGTATCTTTCATCCATCGTCATGGTTCCCACCACGGTGCTTACATAACCACCAATCACAGCGCCGGGGTCACGGGCAAGTCAGGCCGCGCCACCTTTTCCTAACATTCGTTTCGTCTTCTGGCTCAAGCTTTAGTCTTCCCTTCAAGGCTCCCCTTCTTCATCCATTCACGTCCATTATTCTGCCCACCATGTCCCAGGCTGAGGCGACACGCACCGAATCCATCGACGAGCAGGAGCATGCTCGAGATGCTGACGACAAGAAGCCCAAGTCCCGGAGACCCGCCAGTACGCACTCGGAGAACCTTCCTGCACCCCTTCAACTCGGCTGATGGTTTTAATAGATACGGCGTTTCGACAGCAGCGTTTGAAAGCATGGCAGTGAGTATTGTCGCTCGACCGTCCTGTTCCCACCGCTTTGGAACTGCGCGCTGACCACTCCGACAGACCGATCCTGACTCCCAAAAGTGTGCTTCCTCTGTTCTTCATAGTTGGTGTTTTGTTCGCCCCGATCGGCGGGGTTCTCATATGGGCGAGCTCACAAGTAAGCCTGTTCCTCCTGTTTCCACATTGAGCTTGAGCTGACGGGGGTTTGTGCATGTAACAGGTCCAAGAGATCAGCCTCGATTACAGCGACTGCATAAAACTAGCGCCCAACGTTAGTAGCAGTGACGTTATAACATCAGGGAATAACGCGTACTTGAGTCCCGATTTGGTATCGTCTACCTTCCGGACAAAGTCTTCACAGAAGCCGAAGCCTTATTGGAGCAAAACCTGCGATTCGTCGGATTTGTGTACCTGCCACCTTTTCTTTGAGATTCCCAACGAACTTCCGGCACCGGTGTACATGTACTACCGTCTCACGAATTTCTACCAGAATCACCGCCGATACGTTCAGTCGCTGGAGTTGGACCAACTGAAGGGCACCGCGGTCCCGAATTCCACTATATCCGGAGGCACCTGCTCTCCTCTCGACATCGATCCCGTTACGAAGAAGGCCTACTATCCATGTGGGCTCATTGCCAACTCCCAATTCAATGACACCATCGGAAACCCCGTGAATCTAAACTTAAACTCAACCTACAACATGAGCAAGAACGGAATTGCCTGGGCAAGTGACAAAGATCTCATCAAGAAGACCCAATACCAGCCAGACGAGGTGGTCCCGCCCCGCAACTGGGAGCGCAGGTATCCTGACGGATATAATGCCTCTAACATGCCCAATCTTCATACCGACGAAGATTTTATGGTTTGGATGAGAACCGCTGGCTTGCCGGCCTTCAGCAAACTCTCTCGTCGAAGTGACGATGCCTCCATGCCGGAAGGCCTGTACCTGTTGGACATTGTGGACAGTAAGAAGCGCTCGACCTCTTTGGCTTGTCGGATGCTAATTATGAGCTAGATTTCCCGGTGACCGAGTACGACGGAACCAAGTCAATTTTGATCTCTACCCGTACTGTCATGGGTGGCAAGAACCCTTCTATGGGGATTGCCTATGTGGTCATTGGCGGTGTCTGTGTGCTCCTCGGGGTGTTGTTCACGATTGCACATTTGGTCCGACCCAGGTAAGATCTGTTTTGAGTGACCGTCGCAGTTTCTGGGCTAATTTGTGGCGCAGGAAATTGGGTGACCACACCTATCTCACTTGGGAGTCGAATCAACCCAGCACCGCAGTCGCCACAGGCCGAGATGATCGATTTGGGCCTAATGCCATTTGAGAACCTCACCTTCAGGCACTTTCAATTTTTTCCATGGCGTCTTCTATTTTCTTTCTTTCTCCCTGGACTGGATCTGGCTGTACTCAATACCTTTTTTTTTTGTTTTTTGTGTTTTTTTTTTTTGTCCCTGCGCGCACTGGGCTTGTGAATTATTAAGAACCTGTTCTTGCCATGGTGTTTTGCAAGGAGTTTTTGTATCTAACCCACATTGCAGATGGCCCCAATAAACATTCTTTCTGTTTGGCAACATTTGGATGACCTCACGTCGCGTTTCAGCAATGTGTCGGAACTCGCGCCAGCCGCTAAATTCTAGCTCTGAGGGCCCGCATGCTCGGAGGGATCCCTTGCGGCGCAACATGCATTCCACCCATGACGCAGCATTCCTTGTGGCCCGGACCATGTTGATCGAGCATGAAGGCTGCGTCTCGGGCCATATAGGCACAAAGAACCGAATTTCTCTTTCTGTTTTGAGACAGTGTGGCAGACGAAGACATCCAGGGCGCACAGAACACCGGCAACATGGCCTTTCTCTCCTTTTTTCAGCTTGTGGCCCTATTCGCTCTTTTTTTACAGAACCAATATAGTAGTGCTGCTCTTTTGAATCGAGGCATCTGCGCAACGGAGGATCCCGATGAATCTCTCCTGGGCGAGCTGCAGCGTTTGAAGTCGAATGAAGCGCAGTCCGATCCCACGGCCGAGGCTCGGTTGTTGCCCATCGAAATAGACACCTGGTTTCATATCATCAGGAGCGAGGCGGAGGCTGATCAGGTTTCACAAGAGATGGTTGCTGCCCAGGTCTGTCGCCTTTCCACTTACACCCCATCCATGCCGGTGTGTTAATTGCTTCGCAGCTTTCGATCCTGCAATATGCTTACATGAATACGACCATCTCGTATCGGTTGCAAGGCGTGACTTGGCATGTTAACGACACTTGGGCCCGCAATGAGGATGAGTTGGGCATGAAGCGGGCCCTCCGACAAGGCAGTTATCAGACCCTGAACGTCTATTTCCAAACCGATCTCGAAGCGCCTCCGGGGCAGCAGGCCGGGCGAGCCACTGAGCATCGTGGTACCAGCGTGTCGAACGATATGTCATCCAGCGTCCTAGGTTTCTGTACCTTGCCCGACCCCAGTATCAATATGAGGAGCACTTATGCGGACTATGTAAAGGATGGTTGCAACATCCTGGCCAAGACGATGCCTGGTGGCTCACTGGACTTGTACAATAGGGGCGGGACTGCTATCCACGAGATTGGGCACTGGAATGGCCTTTTACACACCTTCCAGGGAGAGTCGTGCTCGCCGGACAACGCAGGCGACTACATCGGTGACACGCCCCAGCAATCCACCCCTACTGATGGTTGTCCGACTCGCAAGGATTCTTGCCCGGATTCGCCCGGCCTGGATGCAATTCATGATTTTATGGATTACTCGTCCGACGTGTGCTACGAGAGCTTCACTCCTGGCCAAGGGCAACGGATGCGAAGCATGTGGGCGGTCATGCGCGCTGGCAAATGAAACAGGTTGATGGTTTTGTTCTGTATATTCCCCCTCTTGGAACCCCTGGGGATGTAGTGTAGTGTAGCTTACCTGCTATTCGCATCCCAGAGGGATCTAATTCATATTGGGCTTGATTGTTGGATTACGCGAGTCTCGTCAATGTAGAAATCACGGACTTAAATTCGATTTTTGTTCGCAAATACTCTCGAATGTTTGGTACTACCTACCTGGGTAGCAGTTTGCAGCTTGTTGCAGCCTAGGGAAGATACAAGGGGGAAAGTAGGAAGAACGAAAAAGCACAACGCCCTCCTCCATGTCGGCGCACTCGACACTAGCGCTTGCGTTTAGTTCCGCGGTCGTCGTCCATACTGCTTTCCTTATCCTTCTTCTTGGCCTTCTTCTCCAGCTCGTCCCAATCCTCGCCGCTCTCTTCATCCGCACTGAAATCACTCGCATCTGCGCTGGCGTTGTCATCATACTCCTCGCTATCTTCCTCGGAGCTTTCATCCGCAGCGAGCTCTGATTCCGAAAGTTCAAATGCAGACTCTTCCTCCTCCTCGGAGCCATCTTCCGAGTCTGATTCGGCTGCCAGGAAGGACCACCCGCCGTCGGCAAAGAAGCCGTACGGATCACTTACAACCGTTTTTATGATTGTGGTCCAGTTAAGATTCAGCGGTCCCTCGGAGAATGCGATATCAACGGAATCAAGCCAGTCCTTGACCCCCTCCAGAGCTTCAACCGGAATCGTATTGATGTGCACAGGAGGACGATGGAAGTCCTTAAAGACAAACACCATGTCGAAGTTTTTGAGCCCAAACTGTTGTGTTTGTTAGTAGGGAAAGGGAGGGTCAACAGGAAAGGACCAAGTGGACGTTACCTGCACTCTTTCTAGATGAGCAATCTCGATCTCGTTCAAGGTGATGACCATGAATGGTGGCTCAGTCAGTTGAACCAAAGCATCCGTCGTCGGCTGAATCAGAACGTTGGAGCGGTTGGGCACACCGGTAAAGCCAATCTCTCGGAACGGGATGTCGACATCCACTCCCTCATCTTTTCCGGCATCCGCAATCTTCTCTGCAAAGGCCTTGAACTCGCGGTTGAGCGCTGCTCTCCGGCGTCTCTCCTCCTGCTCTGCCTCGAACTCCTCTTCGTCCCCATATCGATGCTTGCGCCGGCGGTTTCCAGTTTCATCGAATTGCATCTCAGTGGCCTCGCGATAGAATTGAACATCTCTGGTCTTTCTTTTCCCAATCATGATGGGAGTCTTCAAATGTACATGAATGACCACAATCAGTTCATGGTCACATGGCTGGAAGAAGAGGTGCTTGATGTTGCTAAAGAGAACGTCCACATGCTCATTGCGGAAAGGTGACAGATACCGGAGACCATTTTGGTGGATTTCGACTTCGCCCGGGACGCGCTTTCCATCCAACGGTGGCCGAAGGTAGACATCAGGGAGCTTCACAGGCCGACGGTCTAGCATAGAGTCAGTATCATGATAGCGGAGTCAGAAAAACCACGCAAACTTACTTCTGATCTCGACAAGCTTGTCTTGCTCGACCACATCCTCCATTTCCTTCTTCTCTTGCTCCTTCCGCAAGGCAGTCTTCCGCAGCTCTGTGATGTCCTGCGCCACTTGTGCCAATCGGTCATTGTCCTTCGACCGTAGCGTCAGATTGCGGACGAAGTGAGCGGAGATGTCTTCGAATGGTTGGTCATCTTTCCGGCCAACTCCCTGACCCGGCGACAGGAAGTTAATGCGCAGATAGGCGTATTCTCCCTCATCGCTCTTGCTGGCATTCTTGATAGTGTTGATGTGGAATGGCACTGGTCTGCCCATAATGGGCACAATGACAGTCGCAGCTTTGTGGTCAACATAGATGGTCAAGTCTTTGACCTTGGCGGGCAGTTGATTATCTCGTTTATAAGACTCAAAGCGCTTGAATTTCTTTTGGGCCACACCATTTTCATCACCAGTGGTACCAGTAAATCTGTCCAAGCCCTCCCTGGTCTTCTTCAAAGCCAGTTCCTTTTGATGCTCGCGGCGACGCGCTTCAGCGCCTTCGTTAATCTGGGTTGGCCTCTCAGCACGGAGTTTGGTTCTGGTGACATTCCTGCTGGAAACAGTGCTGGACTTGATATCCTTCTTCTCCTTGGCTGGCTTTTCAGGCTCTTCTTCGTCTCCAAAGTAGAAGGAGACTGAATCCATGTCAATACCGGCATCTTTGGTAAAGACATGAGGGCCACTTTCTCCGACTCGCACAGTATCAGTGATAACCATGGAATAGACGCTGTTTTTGATCTTCGCGTCCGGATCATTCACGTCAGTCAGACCAATGGTGATTGAAAGCGTCATGCCGTTCTTCAAGGTCTTGTTATTTTTGGCATTGAGCACCATGTTGGCATCCCGAAGCTCAATTCCGATCCCAGCCCCGATGTTCTTGACAAAATGGCTCTCGAGTTCAGGTTTTTTGGCTCGAACGAGTCCTAGTGCCTTGTTGTAGACGTCTTTAGCAACAGCACCGTCACGGATCTCCTTCAAAACAGCTTCGTGGATGTTCAGCAGAATTGCGTAGTTGGCCTCCTGAGATTTGCTAGGATCGACCAAATAAGTACGCGCAATGAGTGAGCTGTAAGTTTTGTATCTGATTCCGAAGCTAGACAGGATAATTCCAGGCTGAAGGTTGTTATTGTTGGAGGTTGCGGTGAGCTTCAGGTCGTATGCTCCTCCACTCTGAATCACTGGCCCGTAGGCCCAGTCGATTTGTCCGGCATCGAACTCCGAAGGTAGTTTTGGAAGCTTGTTGAAAAATTTGGCTTCATCAATCTTTGCATCGACTTTGTTCGCGAGAGCTTTGTGCGTCATTTGCTTTTCTTCGTCGAGTAACCGTGACATCTCATCGACGAAATATTCGGACATCAGGCCACTACAGGCCCTCGATGCATTTCGAATAGACACCTACCACCCCTGTCAGTGCTTCGTAATGAAAGTGTAAGGGATCCCAAAAGACTAACCAGCTCGTCGGGATCCTTGACCGAAAAGGCACTCGCAGACAGCGCTGAAGCGATGTCGACCTCCTCGACCTCCTTTGAAATATCCGAAAAAGCCCGTTTCCATTCCTCAGCAAACGGCCCAGAGGTTGCATCCTTGGGTAAGACACCAACTTTCTTCTGTTGCAGTGACCGTCAGTTTGAGTTGGTCAAGTCGAATTTTTTCCCAGGTATATGGGTGAAGCTACTTACTCCCGCACCCTTGATGACATCCAAGCACTTCTCAAAAGCCTTTGTCTTGGATTCTGGATCCTTCGTAGTGACCAGGATCTCAACTGGAATCTTGCCGCCTTTGAGGGGTTCCAAGTGTTTGGCTGCATTGTCAGATCGTTAGTGATCCGTTCTCCAGCGGTGGATCCAGTTGTCATCACCTTTCTTTGCCGCAGTGACCACATATAGCGCTTCGGTGGTCAGGACCAGGAGCGTCGCTGGAAATTCATAGCCGAGGAGCCAGAACTATTCTCAGCTTCGATTAGCAATCGGGATTATGCCAACAATGGACGCCACAGCCAGGAAGTCGATGACTCACATGCATGGCATTGCTTTTCTGAAACGAATTCTCTTCGTCGGTTTTGCCCATGAGAATGACGATCGATCCCACGCCATCAAATAGGGCATTCCCTGTGCGCTTGTCGGTCTTCCAGGTCGAGTACAAGTTGGACAGCCGGTTGAAGAAAGTGGTCTTGTCAATCACAATCTCCTCGGCCATGACGGCGGTTTGGTGCGGGCGAAGTCCGCCGCTGCCAGGGAGGCCGGTTGGTGAGCCGGCAAACTGGGGAGGGAGAGGGAGAGAGAGAGGTTGCAAAGTACAGAGAAAGGTGTCACTGTTAAGAGAAGATGAGCCAAAGCAGTGGATGGGGTGATGTTGGGATGGGAAGATGGGAGAGTGATGAAGAGAGAGAAAGGGAAGAGAAAGAGCTAAGGAGCTTGGCGGGCGACGCGAAAAGCGCGTTTCTACGTACTAGGGGTGATCGGGCGACCGTAGCGTCCTGTATTGCCTGTCTTGGCTTAGCCATCTTTTTTCACCTACGTATCTCTGTCTCACGCTCACACACTCTCTCACTATGGTTTCTACATCGCCCCCCAGTGCAATTGGGCTCTGAGCTCGGTGATCTTTCACTGGGGCTGCAGTGGATGCTCTGGCCCCGAGCACTCTGCATGGCCCCGACATGTATCCCGCCATGAACCCAGGCAATATCGAGTCTCACCTGAGTGAATCGGGCAGTTCATCTCGCAGAAAACCTCGCGATGATGCAGCTACGGGCGCCTCGGCGGCCGGTGTCCGTGCAGTCAGCGCTCAGATGGTGGCGTTCTATTTCAGGGCACCTATCAAGGCCTTTTTTCGCACGCGTGTTGAGTATGTGACTTTGAATCTCCCTCCGCGAACGATGCCCCCGATGTTGACACACTGTATTGTAGTTACATGGTACATCCTCCAATTGATCTGCAATCCCTACACATACCGTCGACTGATAATTCCCGCCTTTTGTCGCATTTCGAATAGGCATTCGCAAGAGCCGTGAACCCGCGTGTCGCCGAAGGCAAATGGTCATTGCATACCACCACACCAGGGTTGCTGCTCCACGCTGTTCGGACCTATGGCTGGAGCTTTATCCCCAATCAAGTCTTGCCCCCCTTGATGGCAAATGCCGGGTAGGTCCGTGGAGTCATGGGCACCGGCACCGAGTCTTCTAACCGTGTCCAGGGTCGGCGCCGTTCTCTACACCTCTTATCTCCAGGTCCTGGGAGCGCTTCATGAACCCGTGTCCCAAGGAGTCAAGCGAGTCTGGCCTCCGGCCCCTCCATCTGCCACCTTTGTTGCGGGTTTCTCTGCCGGTGCCATCCAGTCGGTGGTAGCGGCTCCTCTCGACGCTCTCCAGGTTCGACTGCAGACCAGCGACATGCTGGAGGGCCAGTATCGGAGCATGTGGCACTACGGCCACCATAAGCTCCAACAGATCGGTCTCCGTGGGATCTTTGCGGGCTGGGGTCTCTCGTTCCTGCGTGACTCGTTCGGCTCGGCCGTTTTTTTCTCGGCCTTTGAATACGTCAAGTCACAATCGTATTACTCTTTCGTCACCTGGTACTACGGACGCCTCCACACCGACCGCCTGGACGTCCTTCCCAGCTCTGGCTCCAGCGACCGCGGCGTGCCTCTCATCAAACCCCACTACGCATTGGAGCCTTGCTTCCTAATGATGGCCGGAGTGGTGGCCTCGGTGGCCCAGCAAGCCATCCAACATCCGCTAAGTACGATCCAGGACCTTCACCTCGGCCGGCTGGAATATCTGGACCACCAGGCCAGCCTCGACCCTTCCCGAGCTCAGATGCTGCGGCTCTACTACCACGCCTACCAGGAAACCCTAAAGCGCTGCCGACGCAAGGCTGCCCGGGCCGGGGGTGGCGGCCGTGGCTGTTCCGCGGCTTTGTGGGCAATGCCCTCCGCCAGGTGCCCAGCACGAGCGCGGGACTCGTGATTTTCGAAGTGGTGCGCCGGCGGTATGCGAATCCGGCGGATGCGATCCACCTCCAGAAGGACGGATATGACATTGTCCTGACTTAGAGTACATAAACCTGTCTCGCTGTATATACATACTGTCCATAGATACATATATTATATATTCTTGACTGATCCGTGGTGAGTGGGGATCATGAGCCCCTATTGCGGGTGGGTGGAGACCAATCCTGACAGGTATCTGGTACCTCTGTTGATTATGGATTTGCCATAGTGATAATAGGTCACTAGTACCAGATCCCTCATAGCTGTACGCGTTCAGCCCCAGAGAACAGGTTCCTCTCTTTCCAATTCTGTTTCTACTTCTCTTCATCATCTTCTTCGTCTTCTCATCACCCTCAATCATCATCCGACCGGAATCTATCCTCGTGTGTCCACCGCCCTCCCGCACCACCTGACTGCCTACATCGTCATCCTGCGTCGGTGATCCATCCTCTGTAGCCCGAACTAGTGACTCCGGCCTGACTCTGTGGCGTCCCCTGGTCTTTCTTCCCCGCTAAACACTCCTCACTCGCTCACTTACTACGGCTGTTTTTTCTTTCTTTCCGTCGTCTCCACATTACTCTTCCTCCCTCCCTCCCCCTTCCTTCCCCACGTACTCACCTCGATCGTAACCCGATCGACCCACGCATTCTTTCTCCCGCCTCCAACGGGCTGATCTTATCAGCCCCCCCACCACCGCCATCATTCCTCCCTCAGCGTCTTCATCCCCACGCGGCTCTATTATTCCCCTCCGCTCCCTCAACGACTCCCCTTCCCCAGATCGATCCATCAAGGTGCTGGAGTCCGCCAGTGAGAAGGGCAGCCGACGCTCTTCTCATTCGTCTGCCCGCTCGGACTCGGACTTCTCTATTTGGTCGGATACTGGGGACCTTGCTGAGCAGCTGGCCGAAACTGAGGATCCGCTTCAGATCCGCCTCCGCAAGTCTGTGGACCGGGAGCTCTTGGGTCGCCGAGGGCGAAGGAAACACTCGAAGCGGGTCCACTATCCCCCAGACCTCCAAGACGGCGTCGACCTCGAGAAGATCGAAATCCCCAACCCCCCTCCGCGCCGTATTTCCAAGGTCGAGCGTTTCTTAGCCATCGCCATGTCCCCAAGCACCCGTCAGAATGCGCAAACCCATGGCTTGGTGGGAAAGCCACTGCTGTAAGTTCCCGTCTAGCCCAAGGAGGGTCGGGAACTGCCGTACTAATCCACCATGTAGCTACTTCACCAGCGTTTTTGTATCATTAGGCGTATTTCTGTTTGGCTATGACCAGGGGGTGATGTCGGGCATCATTACGTTCGTCTTCTCGAGTCCTTAGCACCTTGGAATGAGCTAACGGGTGACAGTGGCTGGTACTTCAAAGACTACTTCGACCAGCCCTCTCGGGCGACCATTGGGACCGTGGTTGCCATCTTGGAGGTTGGCGCATTCATTGCCTCGCTCTTGGTCGGCCGCATAGGAGACCTCATTGGCCGTCGACGGACCATCCTGTACGGCTCGGCCGTGTTCTTCATTGGGGGTGCTTTTCAGGCATTCTCGACCGGGATGCCCATGATGATGGTGGGACGCATTATTGCCGGTCTCGGTGTCGGTGCGCTGTCGACCATTGTGCCTGTCTACCAGTCTGAAATTTCGGTATAGTCCTTGGGTCGTTTCCACCCCTCATTCTGTGCTGACGTGCCGTTGCAGCCGCCCCACAGCCGAGGAAAATTGGCTTGTATCGAATTCACCGGGAATATCTCTGGATACGCGGCCAGTGTCTGGGTCGACTATTTCTGCAGCTTCATTGACAACAACTACTCATGGCGCCTCCCACTATTGTTCCAGTGCGTGATGGGTGCACTTTTGGGCGTTGGGAGCCTGATTATCTGTGAATCGCCGAGGTAAGCCTACTCGCATCTCACAAATAACTCTAGATCTTGTGCTCATGGTTTCAGATGGCTTTTGGATAATGACCATGACGAGGAGGGCATGGTGGTAATCGCCAATCTGTATGGTGGAGGCGACTTGCACAATGACAAAGCCCGCCAGGAGTATCGTGAGATCAAAATGAATGTGCTCCTGCAGCGTCAGGAGGGCGAGCGCTCATATATGGATATGTTCCGTCGGTATCGCAAGCGCGTCCTGATCGCCATGTCCGCGCAGGCTTTGGCGCAGCTCAACGGCATCAATGTTATTTCCTACTATGCCCCCTTGGTGTTCGAGGCAAGTCGTGTCCACATTCGTCATAATACTTCGAGGTAGGCAACGTGCTGACTGGAGCGTACAGAGTGCCGGTTGGGCTGGCCGTGATGCAATTTTGATGACCGGGATTAACGGATTAACGTACCTATTGAGTACTGTGCCGCCGTGGTATCTGGTCGACCGCTGGGGTCGACGGCCAATTCTCCTCTGGGGCGCCGTGGCCATGATCGTCTCGCTATCGCTGATCTCGTATTGGATTTATATCGATATTGCCGCCACGCCGACGCTGACAGTCATCTTTGTAATGATCTACAATGCGGCTTTCGGGGCATCCTGGGGCCCCATTCCGTGGCTCTACCCGCCGGAGATTTTGCCCTTGAGTATTCGTGCTAAAGGCGCTAGCCTGAGCACCGCCACGAACTGGGCATTTAACTGGCTCGTGGGAGAGGTAACACCGGTCCTCCAAGCGGCAATCAAGTGGCGGCTGTATTTGGTGCATGCCTTCTTCTGCGCATGTAGTTTTGTGATGGGTAAGTATCGTTGACGTCCTGCATTGCATAGACCCCAATGAACTGATTATCGCACTTCTGTCTAGTCTACTTTCTCTACCCCGAAACAAGTGGGGTCCGCCTGGAGGATATGGACCTCTTGTTTGGAGATGCAACAACAGCCATGCCAACCCCCGCCACGGATGGTGAGCGCGGGTCTCTGATGGGTGCTGGCTCACCTGTCCCCTCGCTCGATATTCGTCGACCGTACGGCCAACTTGGGACCGAGAGCGCCATCCCAGGGCTCGACATCGACCCGCCGTCCCTAAGCAACTCCGGCCCCAGCAAATCTGGACTCTCAGATTCTCACCAAGGTAGTGCTGGCCGCGGTGAAGGGATCGGGGGCTGGATCTCGAACATGGTTAGCCGACACCGGGGGCCAGGCGGCAAGATCAGCAGCAGCCAGTACCGGCGCATTGAGCAGGGAGAGGGCGATGGGTCGTAACCATCATCTCTTCTTTCTTTCTTTTTGTTCTTCTTTGGCATTTCATGTGGCCTCTTCTGTTCGTTTTTTTCTCCCTCTCCTGTATAGTCCCGCCTCCCATTTATTTCCTTGAACTCTTCTGGCTCATAGAGGGCTTCTCCTAGGTCTGTGGTATATAGTTAGTTAATACACCGTTCTCTGCTACCCTAAGGCACCTCCTTCTAGACCGTACGGATCAACGTTGTTCCCGCCCGGAAACGGGCGCCCCCAACCGGGTGGGCCTGTTTATCCTTTGTGGCCAGCTCGTCCGCTTCAGCCCTCCCTCTTCTTCCCTTCCACTTTCTCTCTCGCTCGCTCTCATTCTATTGTTTCTTATTTCATTTTAGCCCGGACAAGCCCTTGTCGGGCAATGACTATGTGCTAGACAATTCCTTGCATTCCTTCCATTTGATTCCTTTTTTACCTTTTCCCTTCCTACCGGCTTCCCTTTCCCCTAGGCCTCCGGTGCCAGGGACCGATTCCCGTCGACGTTCATCCGCTGTCGAACCCAACCCATTTGACTTACTCAACAGTCTGCACCATGGCTGAGATCGATACTGCCGTTAGCACAGGAGCCCAGCGCGACTCCGAGCTACGTCGGAGGAACGTGCCGGATGCGGGGAGGAGCCCAACAAAGTCCGGTCCGTATGCCATCGATGAAGATACGAAGAAAGGCAAGCCTCAGGTAAGGCGTGATCATCCGCCCGTCATCATGGTAGGGACATGACTGATCTATTCCGGAACCCCTATAGTCGCCTTCGTTTTTGCATGTATTAGCCCGCTGGGAACCGATTATTGCACCAATCCTCTTAACGGCACTTGCCGTCTTCACTCGCCTGTACCGCATTGGCCGTTCCAATATTGTGACTTGGGATGAAGCCCAGTAAGGCCGCGCGTACCGGATGGGTCTCCGACGATGACTGACACGAACATCTAGCTTTGGGAAATTCGGCTCTCACTATCTGAAACGCGAGTTCTACTTCGATGTCCACCCGCCCCTGGGTAAGATGCTTGTTGGCCTGTCAGGTTACTTGGCTGGCTACAATGGTTCGTTTGAATTCAAGTCCGGTGAGACGTATCCCGAAGAGGTGAACTATACCTTCATGCGCGCCTTCAATGCCGCTTTTGGGATTGTCTGTGTGCCATTAGCCTATTATACGGCTCGGGAGTTGAGTTTCCGGCGGGCCACCGTCTGGCTCATCAGTCTCATGGTGCTCTTCGAGAATTCGTACGCGACCATCTCGCGGTTTATCCTCCTCGACTCGATGCTGCTCTGTTTCACGTTCACCACTATGATGTGCTGGGCCCGTTTCCACCGCTTGCGACACAACAGCTTTTCAGCTGAGTGGTATGCTTGGCTTTGCCTGACCGGTTTGAGCATTGGCTGCGTTTGTAGTGTGAAATGGGTCGGGTTTTTTGCCACTGCAGTTGTTGGACTTTATACAGCTGAGGATCTGTGGAACAAATTTGGCGACTTGAAGATGCCCCAGGTGAGTATCTGTTTATCCTACCCACACGATTGACATGGACTTGAACTAATCCTTATACTCGGCAGACGACTCTCGCGAAACATCTCATTGCTCGTGTTGTGGGCTTGATTGCCATCCCGATCTTGGTTTACATGTTTTCCTTTTATCTGCACTTTCTGATTTTGGCGAATAGTGGCCCGGGTGATGCGCAAATGAGCTCTCTTTTCCAGGCCAATCTCAAAGGTACTGAAGTTGGCAAAGACAGTCCTCTGGAGCTTGCAATGGGGTCGCGTGTCACCTTAAAAAATATGGGCTACGGAGGAGGTCTTTTGCACTCGCACGTCCAAACTTTCCCCGAGGGCTCGCAGCAGCAGCAGGTGACGTGCTATCATCACAAGGATGCGAATAATGATTGGTTCATCTATCCCAATCGACAAGAGCCAGACTACGATCCCGAGGCTGATGTGAGATTCATCGCTGACGGCGATGTTATTCGTCTCATCCACGGACAGACGGGCCGCAACCTGCATTCCCACGCCGTTCCGGCACCAGTCAGCAAGTCCCACAACGAAGTGTCCTGCTATGGGAACCTTACCATCGGAGATGATAAGGATCACTGGAAGGTTGAGGTGGTGAGCGATGCTGCTTCCAGGGACCGGTCCAGAGTGCGGACGCTCACCACGGCGTTCCGACTGCGCCATCCGGTCTTGGGTTGCTACCTCCGAGCTGGAAATGTCAACCTGCCCCAGTGGGGATTTAAACAGATTGAAACCACATGTGTCAAGGAAAATAACCCCGGCGACGTGTACACCCATTGGAACGTCGAGTCTCACGTCCACGAAAAGTGTAAGTCCTTCAGTGGATTGCAACTTACAGAAAGTTACTGATCTCAAATGTGCAGTGCCCCCTGGCGATCCTGGTTCCTACAAGTCTCCTTTCCTGAGAGACTTCATCCACCTGAACGTGGCTATGATGACCTCCAACAACGCTTTGGTCCCCGATCCGGATAAGCAAGATGACCTGGCTTCGCAGTTTTGGCAGTGGCCCATCCTGAATGTCGGCCTGCGCATGTGTTCGTGGGATGACAATGTTATCAAGTACTATCTCCTTGGCAACCCGTTTGTCTATTGGGGAAGCACTGCAGGTCTGGGCATCTTTGGTCTCCTAGTCTTGTGGTATCTGGTGCGCTGGCAGAGGGGGTACCAGGAACTCAGCAACGACGACATCGACCATATCCGCTATTCTGGACTGTATCCGGCCATTGGATGGGTCTTGCATTACCTCCCGTTCATCATCATGGCACGAGTGACCTACGTCCACCATTATTACCCAGCTCTTTACTATGCCATCCTGACGTTTGGCTTCTGTGTGGATTGGATGACCCAAAAATTGAGTACAAAGCTCTCCGCCGTGCTGTTTACCGTCCTGTACGCCATCATCGTTGCGCTGTTTGTCCACTTCCGGGTGATTGTGTTTGGAATGGAAGGGTCTAATGAGCAGTGGTCTCACCTGCGCTGGCTGCCCGGATGGAGAATTTCCAACTAAATCAGGAGCGGCCTTTTGAACGGGTAGAAAGTCCGGAGTGGCGGCCATTTGATTGATCTGCAGGAGGTTTCTGTCGAAGAAAGCCCGTCCTGGTTCATATGTTTGCGTGGGGGGATTGTATCAACAATATCCATAATATGATCTGGTCATTTGCTTTATTTATTGCGCTTCGTAGACTACTGATGCACATGGAGGATCGGCCCAGTTGGCCTTGCGGACCAGCCGCCATGTTCCACGGCTGCTCGGGTATTAGCAACAGTTTCCGGTCCAGCCATTACCCTTGCGCATGGCATCATTCATCCCCAGTGTCACTGTCTGGGGCATCCCGGCATTTGCTCCACCCGAGGCGCCGAACCCTTTCACTCCACTCCGCCGGTCATTGAGATCGTATCTACCGGCTTCGATATTGCGGTAAATCCTCTCTGCCACCTCTAAGAAAGCCCGTTCCACTCCATCCCCAGATTTGGCACTCGTCTCCACGTAACGTATGACGTTATTCAAGCGGCACCATTCCTCGGCTTCCTGCTGCGTGACCTGTCTTCGATTGGAATCGGAGTCCTCACCAGCCAAATCAGTCTTGTTGCCAACCAGAATTACAACAATGCCCTCTTCTGCAATTTGCCGTAGGTCCTGAAGCCACTGGGTGCAGGATATAAAGGTCGAGCGCCGAGAAATGTCAAAGACCAGGAGAGCACCCGAGGCGCCTCGGAAGTAAGAGCGGGTGATAGATTTGTAGGTTTCTTGTCCGGCAGTGTCCCACAGAGATAACTTCATTCGTTTCTGGGAGGGAGAGGCTTGCGGCTTTCGAGGAGGGGTAGGGAGGCCCGACGTAGCAGACGCCTGCGGGGGCTCACCGTCCGTCGCAGGCGCATCGGGTGATGAGCCAGACGGTTGTCCGTCCAGCACTAGTCCCAACTCCAGAGAAGCCGGTGGACCCACCGGCACAATCCGCGATCCGAACTCGACGCCTATGGTGACATCGTGAGAGGCAGAAAAGCGGCCCTCACAAAGTCGGATGGTGAGCTGTCACCGGGTTAGTTGGAGAAGTTGCGGGGATGGAGAGGCACCATACGCACACTGGACTTGCCGGTACCGGAGTCACCGATGCAGACGAGCTTAGCGATGTAATCCCATGGTTGTGACATGGAGAGCAGTAGGAAGGTATGAAAACAAAACAGCGACAGCGACCAAGACGGAGCTGCTCTCCGCACGGCTGAGTCAGCGATTGTGACCCGCGCAGATGACGCTTGCATCACCACCTGACCTTTCCTATCTCTCTCTCTCTCTCTCTCTCTGCTTTTCCAGCTCTCCTGGACTCTCTGTCTATCTCTCTCTATCTCCCCTCCCTTCACGGTGGGCCATGTTCTCGGAATGTACGTCTCGTCGGATCTCGATCTGTCTATCTATTTATCTATCTATCAATCTAGCGATCCACTGAGAGCCTACGCTAACCACTGTTGCAGATGCTTCGCGATTCCTGGCTCAGTCACAGTCGCGGGTAGCAGCCCGCCCTGATGAGCTCCAAAGGACTGGGCGTGGCCGCCCAAACCAGCAGAGTAGCTCGCGTCACCCCTCCTCGCGCTCCTTCTTACACAGAGCCGGCGATCCCTATCGACCGGGTGCGTCCCAAGTCTCTAACTTCCCTTTTGCTTCACGGGCAGCGGTTCAACCGGCCCCTCTTTTCTACAGCGCCACGGATGAGTTTCGGGAAGAAGATGACGAGACAGAACGAGAACGGGAGATCGCGGATTTTTATGCCTTGCAACGATCACGGCGGCATTTCGGCGATAGCAACTTGAAGGATTCCTCAGAACTGGAAGATGACTCGGAACGATCGACGGGACTGGATGAAGGAACCTCGTTATACGATGATCGCCCAGGTCATGGAAATGGCATCAAGAGTTCGTGGCGTGGCGAGAAGAGCGTTCCTGCCGCACGACAGTCTCGCATCGCGCCTGTGGAGGAGGTGGCGGAGAACGAGCTTGGATATCGCGCGAACTCCAACAACAGGGCCAGGGGTAATCTGGTTGATGTTGGGCTCGAGGATTCCCTAAGGGCCGACCTTGACGAACCCGCCGACGATCCACCCATTCAACGGTTTCGGGAACGACCTCCTGTCGGAGAGGATACTTTTAAAACCGCCGATTCCCCAGATCAGGATGCAGCATTTTCTTCCAGTATCCCTCGACCGTCCAGCTCAACACACTCCCTCCCAGCATCGATATCGCCCCTCGCGTCGGAATCTTCGCTACATGACGCCTTCTGGGGCCAGCTGTTCTTGATATCCATTGCAGGCTTATTCGCTACTGCATTTCTGGTGTACCTCCATACCTCCACACCATCTGGGGATAAGGGAAAATGGGGTGACACCATATACTTTACCCTTCACGGCTCTTATTTCCTTCTCGGAATTTATACCCTCGTATCAATTCTCGTGTCTCTCCTTTGGCTCGCTCTGCTGCGCTCCTACGTGCGACTGCTAGTCTATGTCATCGTGGTCGCAGTTCCGGTCATATTATACTCATTTTCCTTGTACCCCTTCATATCGAGCTTCAAAGGAGCATGGCACGGGGCTAGTATCCAAGACAAAGCAATGCGGTGGGGCTCACTTGTGCCATTTCTGCTGGCCAGCGTATGGATCTACAACGTCGTCAGAGGCCGACGATCGTTGGGAAAGGCGATAGGTATTCTTGAATTCGCGTGCCGGATTCTAGCTGCAAATCCTGAGTTGCTTCTTCTCGGCCTGGGTGTTTTGGTTTGCGTGGTCTTTTGGACGTGGAGCTGGATGCTGATGTTCACACGTGTGTTCCTAGGCGGGCATCTGGCGGGCCCTCGGTCATTCATTATCGACCTCAGCAGCTGGTGGCTGGGGGTCTACTTCGTGGTGGTTTATCTCTGGTCAATGGGCGTCATCGCGGGGATTCAACGAGCGGTCACAGCAGCGACAGTGAGCCAGTGGTACTTCCACCGCTTGGCTAGCCCGGCACCCACCTCGAGACAGATTGTGCAAGCGGCAGTCGTCCATGCTGGAACGACATTATTTGGTACCGTTTGTCTGTCCCGGCTCCTGGGCCTACTGGTCCGGCTTCCTCTTCTTGTGCTACCTGGCCGTCTTTCTTCGCTGCTCAGTCTCTTCGCCTATTCCTTGATCCCTACACCCCTCATGTTCCTCACAAATCCTCTTGCTCTCACATATGCAGCAATTCATTCCCAGCCACTCGCTGCCTCTGCGCGTGGGTTAGGTCAAATGTCTCTTCTCGCCCCGTCCGCGGCGTCGACGTCCCTGCATCCCCGGTCTTATTCCCGTGCTCCTGGCTCTGCATCATTGCTTTCATACCGTCTTTCCAAGTTGATTCTGCATGCAGTCCGTTTCATGATGTCCCTGGCTCTCGGTTTTGGTGGCTGGGTGACCACTGCTCGGGGCCTAGCCACATCCGCCAGCGGAGGCACCATCCGGGGCAGTCTGTATGCGTATGTGGTTGGTCTCATTGCAGGTACAATCGGCTGGAGTGTTCTGGGTGCTGTGGAGGGAGTTATTGCAGACATTGTCGATGCCACTGTCGTCTGCTGGAGTAGCGAGGTGGGCATTTATGGCCGCGAAGCCCGATACTGCCGCGAGGCTGGATGGCTCTTTGGCGACTCGGAGCCCAGACATGCAAGATTTGGCGAGGTCTAGCTCTTTCTGTGGCGTTCATCATATAAACCTTGCGTGCCTTTCATGATTATGATCTCATCCCATTCTTGATGCGTAATGCATTCGGCGCGTTGGTTTACAACTTACTTCATATACCTAGCGTCATGAGTATTTCTTTTTTTTACAAGTCCAGTCTAGTCTGATGATCCGTGCGTAGGAATGAAGGGCAGATTGTGAATGGAAGTCTGAACAGGACGGGTCCCTTTAACTGGTCTGTGTGCTCATCTATCTCATTGGTATATCCAACAAACCCGCCAAGTAACTACACGAAAACCGTAACTCAAGGTATCTTGAAAACGCTTGTGAAAACGCAAACCTGGGACGCCAGATCCCACCATAAGAGAATAAAAACGAAGGGAAAAAAATCATGCACATCTTGGCCTCTTAAAGGTCGAGACGCCCGGTCCAGTCCACGCCTTCTTTGGCACACCATTCCTTCAAAAGCGCCCAGGCAAAGCGTACCACCTCTATGGGTGAAGTCGCGCCGCCGAGGGGCAGGAAATATGCACCGGAATAGTCACCCGCTTTCAGCTGCGGCCTCCCTCGCTCAGAGTAGTTCCGAGACCGTCGAGACCAGGTGTTGGGAAACTCGCGAGCGAGGACATCCTCAGACAGGCCGCGTGTGCCCTCAATCCACAGCTTCTGGGATTCCTTGTAGAACTTGGGAAGCTGGTTCTTCAGTTCGATAAATTCCTTCCGACTTTTCTTGGTTTCGTCCGACAAAACGGTGTTGCCGTCGCTTCCTGGCGTGGGAACCGGGGTGTGCTCTCCAGGGAGTGGGATGATAGCGAGGCGTTCGAGATCTAGGGAATGGATCGCATCGTAAGAGACGGCACCGAGAAGGACAGAAACACTGTAGAGGGCCGGATAAGGTGCGCTTTTATTCTTGACCACGCGCCAATATGGCAGAATCGATTGCCAGGCTGAGGAGTCACCAACCTGGCGTGCCAGAGACTTGAACTGGTCGTCTGCCACAAAGGCGAGAATAAAGCACATAATGGCCTCAACTGCGGTAATGGCTGCGAGCTTCTCATCGGTGGCAGTGGCATCCTGTCTAGTGCTGTGTCGATCTGCAGCATGCTTCAATTCGCGACCAATCGCTCCAAATTTCTGATACTCATCTCGCCAGACTCTACGCTCGTTGCTGCGATCTGGCTGCGTTGGTGATACTTTTGTGCCCGAATCACCCGGGTCATTGCGGCGAGAGACAGAAACTTTAGGGTCTTTGAGTGGCGTGATCGAACTTGACTTGGCCTTGTCATGCGCGGACGAAACAGATGAGCTTAGAGAGGGATGAGAGGCCGGAGTGCGAGGCTTCTCGGTTGAGGCTTTGCGTTCCCTTGTCTGACCGTCTAAGGCATTGATCGTCTCGTCTGTCTCGTGATTTGTGTGGCCTTTCGCTCGACTGGATGAAATGTTCGCACGAGCCGAGGTTGTTGATGTAACATCTTCTCCTTTCCTCTTCTTCTTGTCCTGGAAGTCATCATCGCGATCGGTGTCCTGACCTCTCGGTGATTCCAAACTATGTGTTTTCCGTTTGCCGGAAAATTTCAAGAGTGCTTCCACCCGTTTTCGGTTCGACCTCCCATACCGCAGTTTGACGACGCGCTGTGGCTTTGAGGAAACGACACGAGAACGGGCCTTTGTATCGAGCAGGTGATTATCTTTAGAAGGCTCATTTGGGCTGGGATACTTGCGATGCAAAGTATGGTGGCTCGAGCTGCTGCCGCTTTTTGATAGATCGTCTCGCTTCGGCTTGGCGCTTGTAGTGGGCTCGGGTTTTGGAGAGTGGTCGCGAATGGGGGAGCGATCCCCAAGTTGGGCAAGCTCCTTCTCAATATCCGGCGGAAGAGTAGGAGAGAGCAATCGTGGAAGCCTCGGGCCGGTTGAAGTCGGTGGAAGGGTAGGTGATAGAAGCGTCGGAAGCCCGGGGGAGTGGGACGTGGAAGGGGTGGCATCCCGGCGCGCTTCTTTCTCTGGGGAGAGGCGCGGCTTTTTTGGGGAATGAATCTCGGGGTCATTGCTTTTCTGTGCCTGTGTATGCCCGACACTAGTCTCCGATGGGCGTTTTTGACTCCCACGGCCTGGTGAAAGATGTGCAGGTGATTTCGATGGTTTTTGAGGCGACGCTATTCGATCGCCCTTTTTTACACCATCGACATGAATTGCGGGCTGCATCTCTCCGGGATCCGCCAAGCTTGCATCTCCAGATGTCTGGCACGCGGGGGAGGTGGCTGCCACACTAGTCTTCTGGTTCTTGTAGTCCTTCAGGCTAATTTTCTTTCGCGCCACACCGTCCTTTGGATTATCTGTGGTCGTTTGGGCAGATGGTCGATCTGCCATCATGCTCCCTGTTTCGTCCGACCAATCTCCCACGGCCACCAGGAGTGAATCTGCGTCCTGATGGGTCAGGAAGGTCATGTACTGGAGTTGCTGCTCTTCTGGGCGGAACGGTCTGTCATGCCCTATTGCCCAATTGTCGGAGAGTCGGCCTCCAAGGCGGAAAGGCGCATTGGTGGGAAGGGCCAAGAGGAAGGGATGAAGAGGAAGGACTTGCTCAGAGAGGTGCTTCAGTCGTCGATCAAGCGCAGCGAGCTCGGGTGCAAATGGCGGATGGGGTGCACGTTGGGAATTGGTATCGTCGTCCGTGGAGGAAGATGGTAGTTCGTTCACCGACATCGCCGTCTTGCGCGACTCGACCGTTTCACGGCAATTCTGAAAGTCGCTCTCTCAACCGATTCAGGACGCGAGAGCGTGCCACGGGAAAGTCGGCCAGTCGGATCCCATGCGCCTTTTTTTTCAACAAGGTGGGATGAAGTCGTCAACGCATCCAGTGTGAGGTCAATCTGCACGCATCCGCCTTTCTGAGGATTGTGGTTCAGGGCATCATAGAACCGGGGGCGCCTAGGGGAGGGTACAATCCCATCGGGCTGCGCGACGGAGGGGGTGCAGGTGTGTTGCGCAAAGGCAGATTTTGGCCGGGATTGAGCGAGACGGGGAAGGGGGAAGTCGTGGGGGAGATTCAGCCGTTATCGTCGACGTCCGGACCCACGCGACTGGGGCTTCGCCCTGTGTTGTTCTCTCACGCTCCCCGCGTGGTACCGTTCGGGCCAGGTGGCAGAGGAGGAGCAGGAGGAGGAGTAGAGAAGGGCGGGACAATGCAGAGGGTGAGGGAAGAGAGAAACGTGAGGAGGACGGGAGCGATCGAAGGGGGGAGAGGAAAGACGAGAGGGAGGGAGGAAAGCGCGGAGATGCTTGGCACGATACGGTGATTACGTTACGCATACATCAACTCGAGAACACTATGGATTGATTCGATTCTACTAACCCAAGAGCACCCGATCCATCACGACCGATCCTCTGCGGTAAACTTCTCGTTCCAAAATGCTCGGTAGTGCTTCTGCCGCCCAACCTCCGAGATCTCCTCCACCTCCTTCGGCGTCAGCGAGAACGTCAGCGCCCGCAGGTAGCTATTCATGCGCAATTCCTTGCCACTGGTCGTGACGGCCACACAGCCCTGGTCGATGACCCAGCGCAGCAGGATCTCTGCTTCACTGACGGCATACTTTTGCGCCAGACGCGACAGCACAGGGTCCAGCGGACCTCCCTTGGCCCGCGTGATGGGGCTCAGCCCCGCATAGCTGGTGGTCTTGATGCCCTTGCTCTCCTGCCAGGCGACGAGATTGCCGTGCTGGAGGTAAGGGTGGAACTCGATCTGGTTGACGGCCGGGGTGACTGTGGCCGTCTTCAGTATAGTTTCCAGGTGGCTTTGCAGGAAATTGGAGACCCCGATGGACCGCGCCTGTCCGGCCTCTTTCACTTGCTCCATAGCGGCCCAAGCGGTTTGGAGCTCGCTTTCGGTCGTCGCAAAGAAGGGCGCGTGGATCAGATACCTTCCTGGCGGTTAGCCTGGCCGACCTTGGTTTGGGCGTGAAGGGGTCACCTACAGATCTACATAGTCGAGCTGCAACTTCTTCAGACTGGCTTCAATTGCCCCGGGAATGTCGGCAATGGAGGTGATAACCTTGGTTGTCACAAACAGTTGCTCGCGAGGCACTCCGCATTCCTTGATCGCGAGCCCGAGTTCCTCCTCCGTCTTGTAGACCTCGGCGCCGTCGAGGTGGTAGTATCCTAGCTTGACGGCGGTTTTGATTGACTCGACCAGGTCGCGGTTGATCTTTGTGTCGCCCGATTTCTTGTACCAGGCTGTGCCGGAGCCATATCCCAGCTAGGCCAGGTTAACCCTAAACAGAATAAATTAAAGAGATACATATATACTCACGATGGGCATGGCGGCACCACTGTTGATCTTGACTGCCGGGATATTTCGGGCCATTGTTGCCAGTGGTTGGGTATTGCAATGAATAATAAAAAAAAAGGAAAGGAAACGTAAAGAAAAAGAGGAGCCATGGCGCGTACCTTGGGCCATTATTAGTGATGTAGTTAACTGTTATTAGTTAGGGCAACCAACCATGAGTAATAATGTGATGTCACCTTGCTGGTTTCTTGTTTCTTCAGCTTCACCCTCTCCATGAACTCGTTGTTGCATCGGTACATGTCCTCGCCCACCAGCCTGGCTCGCAGTCGACTGGCCCAGATGGCGTCGCAAGTTGCAACCCCTTCGGGCGTTCCCCTGGCGGACCTGCCCAAGTCGAATGTCTTCACGTCTAAACTCCCCGCTGACCCCGCCTTCGAGACGCCGGAGGCCTCGCACAGGGCGCCACGGGAGACTCTAGGGCCGCGCATGGTGAAAGGCGCGTTGTTCACCTATGTCCGCCCGGAGCCATCCGACGAGCCGGAGCTGCTAGGTGTCAGCCCCAAGGCCATGCAGGATCTGGGCCTGAAGCCCGGAGAAGAGCAGTCCCCCCAATTCAAGGCACTAGTCGCCGGAAACGCGATCGAGTGGAATGAAGAAAAGGGGGGGATCTATCCGTGGGCTCAGTGTTACGGAGGTATGTCGCTCTCCCCCCAAAACAGGGAGCAGGGTCGCTAACAATTCCAAGGCTGGCAATTGTAAGCAGAACGCGAGAATCCGGGTTATATTGAGAAATTAACAGCTTCCAGTGGCCAATGGGCTGGACAACTTGGGGACGGAGTAAGGTGTCTCCTAGAGGACATGCGAATCGATCGCTAATGGACATCCTCAGCGGGCAATCAGTCTGTTCGAATGCACCAATCCACAGACCAAGATACGCTATGAGCTGCAACTCAAGGGCGCGGGCAAAACTCCCTACTCGCGTTTTGCAGATGGCAAGGCCGTGCTGCGATCGAGTATCCGTGAATACGTTGTCTCGGAAGGTAGGCACTGTTCGCCGAGTGAAACGGCAATAAACTGAGCATCTGTAGCCCTCAGCGCCCTGGGCGTGCCCACCACTCGTGCGCTCTCACTCACCTTGTTACCAAACTCCAAGGTTTTGAGAGAACGTATCGAACCAGGAGCAATCGTAGCGAGGTTCGCCGAGTCCTGGCTACGGATTGGCACCTTCGACCTACTTCGCCTCCGTGGAGACCGTGACTTGATCCGCAAGCTTGCGACATACGTTGCGGAGGACGTCTTCGGTGGATGGGAGACTCTCCCGGCTGCTGTCTCCTTGCGTGAAGGCCAGTCTGCGGCAGAGATAGACAACCCCTCCCGGGGGATCCTGCGAGACGAGCTCCAAACACACCAAGGCGCGGAGGAGAACCGGTTCGCACGGCTGTATCGTGAGATCGCCCGACGCAACGCAAAGACGGTGGCTGCGTGGCAGGCGTACGGGTTCATGAATGGAGTCCTGAACACCGATAACACATCCGTATACGGACTATCGCTCGACTACGGCCCATTTGCTTTCATGGATAATTTTGACCCGCAGTACACGCCGAACCATGACGACCACCTGCTGAGATATTCATACCGAAACCAGCCCAGCATAATTTGGTGGAACCTGGTCAGACTTGGTGAATCCATAGGAGAGCTGCTTGGAGCAGGGGAACGAGTCGATGCCGACAGCTTTGTCAAGGACGGCGTGGCGGAGGAAATGGAACCGGAGATTGTCCAACGTGCGGAGAAGATCATTGAGCGCACAGGCGAGGAATTTCGAGCGGTGTTTTTGAATGAGTACAAGCGGCTGATGAGACGTCGACTTGGGCTGCAGACACAAAAGGAGTCAGATTTTGAGGCCCTATTCTCCGAGATGCTGGACACTCTCGAGGCCTTGGAGCTCGATTTCAATCACTTTTTCCGGCGACTCTCGGGCCTTTCGCTGTCGGACGTGGAGACGGAAGAAAAGCGAGCAGAAATCGCATCTATATTCTTCCACACGGAAGGATTTGGTGGCATTGGCTACACGGAGGAGTCTGCAAGAGCTCGCATCGCCAAATGGCTTGATAGCTGGCGCACCCGAGTATTGGAAGACTGGGGCCCTGGCAATGATGGGGAACGACAGAAGGCCATGAAGGCTGTGAATCCCAATGTGAGTTCCCTTGCTTTCTTATGATTGGCGGCTAGATGACTGACGGGGACTGTACTACAGTTTGTCCCGCGAGGATGGATCCTCGACGAGGTCATCGAGCGCGTTGAGCGCAAAGGGGACCGGGACATTTTGGGGCGAGTCATGCAGATGTCTCTAAATCCATTCAACGATGAATGGGGACTCAACAAGGAAGAAGAAAAGCGCTTCTGCGGCGACGTGCCTAAGTACAAGAGAGCCATGCTGTGCAGTTGCAGCTCGTGAGGGTTACATAGAGCAAGATCAGCATCTAGAACGAAATGGAAGACCGTCTTCGGCATTGAATTCTTTTTGTAGGTAAAAAATCATGAACGCTTTTTCGTTCCTGCTCGTCCCCGAGAAAAAACACCATCTGCCAGCCAGATCGCCTGTGGCACCTTGTTGTCACTTTCCACGCGGAAGAGACACGAAACCATGATGGACCGAGTGTACAGGTGGGGGCACCGCAAAAAGAAACCAGAGAGGAACAAGAGATTGGGATCGTGAATGAAGCCGTGATCTCATCATTAATACATGGAGGAAGCGAAAATCCAGGGGTGTCGCGACGTAGATCGCTCTTCCGATATGCATGCATGTGACCAGAGATGGGATGGAAAACGAGCGTTGCAGGACATCGCCAGCTGTCTAGTTCGGGCAGGCAGCCTGGACGTGGCCGGGCTGCTTGCACTTGTAGCAGACGCGCTCACCCCGGGCCTCAGTAGGGCAGTCACGAGAGAGATGACCAACCTCGCCGCCTGAATTTGAATTAATAAACGACCGAGAAGGCCTTGAGGGAAAGGAGAGACAACTAACAGTTGTAGCACTTCTGGCCGTGGGTGCAATCACGAGCCATGTGGCCGAATCCACCGCACGAGTAGCAAGTCTGCGCACGGCCACCACCGAAGCCGCCGCCGCTGCCGCCGCCGTAGCCACCGTAGTTCTGGCTGCAGTTGCGCGCAATGTGTCCGACCTGACCGCACTTGTAGCATTCCTGGCCGCCACCCTGGCCACCCTGTCCGCCGCTGTAGCTGTCACCGCCGGCCTGGGTGCAATCACGAGAGATGTGGCCCGTCTCGCCGCAGCGGTAGCAGGACTTCTCCTTGGCGGGCATGGAGCACTCGCGGCCTGGCAGAGGTCAGATGGGTCTGATGGACGAGAAGGCGACATATGTCAACTTACTAACGTGGCCCTGGCCTGCAGGTGCAATTGAACTTGGTTAGCCATCATGGATCAAAAGCACTCAGTAGTCGGGAGACAACGAGAGGATGCATACCACCGCAGTTGTAGCTACCGAGAACGAATCAGCTTAGGGTCACTCGAAGAGCGCGAGAGAGATATTACCAAGTAGGAGTACCCTTCTTGGGGCAGTCACGAGCCTAGAGGAACCTGATGAGTATCACAGTGACAGCGAGCGAGCGAGCGAGAGGTGCTCCAAGGTAATATTACCTGGTGAGAGACTTCGCCACCTGCGGAGGAAGAAGTGTGTCAGTCCATCGCTCGCCAGTTTCTTACTTCGGGGGAAATGCAGTCGCGATCGCGACGGAGGGGGGGTTTGAGAGCCATGAAGGGACCTCTCGCTTGCCGCTGAAGCCGAGGGGTTATTCCCAGCAAGTTGTGGGAGCCTGCAGAGCCTTCAAGCGGGAGTGGGGCAGAAAGAAACTCACAGTTGAAGCAGCCACGAGCACCGGTCTGGTAGTCCATGATGACTGAAAGAGAAGTGAATCAAGGAAGAGAGAAGAAAGGTGGGAAAGACGAGGGGAGTGTGGTGGGGGAGAAGAAAAAGGTGATGGAGGTTGAGCAGAGCAGAAATTGATGGGGAGCGAAAGTCTTGTGGGGAGAAATCCCGCTGCTTAGTCTTGCAAAACTCTGTCATCGTGTCGGCCATCATTTTAGTTATTTGGTGAGCTGTCGTTAGGTAGGATTATGATGATTATTATTATGGGCAACATCTAGGCAGGTCGACTGCTTTTTAAACAGGCGCCCACCGCCAGGGTCCCCAGATCCGAGGACCTTGTGCTACGCGGACGGGGAAAGTATATACATCAAGACATCATCATCATCATCAGGTGAAGTCGTAGCATTCAAGCAACGGCGTGCCAACCTCTTTCTCGCGAAGTAGAACCACTCGCTCCTCGTCAAATCCGACACATCCCTGCATCCGAGTCGCCCCGGCTGCCAGCCCTACCGGGTTGGCTTCAAGGACCGACCCCGGTAGTGGCGGCTTGTTCTCCGCGCTGATCTGAATACTGTTCTCCTCCACTGGCCGGTGGGTATTCAATGAGGCAACAGCCGTCTCCAACTCCCAGATGCGAAGCTCATCACCACGAGAGCTGACCGATACCGCCTTCCCGCGGTTGGTCACTTGCACGGCGGACACCGACGAGGTGTGGCCCCAGAGCCGCTGGCCACCTCGAACAAATAGACTGTTGGTGGTCGACACTACCAAGTACATGGTCAATGTGTTGTCCGCATGCGAAGTCAGCAGGTACGGGTGCGAGTAAGACATGGAGGTTGGCGGTTGCTGGTGTGATATGGAAGGCACACAGGGTGCCCCGGAGGCAGACGACTCAAACTGAGCCGTGGAATGACGCCGTTTTCGTGACTGTGGTAGACCCTGTAATGGCCGCATCCCGTATTGGGAGTCTACCGTGGTGGCGAGTTGTGAATCCCGCTGTTGGCCATCTTTACCCAAACGCAACTCTTGAATCCCCAAAGACCAGCCACAGCCAATGTGGAAGAAGCTATAAACAATGGTGGCGGTGATGTCGAAAGGTGAGACCCGAAGAGATAGAGTCACTGGTGCGACAATGTTATCCGCTCGGAGGGACGCGAGCTGCTGGGGCTCCTTGTCTGCAATGGCCGAACCTGCGGCATGCGGCGTAGGACGCAAGTTGTACAATGATAGAATCTTATGTTGAGAAACCATGAGGAGATATGGTGATGACAAGGCCATGGCGGTGATGGCTCCACCGCTAAACCCGACATGAGATGACCGCAAGTCCAAATGGACTGTTTGAGGGTTCCAAGAGTAGAGACTGAAGCATCCGTTTACAAATCCAACCACAATCTCAATTCCATCTTCTTGTTGGCTCACGGCTAGTGCTGTCGGTGCTGTCACAGATGACTTGGATTGGCCTTCGGAAAAGGAGGCCCTAGCCAGACAGGACTTGGGGTCGTTCGCCATCCAGGCCCGCAGTCCATAGGTCGAATCGGCTGTGAAGACAATACCAGCACAGAGCTTCACGAGGGTGGGAGGGCATGGCGGTTCAGCAAGTTCAACTTCAGTCACTCGGCAAGCTCCTTTTGACCAGTTGTGTCGGAGCCGATACTGTCTCTTCCAGTTGGTCACTTTACCCTCCTCTGCCAAGTGGCTGTGATCGAACCATGTCGAGACTTTCGGCGAATATTCCGTCTTGGAAGGAACCAGTGTCGTGCGCCGGGAATTTGCCAATCGCCGGGCTCGGGGTCGCACCCACTGCGAGTAATACTGCCTTTTCCAGAGCTCCGAGTCTCCACTAAGAGCATTGAACCGACGGGATAAACTGTGAGAACAAAGATTAGCACCAATCCACAAAGCCGTGGAAAGCCAAGCCTTACCTTTGACAGACATTCAGGGACGATATTGGAAGGAAGGACAGGATATGCAGCAGAAGTTCGTCACTCAAGGACGAGAGGCGGTCGAGCGAGCTCGTCGTCGCATTGCGTGCACGTTTGGCTGGAGGCACACTTGGCTGAGGACCCTCTCGACATCGCTTCAACATGCTGTATCATCTAAACCGAAATAAAAATCAAAATGAAGAATGTAACGAACATCGCCGGCGGCGAGTCGTAGGAATAATGAGGAATAATGGTGAAGAAAGGAAGAAAGAAAGAACCCATGGCTGATTGATCGACCTTATCGTTGATAAGCACGAAGGCGGTGAAGCCTTGGCAAGTCCCGTCAGTCGCGTCCGAGTCGCGTTGACCAACTCGTCTAGCTAAGAAAGGCTATGGAGGTTCTCAAGGAACTTCACGCCTCAGTTGCAGAGGCGTGTGAGGTGTCTTTTGACAATGCCTACCGACATCTGAATTCCTCACTGGCCCGCTACGAGGAACGCGTGCGGGATGCCGAACATAACGCATCGATGGCCAGCCAAGCCCAGAAAACGGCCGAGGACCGAATCCAAGCCCTCCAGCATGAAATCTCGGTGCTCCAGACGGAGCTGAAGCGTTACGAAGTGGACCCGAAAGATCTTGAACTCCCCCAGAAATTCTCCAATCTGGAAGACGAGTTTTCCCCGAAACATGTCTGGGAGAGCCATGTGGACCATGCCCATCCCGAGGCCGAGAGGCCACCAAAAGGGGTCGAGGCCAAGTACACTGCATTATATGACAACCTGCAGACGTTTATCCAGACCTGGAGTGGCCTCAAAGCCAGAGTGTTGCAGCATAAGAAGAAGCTGAGATATTGGGATCGCCAACTGGAACGGGATGAGTTCACGCTCGTGCGCAATGGTTTGCCGGTCACTTTTCGAAAGGTTGCAAGCGGCGTGGACAAGCACAAGCACAAGACCCCGGTCTCTTCACGGAAACGATCACGTTCAAAATCTCATGAGGTCTCCGAGGCCCCTTCGGGTGACTCCAACGCCTTACCGAACCAGAACTCAGCGGCAGATAGGAATTCCAACATCAAGACTGAGCAGCAAAGCCAGAATCTACTTCGCTCAGAATCACCAGGGCTACCTTCAACCCAGACTAGTTCCCCTAGACGTGATCTCACATCCTCTGAACCTGGCTCTTTCGAAAGTCAGGATACCCTGCCAAGTGTGCCACTGCAAAAGAGAAAACGAATGCCATGGGAAACCCCTTCCAACAATAATACATTGTCCCATAGTCATCCAAGAGGTGATGTTTCTGACCAACCGGTGCTTATTAAAAGTGAACCTGTGTCCTCGAGCCCAGTCCGGCAGCCGTCGCAGTCACTTGGACAGCTTCCTTCCAGCACGCAGGATCTTGACGAGATTGGCATAACAATACCAACGCCCACGAAACGCAAAGCCGAGTCCACGCACATCTATACCGAGGACGCACAAGCTTCTCATGACGACTCGGACTTGACTCAGCCTTGCCCTCAACGAATATGGCCAGACGAGCAGTTGCCCCAGCCATCTGTGCTCCAGCCTGTTGATGGAAATGCACGCACTTTCAATGTCTCTGAGCCCGGATCCAACACCAAAAGACGGAAACAGGTGGATATGGATCTGCGCGCGATATCCGGCCTGGCCGAAGATGGTGACCGAGACGATTGGGAGATGGGGCCACCGAATGCGAAGGTGTCCAGCAAGATCTCTCGGCGACGTCTGCACGATCTTTTAGAGGGATCATTACCCTCTAAATCACCTCTGAGGCCTCCTAATACCACTACAGTTACTGTCCAGGACGGCACAGATGGACGGTCGACGCCTCCAAGAACCCGTGTGCCATGTAGAACTTCCGCTCGGGGGTCAATCCTGCCGCAATCGGAGAGAAAAACCGCTACACGAACAAGCCCAGATGACTTGCCCCCGGAAATTCGTCCTGAAGACGAACCATTCCGTGCCCTACCACTGGATCGGTTGACTCTGAACCATTTTAAGATCAATTCCGCACGAAACCAAGGGGCTGACTACGCATACGACGAGGTGGTTCGCAAGAAAGATGACCGTAAGTGTCTCCCTGGCTGTACTCGCCCGGGATGCTGTGGGGATCATTTCCGTGGCCTGGCTCGTCTTGGTGGTCTGCCAACCCATTCGACCGAGGCAAACCAGGAAGAGGAGCAGAGGATTCTTGAGGAATACATGGGCGATGATCAGCACCTGATTCACGGACTGAGCAGGCAGGATCGCGAGAAGCTCCTGGTAGAGGCGAGGGCCCGACTCATGGCCAACCAATACGGCAGACACCGACACACGTACCAACGAGCGCCAACACCTCCCGGATTCTGGCGGACCGAGATGCCTGACTCCCAAGAAGAAGAATGGGACCGCAAAGCAGCGCGACGGCTGGAGCGGGAGAAGGTGGAGGAGCGGTATCGCGAGGCCATGCGGCCGGGAGGGTTGTGGCAGTGGGCGGATGAATAAAGTATTCTAAGAACGACCATAATATTCCACCACAACGCTAGGTGACAGTAAATTAGGCGCTGAAAACGGCCCGTTTTGACGCCATTTAAGCGTCCTAACTAGTAGCCTCAGGTGTTCGCTGGTGGCATGGATTACTATTCAACAACTAGGATGGCGGCACATACTGCAGCCTCGATATCTGCACGAGCAGCCTCTGTCATTAAGCATTGTTGGCGAACCAATACAAAATGACAAGTAACCGCCCGGAGAGCGCGAATCTGCCCGTTGCCGTAAACCTAACGGACTTGTGTAGATGGCATTGGGTGAGTAGTATGATATCAAGGGAAAGGAAGCCGTGTTTTAGCTTATGGTTTGCTAGTTCTCGTAGAGCCTCAAAAATTGTCCAGCCGAGGATCTGTCGTAAGAAGCTTCTCCACCAATGGAAACCTCTTGGTAGCAACTGTGAGATCACACCAGAACCCACCATTTGCCTTGCACATAATCTGTGTATTATACCTCGTTGGAAAACTGCGCAGTAGCGAATGTCCCAAAACAAGAGGTGGAGCCGTAACGCATCCATCAGAATCCTCCCTCGGTACAACAGCCGGACCCAAGTCGATATTGCGCCACGCACCGCACCAATTGGTACATGAGTAGCTCAATTCACCCGGCTCAACGATATGGAGAGACTGCTTCCGTTTCCAGAGCTCCTTAGTAATCGCCAAGTTCCGCTCAATATTCTCCAACCGCAGTCCTTCAATCACCGCGAGACGGTGCTAGTAGGACAGCTCTGCGAGGGGTACTTGGTCTGGATTAGACATATGCAAAACAGCGTAGGATCCCGCATTGTGAAGATATGGCTTGTCAGCAGGAAGTAAAGGGTGTCTTCCACGGCAATTCATAGCTGTGGCCATGGCCACCGTTCTGGAGGTTTTCCGACCAAGAAAGGCCAATTTCGTCAGAAGTGCAGTTATGATATCGCCGCTTGTCAATGAAGGAGTTTCTTCTCCGTACTTTGTTTTCAGAGCCCGGGAATGACGGTTGCGCAGGTTTTCCACTAGCTTGATAGGCAAATACAATAAACGCCGAACTTCCTTTGGGTGGAGAATGATATCTGGCAAGTGGTTCATTACTGCCTTCACTCTCTCCGATTTGCGCACTATGCGGTACGCATTCTTCTTTCGCAGCACTTCCTTCGAAGGGTTCTTCAGACCATCCAATGCGCCAGGCTCCAGCTGAAGAAACTCAGGCGGTGTCTCGCCATTGACAAGCTGCATCCAAGCAGTGATCAGACACCCGAAACCCATCTGATCGGTGACCGTATGCGGTAGATTCAACGCAACAACCGTAGCGTCCGCATATTTAGTGACATGCACGAGAAGAAGCGGCGTATCCGGTGCCTCAAATTTCCGCTCTCGAGGCCAAGTGGAGGGTGTCCATACTCCTTCCAGTTCCGGGATTGAACGTGGCCCGTGCAAGATATCACAATCAGCTTGTGCCATACCATCGGGCAGCAACTGGGCATCTGCGAACGAAGATTCCACGGAGTCAGTTGTCCACTGAAACAGACGATAGTCGGTTGGAAAGGTCCTCGGTAGGCAATAGGCCAGGCCCCCATTGTTGGAAGCTTCAAGGCGAGCTCCGAGAATAGGCAGGTGGTTCCTGATGAGTCGATCTAGTGCGGCACGCATTGCTTCTTCATTGAGGATCTCCGTGACGATGAGGAAGACGAACGTGCGGATCTTACTAATTGGCTGCCATTGGTCTATTGGTTCTACGGGGATGATTTTGAATTTCCCCTTTGTCAGGATGTCGGATCCGTTTGTGGCTGCCATTTGGTACGACTCGCGGCCGAGGGCAATTCCGACTTTTCCCTAGATATGAAAAAGGAGACATTCAGGAGACCATGGCTGTCAGCAGTGAGGCTGTCAGCACTTGCTCCAGACCAGACTAGGGTTATCTGGTCGATCATTTGCCGTATGTGGTAATCGTGTCAAGAGCATGGTTCGGGAATGTTGAGCAGATACAAGTGAATAACTTCTGTAAAATAAACAGAGGGTGAAACAACACTTGGGGGAAAACCGATTCCGATGAGTGGCTGGATAAAAAACAATGGTTCTATCACCTAACCAAGCTACTGTTTATGGGCAAGACCCTTGACGCTACCACACATGGCGACCGAATTGTATGTGGACGAGACCTATCAATTGATCTTGTCAATGATTCCTGAGCCCTGGGAGCTCATCCCTTCCCGAGGTGGCATTTTTACCGTCGCCTAGATTGCATCCTCAATTTCCATACTGTCGGCGTAGTAGAAGAATTACCAAAAGCAGAACAGCCTCGGTTCGCCGTCTTGGCAGATGCGGGATCCACGTGCCCCCCTGGCCCAACCTCGTCATTCTTTCTTCTTTCTCTCTCATCCCATCCGATGGCTCTCAGCTGTCTATCGGTGCTGAAACCATGATGGAAACGGCCAAGAATATCCAGAATCCTATCCCCCCCGTGTTGCTACACCCTTCCAAGTGGCTCTCACTCTACGAGGATTTCGTGACCAAAAATGCCAGCTCGGTCGGCCAGGTCGAATCGGCGCTGAGGTCGTTGACGTACATCATTCCAGGTAAGTCGCGCTGCTGCACGGTTGTGCTCGCCAATGTCTGACGGACCCGCGATCCTTTCCAGGACGATATCGTGAATCAGAGATTCCTTCTGAATGCGGTCAGTATCCCCCATGCCTGGTTGTGGAGGGGGTGTGTCTGACAGTCTCATCCAGTGCACTCTGGCGTCCAGCTGTTGTCGCTATATCATGATTCTCTGGTGTCGCGTGTCATATCTCGGCTGCCACCCACCATCCCTCGCCCGCCGCCGACCCCTCATTCGCGATACACGAAATACTGGACCTCTCGCTCCTCCCTGTATCGCCAGGTCGCTCTTGCGCTTCAGATGCTTCAGTATACCGAATTACTCTGGGAGATGGCAGCACGGCGGCGGGGCCAGAAAACCCGGTGGCGCGTGGTTGTCTTTATTGAATTTGCCAAGGCAGTCTGCCGGTTACTTTTGCTTCGCTTGACCAACTCCAGGCCACTCGTCAGCCCGCCACTCCCGGACCGCGAAGTGGACCCACGGTCGACGGAGGAGGAGGACCAGAGCGATTGGAACGGCATGCAGACTCCCGTGAGTGAGCGGTCGTCCGACCTGAGTTGGACGATGCCTCGCACGGGACTCTCCCTCCCGTCCCTTCCGGACGTCGAGGATGTTTCAAACTATCTCATCTCCAAGGTGCTCACTGCCGATGACATTAAGTCACCCAGCGCACTCCTTCACCGCGTGACGGGGCAAGGACAATTGGCCGAAGTCCTTTACATTCTTCGGCCGGTGGTATACGCACTGGCCATGCAGAGATGGAGTGGGGACAAGCGGAGCTGGCGGCCATGGCTGATTGGATTTGGAATGGAATATGGCTGTCGGCAGCTTGCTAAGCGGGATTTCCGTGAACGAGTTGCTGGTGGTCTTCGGGGGCTCACCGCGCTCGAGCGAGAGGAGCTGAAAAAGCGCGGGTGGTCCATGGGCTGGTGGTTGATGCGAGGCGCCTTCTATGAGAATATCACCAAGTATGTTCCCCTCCGGTACCTGAAGCTTGATTAACATGCTAATCCTTGGACACAGGTCATGGATCCAGAGCGTCACCGGCAAGATGAAGGGTAAGCCTCTCCTAGACCTGGTGGGCAGTGTGGTGGAGGACTATGGATACCTGTGGGACAACTACTACTTCTCGACCGCGACCCTGTGATTCTCCTCCCACTCCCCTTCAAAGATACCCAGCTGGATCGGCTCTGCATTATTCTACTTCAACACTCGTGAAGGAATTATTCCCTTTGTTTCTGGCGTCTTGAGAGATTTTTTCATGGGTATCATCAATGTTGTATTAGTGAGGGTTCATGTTTATCTAGCTTTAATATCGCCATGTCGTCTCAAAGAATCTCTGCCGGTCGGTGACCGTACCAGTCTCGCAGCCCATCCCGAGTAGCGCTCTTTCCCGGACCCGATGCCAGCAGGAATTCACTGAGCCGGGTGTTTCCCTCCTCTTCTTCCTCGTCTGGCCAGTCGACTCGGGCACCACCCTTCAACTCCAGCATTTCCTTGGCTGTGCCCCAGCTGAATCGACACTCGCTACCCCATCCGAAGACGGGGTCCAGATTTCGTCGGAGCCAGCCAGTACACTTGGAATCTGAGGGATAGCCACTGCCCCAGCCGTCCGGGGTGGCGTTCGGCGCTTCCTTGAGGGATGGTGCCTTTAGTATCGACTCGTACAAGACCTCAAGCGCTACATCCCGGGTCACCTTGGCTGCCACACTAGCAGCACTGACACACGGATATAGCGAGTCCGCCTTCTTGGCTACGGTAATCTTCAGGGAAGGGAAGATACGCTCCAATTTTGCTTGGTATGTGGCCGGATTGCCAATTGTGTCAATGTAGACCTCCCGCACGTCCACAGCGCGGTCCTCGACCACTCCGCGGATGAGCTCAATTGTCGCGTCCATGGCTTGCGCGTTTAGGTTGTAAACTGCAACGCCTGGCCTCATCATGCCGGAGGAGATGTCGCGCGCAGAGAGGGATTTGATGGCATACCCGCAGGACTCAAACAGTGGATGGCCCGGGGTATTGAGTAGCTGCATCAGGTTGGCGCGTACCGCCGGGGTGAGCGCTTTACTGTCGTCGAAGCCGTAGTCTCGAGCCAGTAGCGAGCGGTGCAGATCGAGGGGCAGGTAGAAGGCCCCGTAGACCATTGGGCCTAACACTGGGCCACGGCCGGCCTCGTCGACACCTAGAACACATGGAGTGCTCTCTGTCTGGCTGGCGGACGTGTCTTGAGGGGTGATGGCCGAAGGGCAAGGCGTGTAGTAGGCGTAGGACTCGCCGGCGAGCAGAGGGAGTATGTCTATGCTGGGAGGGATGAAGGTGCCGGGCGAGGAGTCTGGCGGAGCATCGGGAACCGGAGTCGATTGGTGATTGTCGTCCATGGTGGTTGTGAACCGACTACAGAGTAGTAGGGAGGGAAGTAGAAGAAGTGAACGCGTCGCCCAGTTGGGTTAGCGGCGGGCGCGTGTTGTACTCCCCCGAATTCCTTCTTCCACTTTCATTTCCCCCTCCACGATCTCTCGTTCTTTCCTTCACCACCAACTTCTCGACATTCTTTCTCCCACCGATCGCTCAAGATGGCTCGAGGGCCAGGAAAGGCCCGCGATTATGACTATTCCAATGTCGGCACAGCAGGAAGGTGAGTCGTTGCTTATCCACCCGCGTGATCGCGGCCACTGATGCAACCATCCTAGGCGTACTGGCCTCACTCTGAAAGAAGGCAGACGCGACGAACATGGCATGGAAGAAGTAGATGGCTTATTTTCGTCTCCTGAGAAGTCGCCGGCCAAGTTGAACGGGTTTGGCGCCGCGGCAGACGACGATTCCGTCGGCTCTGAAATGTCGATGGACGAAGGTGCGCTGACAACACTCTCCCTTCCTACACGTCTGATGCTAAGTCTCCCCGATTTTGACAGGCAATGGGCCTGGTCCCATGGATTTTCTCGGCGCGAATGGCTCTCGCAACTCGTACTTACCACCGCCTCTCGCACGCTCCCCTATGAAGAGTGGCCTGACAGGGTCACCACGGAGGACTCCTGGGTTTCGATCTTCCCCGGATCCACAGAATGAAGACATGTCATCTAGTCCCTCTGAGGGAAGAAGCTTGCTTTCGACCCGGGAAAACACGCGTCTGGATCCCTCTCCCCTATCTACCCGCTCGGCGAATGCTTCAAACAAGAAGAGCAGTTCCATGAGAAATTTGAAAGTACCAGCCGCTGCGCTGGACTTTTCGGATGACGAGAACGAGGGCCAACTAAATGGTGACGAGAATGGCGATTTTGGGGATAGCTTTGATATCGGCAACGAAACCATGGCAGGCGACAATGAAATGTCTGATTCTCCAGCTCCTCGGAATAATCTGGATGGCGACTCTTCTTTGACGGAAGTTAATTCGCGCCGGGCTGAAAAAGCTGCATCGTCTTCGACTGCAAGGAGAGGAGCCCCGTCGAAGACTTCCAGCGCCAGCAAGGCTGAGCCGAAAAAGCGTGGACGTCCCCGAAAGACGCATCAGCCGGCCGACGAAGAAGTAGCCGATCCGAGACCGACCAAGAAGCCGAAGACGACTGCCTCGGCTCCTCAACGTGCGCGTGAGCCCCTGGATCCAGAACTCGACAAGGTGGTTGAGAATTACGCAAACCGTACCGGTCCTCTGAAGGGCCGCAGCTTGTACATCCTCAAGCGAGAGATACCCACAGAGAACAGTAGTACCCACACCCGCTCAGGACGAGTGTCAGTTCGGCCCCTCGCTTACTGGCGAAATGAACGATGTGTTTACGGAGATGGAGAGGCTGTCGAAGGGCAAAGATACCCACTGTCAACCATCAAGGAGGTTATCCGGACCGAGGAGCTTGAGCCGGAGAAGCAAAAGAAGAAAGGCAAGCGCGCGGGCCGGAAATCCAAGTCGCGGAAGAGCAAAGATGATAGCTCAGACGAGGATGATGAAAATGCCGATGTTTGGGAAAAAGAAGGAGGTGTTCTTCATGGTTACGTCCGGAAATGGGACAGCGACCTGCAGGCGGGGAGCACCGAGGAAGAGGTTCTCGGTAGGTTTTTTTTTTTTTTTGTTATTGCTGAATTGGTTTGTTTCAACGCTGACTCTAGGCCTGCACAGACATTGCATACGCACCGTCTGGCATCGAAACGAGGGATGTCAAAGGTTCCACCTTCCGGTTCGCCAAACTGCTTAGTTCGACGTTCATTGGGTCCGGTGTCGTTGAGCTTCCGCCTGCGGGTGTCAAAAAGCCAAAGAATTCGAAGAAGATGCATATGGTCTTTTACGTCTGCCACGGACGCGTGGACGTCGATATCTCAGGGGTTCAATTCAGCGCTGGCAAAGGATCTGTCTTCCAGGTTCCGAGGGGTGAGTCTCGTTGTCGTTTGGGAAGAGTCTCGATATTGACTAGTCGAAAGGGAACTACTACAGCTTTCAAAACTCATATGACAGGGAAACACGGCTATTCTTTACGCAGGGATGCGTTCCAGCCGAGGGCGAAATGTCCCCTGAGGCGTCCGCGTCCAGGGATCCTGGGCCCGAAAGCGAAGTCGAGCCTGAAAGGGCACCTCCTGCGACAAAGGGGCGAGGTCGGCCTAAGGGCAAGCAGAAGGCTAACAAATAGCCTTGCTTTGTCTGAGTTTCTTTTCTTTCTTTTTGGTTTTTGGCCCTAGTGTCTTTTTCTATACTTGTCGGCCGTGCGATCTGATACCTACGAAATTGCGCTTCTGGAGTCCTGGTGTGGGGTTGATTGGTTGTCTGTTCTCAGCGATTCTTAGCGATGAATATCGGGATATCGGTGTTAGTTACTTGTTTATTCGTTTGCTGGCTGGATCTATATGTGATTAATTGGTGATGGAGGAAAGAGCGTCATTCATAACAATGCAAATTGTTTAGCCTCCATCCGAGTTGTCCATCATATCTCTTCCATCAATTCATCTAGATCATCATCCAACCCCAACGGAGGGAAATCCCCTACCTCGACCTTCTCCGGCTTCACAAAAACACCCCTTTTCTCGCCGCAGCCAAAGTAGCGCTGGCCGCCCACGCTGCCATCGTTTTTCCCAGTCGGTTCGTCCAGCTCAATGCCCACCCAGATCGGCCGTAGCTCTGCAGGTACCTCCGTAGGTTCCATCTCACGAGGCAGCCCAGAGATAGGAATCGTTGGCACCCGTCCCACAAAGCGGACGGTACCCCGACGGATATGCGGTGGCGTAGAGGGCAGGATGATGACCCGCTTATCGACAGTAATGCCTGCAATTGAGTGAGATGATGTTGGTAAACAGGTGATATGCGTCACCGGTTCAAGGGTTGTTTATACCTCTATTAGAGACCTCCGCCTGGTCTTTCTCAACTTGGTTTCGCAGGGTCTCCTCGGGGGAGGCGGTGCTGGGGTCGAAGCGGCCAAGTTTCTGGTTCTTCTTCCATGCAAGCACTGAGTTTGGGAGAGACTCGTACGTCTCTGTGGGCAGGACATATTTGTCAACAGATGACAAGTCCGAGAAGTTGGGGCGCATTGCCTGAGGGCGGGTGTCGTGAACCTGAGCGTATTTGATTAGCACATGTCTGGGATGATTGACTGTGTGAAGAAAGCATCTGTTGCCTCCTCCTCCTCCTCCTCCTCCTCTCTGCTGTAGGCTATAGTGTGGGGTGGTGATGGTCTCATAGATGTAGCACCACCACCAGAAAGCCCCACAGACCAAGTGCCTAACCACATGGAAGTAGAATCACCCACCTCAATCTCCGACCCCTTCACCAGCCCCCACTCGCTGACAATCCGATCGTCTCCTTCAGCCCACTGGTCCGGCCGACCAGGCACTTTGATGCGCAGGCGCTGGCTTCCCGGCGGCACACCAGTCATGGTCTCCAGCTTGCCCTTGAGCTGGAAGAGAGTCCAGCTGGGCGTGATGCGACGCTCGTTGACGAAGCCGCGATCTCCCTCTCCGCCTCGACCAGAAGCCGGAGCGGAGACAAGGACAGAGATATCCGCCGGAGTTGGTTGGAACGCCATCTGGAAAGCAGTATTAGCATCAATATTGTTGTGTGGGTTGAAATAGGCATAAGGCATATGGTTGTTGAATTAGGGCTTGTGGGAGGTGTCTCAATGGGTCAGGAAGGCATTAGAATATTGCAGCCCGTAATGTACTAGTAATCAAGACTGTGCGCCGTGGCCGTTGGGTTTCAAGTATGGAAAGATGAAGAAATATCAAGCTTGCCCGTTCCCCTGAGCAACATCCAAGGCCACCACAACCGTAGGAGCTTCCACAGCAAACGTCCAGAATCGGCCGTCGCAGAATATACAAAATGTGACTTTGGAGCAAAACAAAAGCTTACGTACCTTGAAATTCACTTGTTTGGCTGTTCGTGTCTGCCCGGAATAACCTTGGACGAATCTGCCCCGTTTGGATATCGGGACGCTGAGTCAGCACCGGCGAGATGGGTGTGAGGCGCGGGAAGGGTGGGAGAGGAAGGGACAGGGCAATCGGACGAAGAATAACTCTTAGCTAGTTAATTAGCCGAGTCGTTGCCAGTGGTGGTTATTCCAGGAAGTCGATGTAATAATACCCATCTCATTCAGTCTATAGTCCATGGTCACGTGTCATCCCTCTCTCATCTCCCTCTCGCTTATCGCTTCAATTCTCGACTTGAAACTTCACCGGATGAAATTAACATGGCCGCCCCAGACGCAGATGCCTACGAGCAACAGAATGTGCACGAGGTGTACCAGCAGATTGCTGATCACTTCTCCTCCACCCGGTATAAGGTCCGTAAACCCGGCCTGCTCCAGCACCCGGCTTGTCACTCACCACTACTATCCAGCCATGGCCCATTGTGGAACAATTCCTCCGAAATCTGACTCCGGGCGCCGTGGGTCTTGATGTCGGATGTGGCAATGGCAAGTACTTGTCTGTCAATCGAGATGTCTTCATTGTTGCTTCCGATAGGTAAGATCTAGAACGGTTGAAGTGATTTCCATGTACAAAGTTGTTGTTTTTAGTGATTTCTTAGTTACACTGTGTTCTTTCCCTCTTCTGCATGTCCATGTCCAGGCTCAATCTGACCCAATTCGACAGATCTGAGAATCTGGCGCGGATCGCGGTGAAGCACCAGCCGCATTCGACCATTGTGGCCGATATTCACCATCTCCCGCACCAGAATGCCTTCTTTGACTTTGCCATCTCCATTGCCGTGGTGCATCACCTGTCGACTCCGGTACGCAGAGTCCAGGCCATCGCGGAGATTCTGCGGACCCTGAAGTCGGGCTCAGAGACGCAGGCCGGCGGCAAGCTCCTGATCTACGCGTGGGCTCTCGAGCAGAAAACCAGTCGCCGTGGTTGGGATAAGGGCGACCCGCAGGACATCATGGTCCCTTGGGTAAGGAAGGGTGGATCAACCAAGGAAGGCACGTCTGAGGAGCCCCAGACATTCCATCGCTACTACCACCTATATGAGGAGGGGGAGCTGGAACGGGACATCGACCAAGCGGGTGGCCGCGTATTGGAATCGGGTTATGAAAAGGACAACTGGTGGGTTATTGCCACACCCAAAGATCGGCCGTGACAGATGAAAGAAAAAGGAAAACCGCGTGGGAGTGTGCTCCGAGAACCAGCCTCAAAGTCATCATTTATCGAAATGAGAGTCGCAAAAGGTGAAATGAAATCCGACACCAGATCCTCCACGTGTTTCACGCCGAAGATGCTCTCAAAAGAAAAGGCGAACAGAAGAGCTCGCAACAAAAAAAAGAACACCAAAGGGGAGAAATCATCTATACGATTTGCTCCGTCCAAACCACGAGATACCTCCAACCGGCGCTATGCAATTCGTAACAAAAAGGAAATTCAGGAAGCCGTTCAGGCGTGGTCGTCGTCGTCTACTCATCTTAGGGCAAGGTACGAGGCGGGATGCCCATACCCATATGAGGGCCCATGGGAGGTGGGATGCTGGCCATCTCAGGTGCTCTACCAACTCCATAAAACTCACGTGGCGGCGGCGGGGCCGGTGCGAATGCGGGAACCCCCGCCGTTAATTCTTCCAGAGATGGAAGCTGTGGGGGAAGACCAGGGTGGTGACCGGGAATCGCACGGGAGGTCGACCCTTTCCGTGGCCGCGCTAGTGAGGTGCTGGCCCGGCGGGTTCTCGTGGTAGGGGGGTCGATTGCTGTACTGGACAGGGAGAATGGGACGACGCCAGCACGACGAGCCATCTCTTGTTCGCCCAACTGCCAGTGCATGGCTTCGGCTGCTCGCCAGGGGATAGCCATTTCCTCTGCAACCTTGGACCACATCTCCGCTTTGAATCTGTCACAAAATATCGAATATTAGCCGGCTGCAATCTACTTCCTCACGAATCTGTTCTTCCATGTTGAACCTACCTCTCATATAACCGCGCCAATTTGTTCTTCTTGTCCTCGTCCCACTCACTGCGGCGCTCCAGGTAGTTTTGATAGTGCAGCCGGCAGCTGATCGCACTCCGGCCCGGTAATCGTCTGCTGATATCCTCCCACTTCATCCCACTGCCACGCAGCTCAATAATCAACGCATCTTCTTCCGGTGACCACTTGGACTGCTTCTTGGCCGGGGATTCGGACGTGTGCGCCGGTTGTAGACGCTTTCCCGGATTGCTTTTGATCAACGGCGGCGGCGCTGCCACGAGGCCAGGCCCCGGTGGCAAAATGGGCGCCGACGAGCCCGGATACGGTGCCGGGATGGAAACGGGTGGATAAGCGGCGGAGCTGTTCACCTGGGTGGCCTCTTCCTCATCTTGGGGCTTGAGTAGTAGTGAGATATCCACTTTGGCGGGAGGCAAGATGGGCCGATTTTGTAACGCAATCATATGCGCGAGTGGGAACCAGCAGGACTTTTTGAGAGAGAGAAAGAAGGGAAGATAGTAGTAGATTGAAAGGGAGGCGCCTAAGCCCGTGGCGTCCTCAGGTGGAAGGGAGAGAAGAGTGAGAGGGGAGTGGGTTCTCGTGATCTCGAATGACGACAGGCAGTCAAACGGGGCCAGAAGGCAACCAGGCCAGATAAGCTGCCAGTAGTGGACTCTAGCAAGGGAGGTGAAGAGAAAGAAGACCCAAAGGGATAGTCGAGCGTCTCTTCGTGCAACAGACAATGGTGAGGTCAGGGCCCTACGTGTACGGGACGGGTACCGTGGAATCTGACGAAGTGGCCGTATGAGGTGGTGGAAAGTATATGATGGGTGATAGGAGGTGTGTAGTAGAGGGAAAAAAGAAGAAGAAAAGAGAAAGATGAGGGAGAGAGAAAAAGAAGTCGAGTGTCCCGACAGAGAATGAAGAGAGAGTCCAGAACCAGATGAAACCGAGCGATCATCAGTGACAGCTGGATCTCGAGATCGTGGGTTTACCGGTAATATGCTACATATCCACCTCATTTAATTAAGAGCTCAGGGCCCTTGCAATCTTGTCTGTTTCGTTCTTCCGAACAGACCGTTCGAGGCCGGTGGGGCATCCATCTATACTGGGGTGTCTAGATGATAATATAGTACAAGCACCCAGACTACTGTAGTTGTTCATATCGTGGCTATTCTGGTAGACTCTCTATAGGACATGCACATTATTCCTTCGACGCAGACCCGCCCGCGCCATCCTGAAATCACGGAGGATGCGCAACACAGCTTAAAAGCACAGGCCAGCTCGCCAACGGCCGTCTTAGCCTAGGCGCTAGGACGGGGCCCCTAATGCCCTACCGTTGCGACTAACCGTTTAATCCATATTAAAAAAAAATCCCGTTTTGAGTCGTCGCTCCGAACGGTTGGCAGCATCCACCCAACCGGGGATTTTTCTGGTCAGCAAGGGCGCACCGTCCCCTGTTCTTCTGCCCCATTCCGGGCGAACTGCTGCAAAACAGCAAAGGATTCCTGGTTTGCTGCAGTGGATCAGACCCCCCGGTGGATTATTGGCGTCTTTGACCCTCGTCGTGGGCACGACGACCTCATTGTGAAAGCAGCCACATTTAAGCTCCCCCAGCTCTGCAGGATGATTGCTGTCACACGAGGCAGTCAACCGATCTCCAGTTTGCCCTTGCGACGAGGTTGATCCGGGCCTAGAATTGCGTTCGTGGGAGTGGAGGCCGTCTCAGAACCCGCCTAGCGCGCCCCCCCTTGGCCCTGAATTTGTTTCCCAGGGAACCGTGGTTTTTCCCACATGGCTGACACGAGAATGACGGCTTGAACGACGGGTCAGGTTCTTCGGTGGGTCGTTGCCACAATGGAATTATGATTCTGTAGGTTCTACACGCGTATCTACTTCTATACATTCCTAGGAGGTATATAGGAGCTGTGATTTAGGCAAGAGGGACTCCAGCTCAGTGACGATCGGTTCGGTTGCCTGAAACACCCGTTCAGCCCTCGACCGGGGGATCAGCAAGAAGGCGAACCCGTCCTCTCTGTATTTTATCTCTCTCCCTCCGGTTTCCTCCCCGCTGGCTGCCTCTTTCTTCAGTTTTTTTTTTTTATTTGCTAGCACCAGGGTCCGGTCCCCGAAACACATAAGAGCCCGTCAACCCCAGGATGTGCAGCGCCAGCAAATCACCGCCGTGTAGGGCGGGTCCCATCTCGGAGACCGCGTCCGGACGACTTGAATATGCCGTTCGGCATCTACGGCTTCGTCCGAGCAGTCGTGGGAACGGGTTGTAAAATACAGAGTATCAACAAATAAGAGAAAGCAGGAGGGGGAGGGGGCCGATCGGAATCGAGGCGAGGGTGACCAACTAGGTATGCGCGAGGGCCGCAGCCACGACGATCGGCCTAGTGCCCTAACGGTCGAGCCCGTCATTGGCGGTCGCTCCTGCGACGGAGAGTGAGGATACAGGGATTGACCCTGTGTACACGGCCACACAGCAACGGCCAACCATGAAGAACCAAACGGCGCGGGTGGGGGTGCACACCGTTGGATCATCCCGACTAATGACCCAAGTGGGCATGGTGGCGCGGAGGATTTGTGTCTTCTATTTATTGCCTGGTGAGGATCGCCCGAATTGTCCGACACATCCACCAAAAAAACTGGGTCTGCTCATTTCCTCGCGTTTCATGGCGACGCTGGGTTTAATTTATTTGGATCGCCGTCATTATTATTATTCTTTACCGAGGATCGTTGCCCGTCATGATTCCTTGCTTGATTCCTTGCTCTGTTCCTCCGCAGAACACACAGACACACCATTGTCCTGCTTGAGACCGCTAGACTAGACCGGCTGAAAAAGTGGCTCTCGATGGAGCCTTTGTTGTTGATCCGTGTCTTGATTTGCTCACGGCCCTGCGATGCGGTGGGTCAACGGTAGAGACGAGGAACACCGCTGTCACTCTAGATTTTAAAGTCAGTGCGTCTTGCTCCTTCCAGTCCTGTTTGGTGAACCGAGAAGGAGGAATGTTCTTGTCAGGGATAAATGTGACATCGTAGCGAGAATGCGCGAAGGATGAACCCTTGTTCGACCTGTCCGCCTTGGTCTATAGCAAGGGCCACTAAACCCCCGAATTGAATAATGTCAACACCGCTCCGATCACCATCGAGCGGTGTGAAAAGAAAAAGCCCATGGTAGGCAAACATGCTGGTCCAGATCCCAGCAACGCGATGAATCGTCAGCTCCACAAACGAGCAACCTGAAACCGCCTCGACCACCCCACAGGGCAGAGGCGTCCCTCGTCTAGACCCAAGCGCGGTCAACGACCCTTCTGGACTCACTCAGTACCGAGGGTCGAGGGGTGCGGACAAGGAACCGGTTCACGGAAGGAATTCTAGGGCTCATTTAGATGATGCCGCGCGGGACGCATTTCTTCAGTGGTCCTGGTGGACCCGGCCTGATGGACAACTGAGTTGATGCCTCACACACGGGCTAAGACTCCTTCCTGAATAGTCTTGCTTAAATCCGCGCGGTCTGGACTCGCTGCTTCGCTTGTGGGCCGTTGCGGAGTCGGTTCTTCGGTGGCTAGGCGCGGGATGCGATCCAGTCTGAGAGCTCTCTGGAGTCTGGCAGGCTCTCCTGATCAGGCCTCTCTTTGTGCCAGACATGTGTACCCGACAGTTGACACAGAGAGAGAGGAGGACGAACTATGTTAGCATCACAGCGTTTGTATTTGTTTCGGGAATTTATTTTGATACTGTAGAAGGCAATCTGAATCTCGGTTCGATGCGCTCCAGGAATAATTTTGAAAGCAGAGAACAATGCCGCAGACATGATTTGAATCCTTATTATTTTGTTTTGTATCCGGAATACGCATGGGCCTGAAAACCGAGGGTTTTGAGAGCGGAACAAAGCGTGCCCTTTGTCTAGTCTTTGACGGTGAACATATGGATTGACTACTCGTGAAAGAAAACACGCATACCTCAAGGACCAAGGACAAGGGATAAACATTTCTAAATCTGTCGATGTATATTCTACAGCCTTTTTATCGCAACTGACTGTTCATTCACCTCATTCGTCTTCAAACAGCGTCTATCCGTCTGATCTAAACTTCTATGGCTCCTATAATGAACACAAACATGTCAAAAGGACCAGATGGGCTTCTCAGTGAAATGGCTACAATCGTCTTTCCAGAGGGTCTTACTTTCACGGCAGATAAATTCAACGGCACTCCCTTCAACAGACTCGGTTCAGAGACAGCATCTTCCTCTCAAAGCCTCGCACTGCCCTCTCCATGGTATTTTCACTACCAGAAAGTCGTCAGATGTCGCCTGAAACCAACTTCTCAGGAGGCTCTCTAGGTCCGGATAGCCCTGCTTTTCAGCCTCTAGACAAGCCCGATGCGTCAACCAACACCGAGGAAACTAACAACCCCGGAACAGGCCCGTGGAGGGTAAGTCATTCCTCCCATATATCTTTTGAGCTATTCTAACCACTGTCTATAGACCTCCTTTGAGCCCGATTGGGAGGATTCCAATGCGACCCAAACCGAAATCGGATTCGCCAACTCAGGAGAAACGTGTTACCGGAATGTTCTTTTTCAAACGCTTCTCCATGCGCCGATTGTCATGAACTGGCTCTCCTGGTACCACCTGCACCATGTACCTGAGGGCCGAGCCTGTCAACAGGGGTTGAATGGTTCAGAATGCCGGCTTTGTTTGTTCTATCGTCTCTGTGCATGCTATTGGGATGAAACCTTCGGAGCATGGCACCTCGCTTTTAACAATCTGTGGGATGCTGTCTTCGACTGTTGGGGGCTAGTTGATAAGGGTGGCCAGCAAGATCCCTTGGAGCTATGGAACACCTTCTACACACAGCTGGAGCAGGACACGTTGAGTTTGTTGTGAGTTTCCATCTTCGCTCTGCTGGTGAGATATTGACTGATACATTCAGCCGCTCGGACCTGGAGGACATCTTCAAGACCACCAAAGTGGAGGTGTATGAATGCGCGTGTCTTCCGAACAAGATCGTAGAAGATGAATCGCTGTTTTGGTTAGTTCCACTGACATGGCAACGGAACCCCCTTGAGATGGATCAATTAATGAAGAACTATTTTGAGGACAAGACTATCGAGGGTGCGACTTGCGAACACTGCCAGCAAAAGAAAACGGCCAGAACGCGAATCAACCACCCACCCGAGCTTCTCTTCATTCAGCTCCAGAGAAGAATTTACGATCACCACATACAGCAGCCCGTCAAAATCACAACCGGTGTAGCTCTTCAAGAAACCTTGAGCCTCGATCGCAATTGGTTTTACTCGCCAGGACCATCGGAAGAAAGAGTCGCTGTTGAGTACGAGTTGTGCTCGACCATCTTCCACCTAGGGTCCAGCGCCAACGAAGGCCATTACATGGCTGCCGTGAAGAACCATGGCCGGGGCTGGACACTTACCAATGATCACCAGGTAAGGAAAGGGTTTGGCTTTGATCAGGTTCTCGAGCAGAGCAAACATGGGGAAGTTTTCATCCTCGCGTATCGTCGAAAGCCCATGAAGCCGGATTATTACATGGAAATTGACGACATGCAACTAAATAAGAACAAAGGGGAGGAAGAGTTCCAGTCCAAACGCAGCAGTAGGAGTGAATCCCCCACGAGGACGTCACCGGAGGAGCCGATATGGTATCAGGAAACCAAAGATGGGGATAGGATGAGGGTTGAGCGGGAGTCGCTGGGCAGTGAACGAGACACAATTTCCATTGGTCACTTTGACCAGAACAATGAAGCCTGGATGAAGGAGTACAAGGCGACGGGGAGGCTCCACCGCTCCAAAGCCACGGTCCCTCGGGTCACCAGGTCGACCAGTGTGACGAAAGTGATCAAGACCAAAGTGGCCGAAGAGAAGGGGCAGGGAGGAAGAGGAGGAAGAGGAGGAAGAGGAGGGAGGGGAGGCAGAGGACGGAGAAGAGGAAGGGGAGGAAGGGAGAAAGTAAGTGAGTGAGTGGGTGGTATAGTTATGTATTTATTTCTGTTTGTTCAATGTTTCAAATGTCACTCCCACACTTACCATGTTCATCGATCAACTCATCACCGAATTAACCCATCACACCAGGGGAGGCGAGGGGCAATCCCAGCTGGATACGCTCAAGCCATTGATGTTGACTCTGCACTGTCTTTTCCCCAATGACTTACTCCTGGCACTCGACCTCCTGGACCGCAGACTCGTGCGGCATTTGGTGCCCACCATCGAGGAGGATGTCTCTCCCACATCAGACCAAGATATATTCCTCGTCATGTCGGCATCAACAGTCCCTCCCCCAGGGGTTTCTCTCTCATCATCCACCTTCACCCAACATCAAAAGGGCTACGAAGTGCGCCTGGGCGCCTGGAACTGCACGTGTCCGACATTTGCGCTCTCTGCATTTCGAGAAGTCAGACCGACGGCAGATGCTGAACCCGTGACTCCCGAGATGGTGCAAGACCAAACCTCGAAGAATCTCGCGTATCCATTTGGGGGCACTCTGACGCGCCCAGTGGCGGAAGGCGCATTCCCGATCTGCAAGCATATCTTGGCCTGTGTGTTATTTGCTCGCTGTCCGGGGCTCTTTGCACCTGACGAGGATGGCCGATGTGCCGTCTCGAGGGACGAATTGGCTGGATGGTGTGCTGGCTGGGGTGGGTGAGATTGCGGCGGACTACGAGTTCAAACAAGCTCCAAGGAGGTGATCGACCAGAATACGCGGGGAGAAACGACATGTCTAGTCGGTCATCCTGAATTGTCCTACTATACATTCATTGCGAGACAGAAAGAAATGGCTCGAAGCGGTGGATTACATTGATCGGATGTCGACCTAAACCGTCTAGCTCTTCTTGTTCTTCTCGGATGAGCTATCTTGCTCCTCCTTCTGCTCGCCATCGGCCGGCCCATTGGCCTTCTTGCCCTCCTTGTCCCCCTTGGTCGCCGCATTGAGCTCCTGCTCCCGCTTCGAATCGCTCTCCTCCTGTTGCTGTCGGTTCTGGATCTTGTTCTCGATCAAGTCATGGAAGGCCGTGATGGCCCGGATCAGACTGCTGATGTAGATGGCCATCAGCTGATCGTTGGTCTTGACGCTCATAGCCCGCGCGAGCTCGCTGTTCTCGATCTGCGGTTCCTGGCCGCTGATCCGTGGGGTCATGGGCGGCGTGGACAGGTTGGGGAGGAGGTTGAAGACATCCTGGAGGTTACCCAGAATGGCATGGTTGACGGGGAGTTCGTGATCGAGGACTTTCTGGAGGTATTGGCCGATATCGCGGAGCCGCAGGTGCAGCCCTTGCAACGACTGCAGCTGCGATGTGATTCGGGTGGAGAGCGTGCCCACGGCGACGTCTCTGATGTCTCGGAGCAGGTGCTCCACGCCAATCTCCTCGGCTTCTTCGGCCTCGATTATGGACGGGGTGTGCACGAAGGTCCTTGAGGTTGTTGTGCCATCCTACACAGACCAATCCAGTTAGCCAATGTACCTAGATTGACCCATCAGCTGCCATCACACTCACATCCTTGATCTCGTCCACGGCAAAGTAAGCATCCGTAGGCACGCCAACCTCCTTTGGTTGCACGTCAACAATGACTAGCAGAGGGTTTGGGGTGTATTTCTTGAAGAGCTCGTTGATCTCGAGATCCGAAGCCCGCAGCTTGGGGCCGGAGTGGTACCACCCGACCAGCTTCTCACGGGCATTGATCTTCTTGAACATGTCCCTCATCGACTCAACAAAGTTGTGGTCTAAGAACCACACCGATGGGTCCTTCTCATCCTCCTCGAACGGCACTAACGGTGTTCCACGAAGCTCGGGTCAGCTCCTAGCTATCCAGCGTGAATCAATGCAGAGAGGGACGCCTGACATACCAGCAAAGCTGTTTGATACCCGGACATTCTGGCCCGTGTTCTCGCCCAGCAGCACGCCGACCACGCGTTTCCGAGTGCCCTTGGCGGTCCGGCCGTAGTGGTCGGCGACGGAGAGCAGGACTAACGGGGCGACCGTGACGGTGCGCTGGACGAGGGAGAGAGTGTCTGCCGTGGTGGCAGGCATGGCGAGTAGAGGAACAATCACGAGATGGGGTGGAGGGAGATAAGACCGACGGAGCGACAGACGAGCGTGACGGGAGAGAGCGACGGGATGTGTTTAGGAACACCAGGCCATGATGCTGAGCTGCCACAGTGGCGGCTGGTTAGTCAGCGTGGCTGGTGTGGATGGAACTTTTCTGACGACGGAGGGGGACTACGAGTAGGACAGGAGACGATAATAAAATCCGAGTGAGTCTGGTGCTAGTCGAACAGGAAGAACCAATGCATTGATCATAATCATTCTTGTCCCGGTAGAATCGTCGGTAGATACACGGATATCTGTATGCCAACTATACCTCCCTCCGTCCGTGCTCCGAACCTCGGGCGCTAGCCCTTCCATTCCTGCGATTCTTCCCTTCTTCCCTGTTCAGCCTCTCTGGTGTTACGCTGCCTACTTCCCTTCCCCCTTCCTTCTTCTTTCCTTTCTCCCCCTCTCTCTTCTCCCCACACTCCCAATGGCTCCCATCACGGAAGACATCGTCTCCGGTCTGAAGGACACCATCGGCAAGCTGGAGGCCCGAGTGGTCGAATTGGAGGACCGTCTTGCCGGCGGCAAGCAGTCCAAGTCGCTGGCCGAGCAGATGCGCATCATTCTTATGGGCCCGCCCGGCGCAGGTAAAGCTGTCGTACTCGTTGGTGTTGGGGCCGAGCTAATGATCTTCCAGGCAAGGGCACGCAAGCGCCGAACCTCAAGGACAAGTTCTGCGCGTGCCACCTGGTGAGCAAGCATGGGACCCTTTGCTCCTCAGAAATCCCGCTGACGGTTTACCCAAATAGGCTACCGGAGACATGCTGCGGTCCCAGGTCGCAAAGAAGACCGACCTCGGCAAGGAAGCGAAGAAGATCATGGACCAGGGTGGCCTGGTCAGTGACGAGATCATGGTCAACATGATCAAGAGCGAGCTGGACAACAACCCCGAGTGCAAGAATGGGTTCGTATTCTTCTTCTGTGCTGGGGTAGGGGAATCCAAATTGACACGAGGGCAGGTTCATTCTCGACGGTTTCCCGCGGACGGTCGCGCAGGCCGAGCGCCTGGACGACATGCTGGATGTGCGGAAGCAGAAGCTCCAGCACGCAATTGAGCTGCAGATCGACGACGCTCTGCTGGTTGCGCGCATCACGGGCCGTCTGGTCCACCCTGCGTCCGGCCGGTCGTACCACAAGATCTTCAACCCGCCCAAGAACGACATGATGGACGACGTCACCGGCGAGCCGCTCATCCAGCGATCCGACGACAACGCCGAGACCTTGAAGAAGCGTCTGGCTACCTACCACGCCCAAACCACGCCCGTCGTGGAGTACTACAAGAAGACCGGTATCTGGCGCGGCATTGACGCCAGCCAGGAGCCTGGTCAGGTGTGGAAGAGCCTGCTGGGTGTGTTCCACAAGAACTAAATTCCGACACCCCTCAAAAGGAGAGGGATGGGGAGAGCTGCAGGTGCATCTGTGCCCCCGTCGGACTCCGTGGTGAATGCTTACCGTTTCTTTTGTTGGTCGTCTTCTCCTTGAGGGAAGCATTTCATCCGGCAGTCCGGGTCGGCGCTGTCCGCGTATAGAACGAGGTTGAATTCCCTCTCCACACGCCATGTATAGTATGTGTACTTCTTGAATGCACTGCCACCGGCATGGTGTACGAAACGCAATTGAGTCCGTGTCTGTAGATATATATAAATGTAAAAAGATTCATATATACATTCGTCCAAGATTTTACAGAGCCAGAGGGAACTCGGTCGACTCAATCTTCTGAGGATACATCAACCCACCCTGTCGACGGACCTCATCCATGACCTCCATTATCACAATGCTCTCCTCCCAGGGCAAGCCCTCACTCTCAAGCTTACCATCCCGCAAACAGCGAGCGACCTCATCCGCCTCCCAGTACATACCATGGCCTTTGCCAGGGAACTCGCACTCGACGGTACGGACCACGCCGTGGCCTTGCTTGGGAATAACCCGGTACGTCGAGGGACGGAAGGCGGGTCCAAAGACCTGGATCTCGCCCTTGACACCTTGGATTCGAATGGCAGGACCGGCGCTGCCCTTGTCATCTGGATCGGTAGCCACACGGATGTTGGTCATGGCGATGCCCTGCGAGTGCTGCGGCTGGGTGTTATTGCTGGGGGTGGTGGTCGGGAAGCTCAGCAGCATGGTCGTGCATTCATCCGCTCCGGTGAGGTGATAGGGCGTCATTTGTGCGGTGACGGTGGGAGCCTTTCGCTGGTCGCGCGGAAGAGTGTGATAGAGGGTTTGGAAGACCCAGGTGAGAGAATAGATGCCCACTGTGCAACCCGTTAGATCTATAACCCCAAGAAACACAAACCAGCAACAAAACCTACAGTCCAGTAGAGCACCACCCGCCAAATCAGGATTCACCATCCGATGCGCAGTCCCAAAATCCTTCTCGACATCATTCCCGAAGCTAGTATCCGCGACAACGCGAAGCACCTCCCCAATCTCCCCCGATTGAATAAGCTGGCGGACCTGGACACTGAGCGGGAAGTAGCGAGTCCACACGGCCTCCATGAGGAAGCAGTTGTTCTTCTTGGCGGTCTCACACAGGATCTTCGTCTGGGTGGCGTTGACGGTAAAAGCCTTCTCGCACAGGACGTTCTTTTTGGCCTGTAGGGCCAGCATTACGTTCTGATAGTGGTGCGAGTGCGGGGTGGCCACATAGATGACATCAACGTTCTTGTCGGCCACGAGGGATTCGTAGTCACCGTATACGGCGCAGCCTGCGGGGATGCCGGTATCTGCGACGAACTTGGCCGCGCGGTCCTGGGAGGAGGACGAGGCCACCGCGACGACTTGGTGCGAGACGTCGGAGGCATCGCGGGTTGTCGGGTCGATGAGTAGGTCTCGCACGAATGCTGGATTTAATTAATTCTGTTAAATCCTAGTGATCTCGAGGGGAAAAATACGTACTGTCGGCGATCCCACCGGTAGCTGTTGCGGGGGGTTAGGTTAGCTTGTAGTTCGAGGGAGGGAAGTGGTGGTTCGTACCCATGATACCCCAGCGGATAGTATGCGGTGTCATTTTGGTTGTGTTGATTGATATTATTACGTATAGTGCAGAGTCCACCAGAAAGGCTGAAGAAGAGAAACAGGAAGCAGACAGATGTACATATTTAATCACCTCCAGTGGAGAGTCCGGAGATACCCCGAGCGGGGCAAAGCAACATCGGAATGCGACTGTATTTGTCAAATGGAAAATATAAACACTTGGTAATGCGCGCTATGCTATGCTAGTAGTCACTATGATACATTTTTTCACGCCGGCTCCGTCTTGATGCGCACCTTGTGCCCAGGGGAATCGCCCTGTATAGGTCGTCAGCGGGGACTTTTTGGTATCATCAGAAGAAACTCACCTCGGCCTTCCGCTTTCCTAGCACCGAGTCGGGTGTGCCCGTCCGCGCCTGAGGTGTGTCACCGCGCGCGGGAGCAGGCCCATCCTTGGTTACTTCAGCGTAGCAGCTGGCATGGTAGACTCGAGGGCCAACCTTGATCGCATCCTGCCAGATCCAATCCTGGACGTCCTCGGACCAACTCGACTCAAATTTCTCCTGGCAGATGGGGCATGGCGTGTTGCGGAGTGTGGCGTCATTCGGGGCGCGGATCCAATGCTTGGGGGGCCCTTGTTTGGCGGTGTCTGTCGCAGCGTCTTCAGCAGGAGGCTCGGGGTCGGCGGCGCCTTGATCATCGCCAGCTTCCCGAGATTTGATCCAATCCTGTTCATGGTCAGACTGATACAAAAAGAGGAGAAATGTGTACGGACTCTTTCATCGACATACCAGCTGCGGGTCTGGGCCCGCCTGGCGGCTTCCGCCATGCGCTGGTTGGTCTTAAAATGCCAGTCAAGATGACGGGCTTTCTTGTCCTTGCCTTCTTGAGTGGTGAGGAACCGGCGCCCGCAGGTTCCACATCGGTTCGAACGGGCTTCATAGAGGGAAACTACCAGAGCAACCCTGGGTCTTTTTCCACGGACGATTGTTAAGCGAAACGAATGATTTTCGGGGATGTAGAACTCACATTTTCATAGATGCAGTAGTCATAGGAACTTCGGAAGTAATGTTTGAAGACTGAGGGTTTTGGGCCGGAGGGGTAGACCCCATCTGCCCGGGGATCATGAACGGCAAACCAGGACCTCCAGCACCTGAAAGGGGAAGAGATGGTGGAGCGGATGCAGGAGGCAAAAGACCACGCGCCCGAAGTGCCGCGATGAGAGGATTTTCGGGGCCAGCAGGTCCCGGCTGCGGTGTGCCGCTGGACGGAGGAATCTGGGGCATTTGAGAGAGAGCATTAGGAAGTTGTGGCGGCGGTGTAGGTTGCTGGCGCACGGCAGTGGCTTTGATGAGCCCTGCCAGAGTTCCGGGATTGAGGAGTTGCTGTAATGGCTGCGAGACAGACTGGGTGGGCGGAGTCGATACTGGGGGAGGCGCCGATGCTGTCGGTCCATTCGCAGGGGCATTCGGAAGAGTATTGGAGGTCCCCAGCGCAGATATTTGATCACGGACGAGGTTCAGCTGGTCCTGGGTCAGTTGCTGCCTCTGCAAGATGCCCTGGAGATCCAGCAGCGCCTTCAAGCGTTGCTGTGAAGCTGGGTTGAACGGGCTATTGGCGAAATCCGTCCGCGCCGAGGCGATCAAGACATCCAAGTCTCGGTTCAACGAGTCCAGGTTGGGATCGGGCCGATGGGCCGGTGGTGGTGGAGTCTGGCCCAGATTAGTGACTCTCGCAACCACCTGATATTGGATCACACTTACCGATGTTTTGAATCCATTATTATTCGTCGGCGGCGGCTGATTGGGTAGCGGATGGCGCATGTTGGGCTGTGGGTGGGTGGCCCAGTTGGTGGGCGTGACGCTCCCCCGGCCACGCAGGATCTCGGGCTGGCGGGCCTGCTGCGACTGCAATGCGGCGGTGCGGGCCTTGATCAGGGCGTTTTCGATGTTGCGGGTGATGTCTGGAGGAAAGACCGGGCGTGTGTCCAGCGAACCGGGTACGGGCTCCTTCCAGGTCTTGAGCATCTCGTCCAGTTTGCGGCGGGTCTGCGAGTCAACCAAGGTGTAGGCGTTCATGAAGGTCTGGTACATGTTGCGGCCCAGGAACAGCGTGTAGGGGGTGCCCACGTTCTTGACGATGGAGTCGACTACATACAGCGCTGGGAGTTTCTGGGGCGGCGGAGTCTACCCGGGGTTAGAATGGACTACAGGGTGGAAGGAGGGATGGGATCACCTACTGAGCGGATGTGATTCTCCAGCACGCGCGAGATGGCCATGGCATGCTCGGTATTCTCCTTGGCGATGACGGTGAGGTTGCTGATCTGGAATCGGTCATTGGTGGTCAAATCCTCCAGCGAGTTCTTGTAGTCCTCCGCGACCTCGTCCGACACCAGGCCAGACATGGTTTCTTCTAAAGTCCTCCACTTGGACCAGCACGGAGATGGAGAGAAAGTGGTACAATGCTTGCTAGCTAGAGAGAGAGACTCGAAAACAACAGACCCCAGACCAACCCAGCAGACCCCGCGACCTTCCGTGGAGACGACCTCTACTTAATTGTGCCAGTGCAGACCACACCGACGATCAAGATGGACAGAAGAGCAAAACGAGAAGGGGAGGAAGGGAGGGAAGCGGATGACGGGGAAGTGAAGAAAGAAAGCGAGAAGGAAAGGGATTGATGGATTACGTACGAGGGAGGATCAGGTGACTGCCATGACGCAGCGTAGTAGTGGCATCCGGTGACATGCTTCTCTTTCTTCCTTCCCTTCACCACTTCCATCGGACGATTTCTGAACATGAAGCTGGTCCTGACTCTGTTCGCCTTACTCCCGCTGGCGCTGGCCGCCAAGTCGCTCAAGTCCGTGGTCGTCACCTTCCCCGAGGGCACGCCGGACTCGGTGATCGACCACGCCAAAGACTCGCTGGTGGCCTCGGTATGCGCCGCATTTGATTTGATTCGATGTGATTCTCGTCTGACTGACTGCTGATTTCTAGGGTGGCATTATCACTCACGAATATCGTCAGTAATCACTCTTCGTCACCCTCTGCCGGCACTACTAACAGTCTTGGTTCCTCCAGATCTCATCAAGGGCTTTGCGGCCGAGGCTCCCGTCAAGTCTCTCGAGACCCTGTCGGCGCAGGACAGCGAGTACAAACCCAATATCGAGGAGGACAAGGTGGTGACCATTGATGGAGACTACGTGGGCCAGGAACACTCGTTCTAATTCTCTCCGGTCACTCAGCTGGATCTGGGACCTTCTTTTTTTTGATCTGGAGCATATAGGCTGTTGCAATAATGATTTACTTACTACCTAGGATCTGGACAAGATTCAAATAACTATGTTGGCCCTACCACCACTATGTAGTCTCGGTAGTGGACCTCTTATCCTCAAACTACCGAGCGTGTTCCCCCCCCGCTAGTACCAATCCATCTTCGCCCCCCCGGAACGAACACGCGCGACTATCTCTCTCTCTCCCTCCCTTTCCTCTTCATCCCCTGTCCTTTCGCCAGTGTGTTGCGACCCAGACATGCTGCGGTCGCATCGCATCCTCTCGGCCTGCTACTAATAGAGTTCTCGGCAATATGTCGGAACACACAGTGACCAAGGTTCTACTGGAATGGATCAACAGCTTCTCCCTGGGCAGGACCCTCCGAGCCACGGATGAATTGACCGATGGCATCATCCTGTGGGAAATCCTGCAGGACATCGATCCTCAGTATTTCCTCGATGAGATCCCCGAACGCACCCCCGCCGACCACTGGGTGGCCAAGTGGCAGAATCTCAAGCACATCCACAAGTTGCTGCTCAGCTACATCCGCCACCAGAACGATGATACCCTGCCCTCCGGACTCGATCCGTCGCCCGATCTCGAAGCCGTCGCCGAGAAAGCTGCCCCGAAGGAGACCAACAAGTTGTTGAAACTGCTCCTGATCGCAGCGATCAGCTCGCCCAACGCCGGAACCTACGTGCAGACGCTTCAGGAGCTCAGCACCTCCACCCAGGAGGGCCTCAAGGATATCATCGAGGAGGCCCATAATGGCCAGCACGAGCCCCTGGACTCGGCCGACGAGCTGAAAGAGGAACTGGCCAAAGCAGACCGCCCGGACTTGGAACTGCAGTTTGAGGAACGCGTCGGCAAGGTGATTGCGGAGAATGATCGCCTCACACACGAGAAGAAGGAGCTGGAGAAGGCGTTGGAGGACCTGCACAATCGTCTGGCGCGTCTGCAGGAAAACAACGACACCCTGCAGAACCGCCTCGCGTCGACCGAGGATCGGCTGGTGACACTCAAGTCCGGAAAGGGCGAGGGGTTCAATGCAAAGGCGCTGGAGAGCAAAACTCGCCAACAGGATGACCTGATCGCGTCCCAGGAAGCGAAACTGTCTGCTGCCAATGATGAACTCGACAGTCTCCGGATGACCGTCGAATCCTTGCGCGTCAAGAATCAACGCTACCAAAAGCTGCAAGATGACTACGACGAGCTCCGCACCGAGCGAGATCAGCTCGCGCGCAAGGCCAACGCGGCTGAGAAATACCGCCAGAAGCTTCAGGCGAGCCAGGACTTCGAGAAGGAGAACCAGACCCTCAAGAACCAGATCAAAGATTTTCAGCAGCAGCTAAAGGAATTGGACTCGTCACAACGATGGTCGTCGGAGCGTAATGTGGAGCTCGAAGAGTATCGAAAGCTTCTGCCGCAACTGGAGCAGGACACCAACGAGATCCAGCACCAGAAGAAACAGCTCGAGTTCAACAACCACGCTCTTACGGAACGGCTTCAGAGTGCTGCTGAAGAGAATGAACGGAATGACGCTCTGATCAGCGAGCTCCGCGAGCGTCTGCGGGAGCTCGAGGGCTCAAGCAGTCCGTCTCCCGGGTCTGGGACGCCGAAGAAGCACACATTGCATAATGATTTCGAGGCCCTCGGTGTCAAAGAATCCCAACTGTATGGCTATTATACTCTCCTATCAGTTTCGATGCTAACTATGAGCAGCAAATCCGAAAATGAAGAACTGAGACGCGAAATGGAGTCCTTGAAGGCCCCGTCAACCACTGCAGAGGTATGTGCCCCGTGCGTTCTGTCGAAGCTCTGGAGACTAACGAACACAAGCCGACGCCTCAATTCGATGGCTTCTCCGAGAGCTTCAACGCGTCCGTGCACCTTGCGCGTGAAAATTCCGCTCAAGGGTATGTTTATTTGGAACCTACGATCCGACCAGCTCTAATTTTTGCGTATAGCGAGGAGTATTGGAAACTTTACGAGACCTATACCGGATCCCTCAAGAAGATTGCAGAATTGCAGGACCTCCTGGACAAAGCCAAAACGGACCTTTCCAATGCACAAGCTGAGAGTAAGTTACCCTACATCCAAGACCTGGCCGGGTCGCTTACAATTATCGAAGTTCGCATTGTCAACGTCGAGAAAGTTGATATGCTCCATGAGCTCGAAGAACACAATTCAGCCGAGCTAACCAAGCTCCGTGGCGACTGGGAAGCTCTCACGCAGAACATTCACAATCTGGAGGGCGAAGTGGATGCCAGCCAGACTCTTGTCCGCGAAATGGCCGCAGAACGGGAAGAGTTGCGCAAGATGCTTGACAACAAGCAAACCGAGATCAGCTCCGAGGATCAGGAGGTGATGAATGAAATGCAGATGCTGCTGGGCGAATTCGAGACCCACAACAATGAGGGTGAAACGCCTCAGAAATCGAGTTTCGAGCTTCTCAAGCAGTGCGCCGGAGTCCTGGAGAAGAATATTGAGCGGCTCGCCCAACGCGCAGAGGTCGGTCTTTACTGGAACTTATGGTATTTAGCATGCTAACATCGAGATTGCGCAGTATATTCAACAGCAAAATGAACTCATCAAGTCACTTCACGAGCGTATGAAGAATTACGAGGAGAACCTGGACGACGGCATCTCCAAAGAGCGCGAGGTATGCTGCCAATATGCTCATGTTTTTGTACTTCTACTAACACTCTTTAGCTTGAGCTCCAGAAGATCATCGACGACCAGGCCCGAGAACTCAGCCTCGTGGGCTCGGCCTGGTATCATCTACAAAGCCGGTGGCAGAGCAACAACAACACGGTGTCTCGCTACCGACACGGGGCCTCGATGGCGGAGGCGCAGAAGGGCTGGCTGGCCAAGCAGCGAACTGCAGTTGCCGGCCAGTAGGTACCTTCCTGCTTTGTACAGAACATATGAGTCTTTTTTGGATATAATTTTTGCACTTTGCTTGCAGTCTTTTTTGGTTTATATTCCCACTACATCGTTTGTGGCCTCTGTGGATATACATGTATGGCCTCGAGGGCCAATAGAATGCTGTGATTTTTCTCGTGTTGATCTTTTGTTGTCTGACTTGTGATCAGCGGCAGACATATTGGGTAACTATATAGTGCTATCTACCTTGTCCTGTATCTAGAAATGATTACTGTTGAACCAGGGTCTCTTTTGCCACGAAGCGTACTGGCCATGAGGCCTTGCCTTTCAAGTACCAGACTAGTGACAACTACTTGTCACGTATCTTGATTGCACTGACTTCTAATATACATGGATTGCAAGATGACGGGATCTGTGCGACAAATGATACAAAAGATTTGGCTTATACCCATTGCCGGGGATGTCGCAGCACGTCCATCAGCTCCTTTTCGCTGCTCTTGTCCTCAGCCGATTCCTCTTCATCCGTAGGCATAGTTTCAGTCCGTGTTCCCGAAACGGGATCCATGTAAGCCCAACTGGCAGTGCGCGGAAGACTCATCAGGATGCTTTCAACACGGGCATTGGGCGTGCGCAGGCCAAAGCTCGTACCCCGATCATAGACTAAATTGAATTCCACATAGCGGCCCCGACGAAGCTGCTGCCACTCCTTTTGGGCCGAGGTAAAGGGCATATCTTTGCGCAGTTCGATAATGGGCACATAGGATGGGAGGAAAGAGGCCAGTCCGTCGGAAACAAAGGAGAACAGCGTCTCCTGAGGATTGGACGATGATCCGGCGGAGGCCTGCAGGAAGTTGGCGTCGAGGTCATCGAAGAAAATCCCGCCAACTCCGCGGGACTCGCCACGGTGAGGCAAGTAGAAATACTTGTCGCACCAGGCCTTAAACTTGGGGTAGTATGTCGCGTCGTGGCGGTCGCAGGCGTCCTTGATCGTCTTGTGGAAGTGTTGCACGTCTTCGGGGAACAGGTATGACGGGGTTAAGTCCGTGCCACCCCCAAACCACCAGTTCTTGTCTCCGTTGATGGGATCCTTCGGATCTGAGGTCTCAAAGTACCGGTAGTTCAGATGCACTGTGGGCGCCATCGGGTTATGCGGATGCAAGACCAGCGAGAGGCCCGCAGCAAAGAAACTGAGGGAGTCCACCTCCGCCCCGACAAAAGACTTGTGGTCTGCGCGCATTTTCTCAATTGCTGCCCGCGGCAGTTCTCCGTAGACCACGGAGACATTCACGCCGGCCTTCTCGAACACGTTCCCGTCCTGCAGCACGCACGAAATACCGCCGCCGCCATTGGGACGCGTCCAGGTATCCGTGCGGAACTGCTGGCCATCGATCCTGCCGAGTTCCTCGATGATTTTCTGCTGGTGTTCCTTGATGAGCTTCTCCATGCGCAGGCGCATGGGTGAGGACTCGTTGATAGTTGAGGATTTCTTCAGGGCTTCGTCGAGTTCAACAATGGAGGGGGAGTCGAGTTCGGTTATTTCACCTGTCATCTGCATTCGCAAGACAGTAAGTATGATGCTGTCCAGGCAAGGTGGGAAGTGTATGGTACCATGGAGTATATAATCGCGCCGATGAAAGGCACCCCGACTGCGAGCCGCAGGTAGGGTCTCCAGACTGTGAATTGCTGCGCCTCGCGCTTCTTTTGCTCGGTGGCATATCCGCGCACTTGGCTGCCCATGCGACGACCACCAGCCCGGGCATTCGGAGTGGAGAGCTGGGCTAGAGATCTCCGCAGAGGCATAAATGATCGGGAGGCCATTTTTGCGACTGCGTCGGGGAACGCTGGGAGGGAAGGGGACCAGCGCGGAATTCAATAACCAGAATTGTCGAGACGGTGAGAAAGTCGTGAGGTCAAATATATGTTCACTGGAGGCTCCTGATCCTCGCGCGTGTGGAGGAAAGAGATTCGGGCGAGTTTGCGCTGTTTGTTCCGTTTGTCTCCAGAGTGGGTATACCGACTATGTATGTCCCATGTAGGGACTTCAGTCCATCAGAGTGGTCCCGAAACCAACAGTCACGATACCCCGGCTGCCTGATCTCTTCACCTACCTGGAGGAACTCACGAAATCAATCCCACGACCATCGCATCTGACTCTCGTAGAGCGAATCAGCTGACCGGATCGCTGACTCACCGCCCTGTTTGTCAGCTCTGGCATCATCGTCACCCCTCTCGGTCTCCCTCTCTCTCTCTCTCTCTCTCTCTCTCTCTTCTTCTTCTTCTTCTTCTTCCCATCTCTCTCAGCCTCATCCTTCTCTCCGCTTTCCCTGACTATCTATCTACCTTCTTCACCCCAGCCTCGAACCAGTCTACTCGCTACATCTCTACCACATCTCATCCAGCTTCCCCGTGAGTCTCCTCCTCCCGCTCCACCCGACCCGCCCACTTATCACCTTATCAGTCAACCACGATGCGGTCCAAGTTTAAGGACGAGCACCCCTTCGAGAAGCGCAAGGCTGAGGCCGAGCGTATTCGCCAGAAATACGCTGATCGCATTCCCGTGAGTCTTTTCCTTTCTTTGGTTGGATCGTCTCCGACCGGGAGCCTCCCCAACGCCCCTCACCGCTTCTTCGGCCGCTGACGGATTCGCTATCAACAGGTCATCTGCGAGAAGGTCGAGAAGTCGGACATTGCTACGATCGACAAGAAGAAGTACCTGGTTCCGGCCGATCTCACCGTGGGCCAGTTCGTCTATGTGATCCGCAAGCGCATAAAGCTCTCTCCCGAGAAAGCCATCTTCATCTTCGTCGACGAGGTTCTCCCCCCGACCGCTGCGCTCATGAGCAGCATTTATGAAGAGCACAAGGACGACGATGGCTTCTTATACATCACGTAGGTCACTCCGTTTTCTTTACTGTCTTTCCTATGTGTTTCCTATGTACTGACCGGACGACAGATACTCGGGCGAGAACACTTTCGGCGACCTCTAAGCGTTGACGAGTCCTCTCTCTCTCTCTTCCTTGCTTTTCTTTGTCTATTCTGCGGCACCAGAGTGCTGTGGACTGAGCAGGAAGCGTCAGCCATCCATCTGGGGATGCAAGTGCTCGGATTTGGCGTTTGATTCGGTGTTGTGTGTGTGTTTTCTTTCCGTATGTGAAATGATTTTGCTTGGGCGAATGTGCTGCTCTTTGTTGGCTGTGAATTAACTGAACTATGATGAAAACAATCTGACTGGTCACGTGCTGTTGGTCTTTTGGCTGTGCTTTTCCTTACTAGTAGAACATCTACCGTAGCGACTCTTTCTGTTTTTAAGCTCTGAACAGTTGTAGTTGTTTCGGGTATACTGGGTAGTATAGTAGCAGTACTATCTCTGGTACTTTGTATTCTTTGGTCCGTCCTTCTCCGGGGTGTCCCAATCGGGTATAGCGCCCATCCTCGTGCTCCGATAAATTTTGACCCTAATCAGTTCGTGATTGTTCTCGTGCTTCGCTTCCTATCCCGGTTATCGTTCCCTCCTTGTTGTGCTGTTCACCGATAAAAGGAAATAGGAGAAAGGAAAAATGTCTCCCGCTCTGGTCCCCGCCGGTGCTGGCTCTGCCTCCAAGGATGTCAAGAAGGAGTCGGCCACTGCCCGTCTGCTCGGTTCCGGTACGTGCGCAACCACCATGGTGACTCTCGACCAATTGCTAATGTGCGCTGTCTATAGGCTCTGCTGGTATCGCCGAGCTAATGGTCTTCCATCCCGTATGGATCAACCTCCTCCCCCTTTTTCGTCGCAAACGCCCCAGTTCCTAACATCCCCAACAGGTTGACACCACGGCCAAGCGATTGATGAGCAACCAGACTCGGGTGAGACTGACCTCAAAAAAGGGGTGCACTGGATGATAGGTTAACAATGCGCAAAACAGATCACCTCCGCCAGTGCTTTCAAACAGGTCGTTTTCAAGGAATACGCCACCGCACCGGCCCTGCGCAAGTTCACCTCTCTCTTCCCTGGACTGGGATACGCTGCTGGCTATAAGGTTGGTAGACTGTCATGACAGTCTGTTGTCGGGTGGCTAATTTTTCCCTGGCCAGGTTCTCCAACGAATCTACAAGTACGGCGGCCAGCCATTCGTCCGGGACTACCTCGCCAAGCACCACGGTTCCGAATTCGATAATGCGTTCGGAAAGGGTACCGGCAAGGCCATCATGCACGCAACTGCTGGAAGGTGAGAAGTTTTGTTGTCCCTACTTATTGGACGAAAACTGATATAAATGCCTCAAGTCTGATCGGTATCGGCGAAATCATCCTGCTGCCCCTGGACGTCCTGAAGATCAAGCGGCAAACGAACCCGGAGGCCTTCCGGGGCCGTGGTCTCTTCAAGATCATCTCCGACGAAGGCATGGGTCTGTACCGCGGCGCTGGCTGGACAGCCGCTCGTAACGCCCCCGGCTCCTTCGCTCTCTTCGGAGGCTCTGCGTTCGCCAAGGAATACATCTACGGCCTGACGGACTACAACTCGGCTACCTGGGGTCAGAACTTTGTTGCCTCGGTGGCCGGCGCCAGCGCATCGCTGGTGGTTTCCGCTCCCCTGGACGTGATCAAGACCCGTATCCAGAACCGCAACTTCGAGCACCCGGAGTCGGGCTTCCGGATTGTGTCGAACATGGCCAAGAACGAGGGTTTCACCAGCTTCTTCAAGGGTCTGACTCCCAAGCTGCTGATGACGGGTCCCAAGCTGGTGTTCAGCTTCTGGCTGGCGCAGACTTTGATCCCTGCCTTTGGCCAGGTCGTATAGTCGAAGACAAAAACAGGTTCTTTCTGATCTTGGCGTTGACACCCCCCGTTCTTGCTTTTGTCTTTTTCTTTATCTTTTCGGGTTCGTATGGCCCCGGGCTTCCTGGAGGGGACCGCTTGTGTATTTTCAATAGATATGATGTTTATTTCGTGCCCAGGGACGGGTCTCGTCTATTATCTAGAACAATCTTCTCTTCATCTTTCTTCTGGGATGTAGACTGTGAATATATACTACCAATGAGAATCCACCGATTTCAGCCTAGTGAAAATGACAAGCACTGTATGATTGGCCTTGGCTCCTGAAGAAAACGAGCCCATAGCGAACGCATCACGTGAGCGCATATCTCCCAGCGCCGAACATCATCGACAATCGCCAACCTCCAATCGAGCACGCCGCCCTCCACCCCAAATCCGCAAACCAAGTCTCTCACAATGCCAGTTTACCTCTTATCCCGGTACGCCTCCTCCTCAATCCAGAAAGACAACACCTAAACCACCCAAACCTGCTGCCTTCCAAATATCTTACAGAGGTAGCTCAACGCTAACATGACGAAATAACAGAGTAGGAGACCCCATCTTCGCCCTCGCAATGGGCATCTCGGCCGCGATGTCGCGCATCCGACGCGATCAGCAAAATAAGTTCCCGGAGCGAGCGTCAGAGATCGGGTATGGAACTGTGTTGCAGACCGGTGGGAAGCGGTTGCAGCGGTGGTGGAACGGGGATTTCAAGGGTGTTCAATAATGAGCACGGTTTTTCTTCTGTGCTTGACTGGTTGGACTGGATTTCTTGGTTGTATATATGACATGATTTCGGAGTTGAGAACTACAATAATAATAACCTCGACTGCATGGGCAGCCTCTTTGTTCTGGAAATTTGAGCTTCTTCTGCACTGGAGTCGAGACGAGCAAGTTCTACAGAGAGATGATTGATCTACGACACATTTTACAGGGACTGAAATGAATTAAGAAGGAATTTTATTGCCAGGACTTTTTTCTGGCAGAGATAGCCTCGTATCTATGCAGCATGCGCAAAAGGAAAACTCGATATCCCATAAGTTCGTAAAAACAACACATGAAAAAAAGAAAATGTGAGCCAGAGGGGCAAGCATCATCAACCGTGAATCACAAATGAAAATCACCGAAACACCGCTCTAGGGCGAGACATTTAGTCAAGCTCCTCGGGGTGCTCCTCGACCTCGTCAGCAGTGCGGGCACCGCCAGGAGCGGCACCAGGGGGAGCACCGCCAGCACCAGCAGCACCGCCGTAGGCAGCGGAGATGATGGGGTTGGCAATGCCCTCAAGCTCCTTCTGCTGAGACTCGTACTCGTCCGTCTCGGCAGTCTGGTTGTTGTCGAGCCAGCTGATGACCTCGGAGACCTTGTCCTCGATCTTCTTCTTGTCCTCGTCGGAGATCTGGAGCTTGCCCTCGCCCAGGGTGTTCTTGAGCGAGTAAGCGTAGGACTCAAGGCCGTTCTTGGCCTGGATACGAGCAGCCTCGGCCTCATCCTCGGCCTTGTACTTCTCGGCCTCAGCCAGCATGCGCTCGATCTCCTCCTTGGACAGGCGGCCCTTGTCGTTGGTGATGGTAATCTTGTTGGTCTTGCCGGTACCCTTCTCGATAGCCGAGACGTTCATGATACCATTGGCATCCAGATCGAAGGTGACCTCGATCTGGGGCACACCACGGGGGGCAGGGGGATGCCAGTGAGCTCGAACTTGCCGAGCAGGTTGTTGTCCTTGGTGCGAGCACGCTCACCCTCGAAGACCTGAATCAGGACACCAGGCTGGTTGTCAGAGTAGGTGGAGAAGGTCTCGGACTTCTTGGTGGGGATGGTGGTGTTGCGCTTGATCAGAGGAGTCATGACACCACCGGCAGTCTCAATACCGAGGGACAGAGGAGCAACGTCGAGCAGCAGGATCTCGTTGGTGGACTTGGAAGAAGTGTCACCAGACAGGATAGCGGCCTGGACGGCGGCACCGTAGGCAACGGCCTCGTCGGGGTTGATGGACTTGTTGGCGTCCTTGTTGAAGAAGTCGGAGACGAGCTTCTGGATCTTGGGGATACGGGTGGAGCCACCGACCAGGACGATCTCGTGGACGGAGGACTTGTCGATCTTGGCATCGCGGAGGACACGCTCGACGGGCTCCATGGTGGAGCGGAAGAGGTCCTGGCACAGCTCCTCGAAGCGGGCACGGGTGATGGAGGTGTAGAAGTCAATGCCCTCGAAGAGAGAGTCGATCTCGATGGAGGTCTGGGCAGCGGATGAGAGGGTACGCTTGGCACGCTCGCAAGCAGTGCGGAGACGGCGGAGAGCACGAGCGTTGGTGGTCAGGTCCTTCTTGTGCTTGCGCTTGAACTCGTTGACGAAGTGGTTGACGAGACGGTTGTCAAAGTCCTCACCACCCAGGTGAGTGTCACCAGCGGTGGACTTGACCTCGAAGATACCCTCCTCAATGGTCAGGAGAGAAACATCGAAAGTACCACCACCCAGATCGAAGATCAGGACGTTGCGCTCACCCTCGGCCTTCTTGTCAAGACCGTAGGCAATGGCGGCGGCAGTGGGCTCGTTGATGATACGGAGAACGTTCAGGCCAGCGATGAGACCAGCGTCCTTGGTGGCCTGACGCTGGGAGTCGTTGAAGTAGGCAGGGACAGTGATGACGGCGTTGTTGACAGTGCCGCCCAGGTAGGCCTCGGCGGTCTCACGCATCTTGGTCAGGACCATGGAGGAGACCTCCTCGGGGGTGAACTGCTTGGCCTCGCCCTTGAACTCGATCTCGATGACGGGCTTGGTGGCCTTCTCAATGACCTTGAAGGGCCAGTGCTTCATGTCGGCCTGGACCTCAGCGTCCTGGAAACGACGGCCGATGAGACGCTTGGCGTCGAAGACGGTGTTGTGGGGGTTCATGGCGACCTGGTTCTTGGCGGCATCACCGATCAGACGCTCGGTGTCGGTGAAGGCCACGAACGACGGGGTGGTGCGGTTACCCTGGTCGTTGGCGATGATCTCAATGCGGTCATCACGGAACACACCCACACAGGAGTAGGTGGTACCCAAATCGATACCGACAGCGGGAGCAGACATGATGGAAGGTATGAGATGGGAAAGAGTCGTGAAGAGGAGAGGGTAGGGATGGAAAGGAAATTCGTAGCAGGTGGGTAGTGTTACACGGAGGAGGAAGAGTGTAGGAAGGGAAGAAGAAGATTGAGTGAGTAAGTAAGAGAAAGAAGAAGAAAAGGGAGAATGTGGGCGAAAAAACCGCCTATATAGGGAGCGGTGAGGTGCTTAGAAGCTTCTAGCAGGGTAGCTTCCATCGGGTTCTTTGCGATTCCATGGCCTTCCTTTCCCCAGCAACAGAGTCATCTCGCCCCTTCGCGAAGTGAGTGGACCCTTAGCGAGGGATCCAGTAGATACGGATATTTTTACGCCAATTGCCTATCTTTACTACTCGCTGGCAGAACAATTGGAAGCTGTTTCTTCCCGCTGCGAGATATTTTTTTTTGGCGGGGCAAGGTGTTGCATGATGTAATCGAGTGGGATGACCGTATGTATGGTCCGACGAGATGGGCAGCGCAACCGTCATGATGAACGCATGACCTCCACTACTTCAATAATATGAATAAGGGTGGGATGGTGATTATGATGGTCTTCAACTCGTATGTATAGTTCCCTAACTATGAAGTCTCGAAGTGAATTGACCCGTACGATCCTCACGATGGGTATGAATGGAGGAGATTCCCATCTTACCCACTCGAGGCGTTCTTTACAACCAATCCGTATATAACAATAGGACATAATTACATGTTTCTCACACATTAACAGCAACATCCATCCATACTAGAATCACTCGTCGGGGGGCAAGCTTGGTCACGGGATCACAGGCCAATCAGGTCACGAGATCGGGTCCCTTGCTGTTGTTTTGATCGTCTGTTGCTCACCTCCATTTCCTCCATTCATTCAACTTCCTTCCTCCTTTCTCCTCCTCCTCCTTTCTCCTCCTCCTCCTCCACTACCTATCAACAATTCCTTCTCTCTCTTTCTTCAACTACCACACTTCTGCATCTATCCACAATGGGTGACCACGACATGAGCATGGACCCGGCTGCTAATGCCCCCGATGCCGCCTTCGTGAACAAAGGCAAGGGCAAGGCCCAGGACCCGACGCACGAGATGAGCATGGACGAGGAGGAGAGCTCTGACGAGAGCGAGAACGAGATTGTGAGTCTCCCTGTCCCCCGTCCCACATGATTGGCCTAGCTAACCCATTGCTCATTCTAGGGTGACAACGGTATGCCCTGCTCTACTGTCGTTGCTGCGGGCGACGCGCAATCGTAACTCATATTAATATTGCCTTGCGATAGATGACGAAGAGGACGACGCGGACAACCTCGAGCCCATTTCCGCATCCAACATCATCACTGGCGGCCGACGCACGCGCGGCAAGGCCATCGACTTCGCCGAGGCCGCTGAGAAGTCCAAGAACGAGGGCGACGAGATGGATGATGACGATGATGATGATGACTATGAGGCTGCTGACAACAACAACCAAGACCACGACGACGACGACCAGATGCGGGACTAAATTAGCCTCCCTCAAAAACTTCCAGGCGACACGGAGATGAAGGGAATTGCTTTCAACTGAAGGACTGGCGCCATGGCTTGGGGAGGTTTTCTTTTCTTCTTTTCTCTCTTTTGTTTATGATGGATCGGAGGCAAAAGCAATGCATCGATGCAGTTTTGCGGGCACTTTTCCAAATGTAGATTCTAGAAATGCGTAGCCTCGTCCACTATTTATTTACGTATTGGCGTGATCGACAAACCACAACATAAAATTTACATCATTTGACTTATTTCTCCCTCTTTGTTTATTCCTTACTGCCGTGTATATACATCGGAGGGAAGTTATCACGTGCCAACCGACCGCCGCGGCCACCTGGTGTTTTTGTCTCCGACAACTACCTACTGCGACTGTCAGGACAGCACGATGTCTCTCGCCCACGGTTGATCAGCTTCATTCCCGTCCACTTTCTCTCTCGTCCAGACATCTCCACTCCTGCCACGACTTGCAAGGCCACCATGGCCTCACGGTATGGTTCGCCATCATCCGACGGTATCTACAGAGCAACGCTAATGAAGTAATTGCCACAACCCAGATTCCCTCGCCAGCGCGATCCCCGCGCATCCTCCTCCCTCTTCGACTCATACGGCGGTGGCGACTCCCGTCCCGCGAGCAGATCACCTGCTCCAAGCGGATATGGTTACGGAGGCTATCCCAGTCCCGCAGGAGACGGGTACACGAATGGCAGTGCTTCCGCTGGGCCATATAGAAATGCCACGCCTGATAAGAAGTACGTTCTTGTCCTTGCGACTCATGGCATGTCGCTGACTCTCTCCCCTGCAGGGGCCACTACTCCGATGCCGTCCTCTCATCACTTGAATCGCAGAATGATGCCGAGGTGGAGGGTATCTCGGCCAAGGTTAAGATGCTGAAGGATGTGAGTACGCCCCTGTTTCCCTTTGTTGGAAGTTTGGTTACTTACTCTGGCTTTGCCAGATCACACTCGCCATCGGCGACGAAATCCGCGACACTGCCCACCTCACAGACCTCGAGGGCTCCTTCGATAGTACGCGTGTACGAATCCGGGGAAACATGACCCGCATGCTGCGCATGGCCGAGAGCACCGGCGTCGGCTGGCGGGTGTGGCTGGGTTTCTTCTGCGCTGTGTTTCTGCTGTTCTTCTATGTGTGGATCAGCTGAGGCCGTCCGCCCCTTGGAAACACCAGATTAATCATTTCCCGTTCTTCTTCTTGCTATTGGCAAGTTTTGCCAAAGCTCAGGGCGTTCATTCTACATTTTATCACTAGTACGCGCATGGTTTTCTCCGGCTACGGCGTTTTGGGGAGGATGTTTTATATCGAAATTATCGAGGCTGTCTCCGTACATGTCGTGTTCTTTTGTCTGACCCTCGGCGCTTTTCTTTCCATTACGGATTGCTTTGGGGCTTGCTCGTTCCAAAGATGTACAAGTATGAGCACAGGACGAGCTGTATATATAGCAGTCACTACGGATGCAATAGATGTAATGGCATTGGCCCGTCCCGAGGCTTGAAGAGATCTCGTCATGCGAGTGCACGGTTGGATAAGGCTGAGATGCAAAGTAGTCAGGTCATTGACCATATCAATTGAAACATAACAATAAGAACCGACGTGTGTATCGTGAATGCTGCCCGTCGCCATCAAAACTCCATACACGATGCAAAATACATGCGCCCATTCAACTAAGGCTGTCTCTGGGTCCGCCTACCCGTCGCGGTAACCGTCTACCAAATCCGCTTCGACGGCTGCCCTGGCTTGTGATTGAGGCACGGAGATCATCGTCGTCAAAGAGCATGCTGCTGGAATCCAGCGCGTCACCACCTCCACTCCAGCGTTGCAAGAACCGGCGCTGTGCGTCTGTCTCACGGTCTCGCCGGACCGGCGGCGGAGGGAGGCCGCCGTGGGTGTTGGGCGTGCTGGTGCGGAAGTTCTCTGCAAATCGATCGCGGACAATACTCGACTCGTCTCCTTCGTCATCATCGTCGTCGTCGTCGTCTAGCTCATCCTCGGTATCGGTGTGCTGCCACTCCTCTCCCTGTGCAGACCCATCTTCCGCGGCGTCCGGGATCTCATCGTCCAGGTCGCGAGCCATGCCTTCCTCTTCCTCTTCGCTCATTTCCTCGTCACCTGCAGCAGAAGGGATCTCCGCGTCCAGATCAGGCTGATTATCAAAGTCCACATCTTCCTCGTCGACATCGAAGAAGCCTTGCTCGCCGTAATCATCATCAGGATATCCTTCGGGAATATCATCATCCAGATCTCGCTCCATATACCCTTCTTCGTCGGGGTTATCCTCCTCCTCAAGCCCTTCCTCTCCTTCCTCAATAAGACCCTCCGCATCGGCATCGGCATCGGGGATCTCGTCATCCAAATCGCGCTCCATGCCCTGTTCTTCTTCTTCTCCCTCCTCGCCTTCCGGACGCGGCATCCCTGTCTCGTCATCTACCATCCCCTCGCCATGAGCCGCCATTTCTGCCTCTGCAGCAGCAAGTGCCTCTTCACGCTCTGCCTCTGCCTCTTTCATCCCCAGCATCGTCTTCGCGCATCCTGCCGGTCGGATCCAAGAGTATCCGAAACTAGCAACGTTTTGTTTCCGCGCGCGCAAGGTGCGTTCTTCAAGTACCAGTGCGGAGAGGGTGTTTGCTCCACGGGAGGGCATGAAGCCGCGGTGGTGGGCGGTGTTGGTCTGGGCATTGCGGCGGGAGAGATGGTTGGGTACTTGGTCACCAGGGCCGATGTGTGGTGAGGAAGAGCGGTATGGTTGAGAGGACCCAACCCAAAGCTCGTGGGACTGCGGTGTGTTCGTTAATTTAATATTGGCAAGTCGTTGGAAGTTGTAATTAACTTACACCGTGTGGGGTGATGAAGGGGAGCGAGAGCATTGTCTGTAGCGCAAGCTGTATTTGGCGCTGTGGATAGGCTTGGTCGATGGTTGACGTGGGAGTGTTTGTTGACGATCGATAAGCTCGGACGCTTGCTTAGGCGGTGGATCAGCCGCAAAGGACTAACTACATCATAGTAGTAGTTGGACTGCCCACGGTTGCACTCGATCCCGGCATTGGTCTTAACTCTTTCTGAAGTCTCGCCCTACAGACCCCTTGGTCGATTCCGTGCTACTTTGCCCGTCGATACTATAGGTCAGGAAACCCACCCAGTCATTCTACCTGTGCAGGCATTGGTCGGCCCCGCGGGTGAATGAATTAGATCATCATTGAAGATGAGCAATGTCAATCTTTATAGTAAAGAACCCTTGGATTCAAGCGTGGTTATTTTTTAACCCCGAGAGCAAGTATAATATTACAGAGCCCCAATCTATATAACTTATATTATCATGATGGGATAAACAGCCAGGTCTCAACCAATCAACAGCCGCATATATGCAGTTAGTAAATCTCCATCAGCCATGAAAACATGCCAAACCATAACTAGCAGGTCACAGTCACAGTCTACCATAATAGGCAAAATCGAGTAACGCTTCTAGGACTAGGGAAGCCACAGCGGTGTCGGAATACTACCTACAGCTAGACGCAGGGACAGCTGCAAGCCACCAGACATGACTTCGAGTGGGCTGTAATATTTGAACCGACCCGAGCGTGTTCCGTAGGAAGAGGCAGTGGCCGTTGAGACCATGTACTGCCGGTATTCGGCCGATGAGAGTGAGTCTCCGACATCTCCCGACGGTTGTCTGTCGACCAGCCAGCAGCCCGGTGAACCCAAAGCGGACAAGAGGCATCGGGAGAAACAGGAGCCAAGTCATGTGATCTATACTATCTTGATGTTGTTATTGACCCTGCTTCTCGTTAGGAGCAGGGTGTTGATTCCACTAGTCAGAGGCAAGTGGCAAGATGGGACTCTGCCCGGTCGAATCATCATTGGCACCTTGTCCTTTGGGCAGACAGATCATCTGTGAACCACTTGGCGAATAATGATCGCGACACGGCAGAAGGCGCGGACAAAAGCCAAGAAGAGGCTCACTATGATGGATTCGCTTCACATGTAGTCGTTGTTACCGGACGACGCTGCTCCGGACTGGAGAGAACAGACAGCCATTCACAATACCCGAGTTACGAAGGCAAGCGACGAAGAATCCCGGGGTCGACCAGCAGGGTGATAAGCAGTTGTGATGACCTCAAGGAATGAGCTGGGGAAATCGCTGGGGCCAATCCGCAAGCAGGGCGGGCATGCATGAGGGCGGCAGAAAGGCCCCGATTTCGGCGTATGGTATGGGACATTCCGTGACCATACACTGGTTTACAGCGGTTTGCCGATCTCGCTGTGGGGTTTATTGTATACGGGAATCGTAAATAATGTCGGGGCACCTTCGGTCGAGTCAGCCACGGTGATGTGTGAAGTATTGTGAGGCGTAATCTACGACAGAGGTGCAACTACGTGGTTATTGTCCACTGCGAGATGCCTACCTAGTCACTCGACCGGGTTGGTGAGAATACTAGACAGTCCGTACATAGGTATGCCGGATCAGTGCTTAATCCGCCCCACCAACTCAGCAAGCATGTGAGATGGCTGTGGTATTGCTACAATACTATTTTCGTCCGAGAGTTCCAAATCCTCCCGAGCCACGACTCACTAATGGAGATTGCCCCGCGACCCTTTGGCTGTACCGATATGTACCATACGGTCATGTTCCGCTGATTCAGCACAGATCTTGACGTCTTTGAAAGCTGATCGTGGTTGTAACGCAGGAACTCCTATTGGCCGCCTGATGCTTATCTCGACGGAGCGCCGTAATCAGAACGATTATCATTACTCGATGATTGGGGGGCTCAGCATGCCTGTCTGTTTTCGTCGATGCGGAACCTGGACCTTCACCACTGGTACCTAGGACTCTTGTGCGAGTGACTGACGAGAGAACTCTGCTGTGTGGTGGGAGCTGTGAGAGCGACATAATTATTGTTCATGATTCCCGGCCCTGCAGGCCGTCAGAGGGCCTAGGGTGAGCAACATCACGATTGTCACTCAAACCCAGTATTTATTTGCCACGAGCAGCACCCCCCACAATTTCCTGTCCCGTTGTATTTTTCCCATGTCTGCTTTGGAAATAGGCCATTCGTAGTTAGTTAGTGCTCGGAGAAAGCCTGCAATCCCCGGACTAGCCTGCCGTAATCGCTGCCCATCTTTTTTTTTTCTGCCCCTCCTACTTCTTCTTCTTCCTTTCTTCCCTTCCACTCCCTTTTCATCCGCAAAACTATTTTCACGCAGACGCTGGGATTTCCTTCTCTCCCTCACCCTGCGCTGCGACCCGCCCCGTGACGACACCCACCCTCCCCATCGCTCCCGACCGAATTCCCGCCCTACGGCGATCACCCCACCACCCTGCCTGTCCGTTCTCTCTGCCACCGGCGGAAGAATGGGTCTTAACTTGGAAGAAATCTATGGCAAAGAACTAGACGACCAGACTCCCCAGGAGTATTCCGAGTACCAGCCAAAGAAAGGCTATGGCTGGGCGGGTACTCTGCCGGAGCGGCAGGGTCTATATGACCCAGAGTACGAGAAGGATGCCTGCGGTGTAGGCTTTGCAGCGTGAGTGAGCCTTGGAAGGCGCAATTGATCCGCTACTGACCTCCTGGCAGTCACATCAAGGGCAAGGCGAGCCACAAGATTGTTAGCGATGGTGAGTGATGGCGAGCCTGATGTAAGACCGATTCACTGACGAATTCTCATCCAGCCCGCAACCTGCTGTGTAACATGACCCACCGTGGTGCCGTTGGCTCGGATGCGCGCGATGGTGACGGTGCTGGTGTGATGACTAGCATCCCGCACAAGTTCTTCATCAAAAACTTTGCCCGGGAGGTCGGCCTGGACCTGCCCCCGCTGGGTCAGTATGCGGTCGGCAACCTCTTCTTCAAGCCGGACGAGGAGGCTCTCAAGCAATCCATCGCCAGCTTCGAGGAGCTGGCCACATCCCTTGGCCTCCGTGTGCTGGGATGGCGGGAGGTGCCCCGTGACTCGACCATCCTCGGTCCTGCGGCCCTGTCCCGCGAGCCCATTGTTATGCAGCCATTCGTCGTGTTGAAGTCCGCTTACGGCGAGGGCAACAAACCCGAGATCACCGACCCAGAGAAGTTTGATGAGAGAACCTTTGAGATCCAATTGTACGTGCTGCGGAAGCGCGCCACTCATGTCATTGGCCTAGGCAACTGGTTCTACCTGTGCTCGCTCAGCAACCGCAACATTATCTACAAGGGCCAGCTGTCTCCGGTCCAGGTGTACCAATACTACCATGACCTCGTCAACGTCGACTACGAGGGTCACTTTGCTCTCGTCCATTCCCGTTTCTCCACCAACACATTTCCCTCCTGGGACCGTGCCCAGCCCCTGCGGTGGGCGGCTCACAACGGTGAGATCAACACGTTGCGAGGAAACAAGAACTGGATGCGCGCGCGTGAGGGTGTCCTGCGGTCCGAAGTGTTCGGTGATGAGCTGGACCTACTGTACCCCGTCGTTGAGGATGGAGGTTCCGACTCGGCTGCTTTCGACAACGTTCTGGAACTGCTGATGATCAACGGCGTTCTGTCTCTGCCCGAGGCCGTCATGATCATGATTCCCGAGGCCTGGCAGGACAACCCGGCCATGGACCCAGCCAAGGCCGCCTTTTATGAGTGGGCTGCTTGCCAGATGGAGCCCTGGGATGGCCCGGCTCTTTTCACCTTCTCCGATGGGCGCTACTGCGGTGCCAATCTGGACCGCAACGGTCTGCGTCCGTGCCGTTTCTACGTCATGGATGATGACCGCATTGTTTGTGCCTCGGAGGTCGGCGCTATTGACATCGACCCCGAGCGTGTGGTTCAAAAGGGTCGTCTGCAGCCCGGAAAAATGCTGCTGGTTGACACCCTGGCCGGTCGCATCATTGACGACGCCGAATTGAAACAGACCGTCGCCCACCGACAGGACTTCGCCAGCTGGCTGGACAAGGAGCTCCTGAAGCTGCCCGCGATCAAGCAGAAGCTGCTGGATCAGAATGTGGATCTGTCCTTCACTTTGGATGACAACACCATTCAGAACGACCCTCGCCTCCAGGCCTTTGGATACTCATTTGAGCAGGTCAGCCTGCTCCTCGGGCCCATGGCTGCTGACTCGAAGGAAGCCCTCGGCTCCATGGGTAACGATGCCCCTCTGGCATGCATTGCTCAACAGCCCCGCCTGCTCTACGAGTACTTCCGTCAGCTCTTTGCTCAGGTCACCAATCCGCCCATTGATCCCATTCGTGAGGCCGTGGTTATGTCCCTTGAATGCTACGTTGGCCCTCAGGGTAATCTGCTGGAGATGGACGCTTCCCAGTGCCACCGTCTGCTCTTGAAGTCCCCCATCTTAACAATCCCGGAGTTCAATGCCCTGAAGAATATCAACGAGGCCCACAAGGACTGGACTGTTCGGACGATCGATATCACCTTTGAGAAGAAGAAGGGCACTGCCGGCTACCTGGAAGCCCTGGACGCCATTTGCGATGCGACTACTGAGGCCATCCAGAACGGTGACAAGCTGATTGTGCTCTCGGACCGTGCTACCAGCGCGGAGCGCGTTCCCGTCTCTGCTCTTCTCGCTACCGGTCTCGTGCACCACCACCTGGTTCGCAACAAGTGGCGATCTCTTGCCGCTCTGGTCGTTGAGACCGCCGAGGCTCGCGAGGTGCACCACCACTGCGTCCTGCTCGGCTATGGTGCTGATGGCATCAACCCTTACCTCGCTCTGGAGTGCATTCTCAAGATGAACCGCGAGAACCTGATCCGCAAGGACCTCAGCGATGACAAGGTCGTTGAGAACTACAAGGCTTCATGCGATGGTGGTATTCTCAAGGTCATGAGTAAAATGGGTATCTCCACCCTACAGTCCTACAAGGGTGCCCAGATCTTCGAAGCCCTCGGTATCGATGACAGCGTTATTGATCGCTGCTTCGCTGGTACCGCGAGCCGCATTCGTGGTATCACTTTCGATCTGATTGCCCAGGATGCTTTTGCTTTCCACGAGCGCGGATATCCCTCCCGTGAGATCGTTGAAGTCCCCGGTCTCCCAGAATCTGGCGAGTACCACTGGCGTGATGGCGGCGAGTCGCACATCAACGACCCTGTTAGTATTGCCAACATGCAGGATGCCGTTCGCACCAAGAACGACAAGTCCTATGAGGCCTACGCCCGTGCAGAGCACGAGCAGATTAAGAACTGCACTCTGCGCGGTATGCTCGACTTTGATTTCGATCAGCGCACCCCTATCCCAATCGACCAGGTTGAGCCCTGGACCGAGATTGTTCGTCGCTTTGTCACCGGTGCCATGTCCTACGGATCGATCTCCATGGAGTCTCACTCGACCCTGGCTGTTGCCATGAACCGTCTTGGTGGCAAGTCCAACACCGGTGAAGGTGGTGAAGACCCGGAGCGCAGCAGGCGCATGGAGAATGGCGATACCATGAGGTCCGCCATCAAGCAGATTGCCTCTGGCCGTTTTGGTGTGACCTCCAACTACCTCGCGGATGCCGATGAACTGCAGATCAAGATGGCCCAGGGTGCTAAGCCTGGTGAGGGTGGTGAACTGCCAGGCCATAAGGTCGTTGGCCCTATTGCCCGCACTCGTTACTCTACTCCCGGTGTCGGTCTCATCTCCCCGCCTCCGCACCACGACATCTACTCCATTGAAGATCTGAAGCAGCTCATCTACGACCTGAAGTGTTCCAACCCCCGCGCTCGTGTTTCCGTCAAGCTCGTGTCCGAAGTTGGCGTGGGTATCGTCGCCTCCGGTGTCGCCAAGGCCAAGGCTGACCACATCCTGATCTCTGGTCACGATGGTGGTACTGGTGCGTCGCGCTGGACGGGTATCAAGTATGCGGGTCTTCCTTGGGAGCTGGGTCTTGCCGAAACCCACCAGACTCTCGTTCTGAACGACCTCCGTGGCCGTGTCGTCGTCCAGACTGACGGTCAAATTCGTACCGGCCGTGACCTCGCGGTCGCCTGTCTCCTTGGAGCGGAGGAATTCGGCTTCGCAACGACCCCTCTGATTGCAATGGGTTGTATTATGGTAAGTCCCATTTCACCTTCTCTACCTACTCTTTGAGTTCTCTGCTAACAGTGTCCCTCCAGATGAGGAAGTGCCATCTGAACACTTGCCCGGTCGGTATCGCGACTCAGGACCCAGAGCTGCGCCAGAAGTTCCAGGGCACACCTGAACACGTGATTAATTTCTTCTACTATGTCGCCAACGAGATGCGTGCTATCATGGCCAAGCTGGGCGTGCGCACTATCAACGAGATGGTCGGTCGTGCTGAGTTGCTTCGCGTCCGTGACGACATTCGGAACCAGAAGCAGGAGCGCGTGGATCTGTCACTGATTTTGACTCCGGCTCACTCGCTGCGTCCTGGCGTTGCTACATACAACGTCCGCAAGCAGGATCACCGCCTCCACGTCCGTCTTGACAACAAGCTAATTGCCGAGTCCGAGTTGGCCTTGGAGAAGGGCCTCCCTTGCCGCATCGAGTGTGACATCGTCAACACTGACCGTGGCCTTGGTGCAACGCTCTCCTACCAAGTTAGCAAACGCTATGGCGACGTCGGCCTGCCGCAGGACACCATCCATGCCAACATCAAGGGCTCTGCTGGTCAATCCTTCGGCTCCTTCCTTGCCCCCGGTATCACCCTGGAGCTTGAGGGTGATGCCAACGACTATGTTGGCAAGGGTCTTTCGGGTGGTCGTCTCATTGTCTACCCGCCTCGCGGTGCCGCCTTCAAGGCTGAGGAGAACGTTATCATTGGTAACACCTGTCTGTATGGTGCTACCCGCGGTACTTGCTACTTCCGTGGTCTCGCTGCTGAGCGTTTTGCTGTCCGCAACTCTGGCGCCACTGCCGTCGTGGAGGGTGTTGGTGACCACGGTTGTGAGTACATGACTGGTGGTCGTGTCCTCGTTCTCGGATCTACTGGTCGCAACTTCGCTGCTGGTATGTCTGGAGGTATCGCCTATGTGCTGGACGTGAACCAGGACTTCCACTCCAAGGTCAACCTGGAGATGGTTGAAGTTTCTGGTATTGAGGAACCGTCTGAGATCGCTTTTGTTCGTGGTCTGATTGAGGACCACCACCACTACACCGGCTCCGAGATGGCTGCCCGTATCCTTCTCGACTTCACCCGTGCTCTCCCTCACTTCGTCAAGGTCCTGCCGACTGACTACAAACGCGTCATGGCCGAAGAGGCCGCCAAGGCAGAGGCTGCGAAGAAGGCAGAGTTCACTCTCCCCAAGCTCCCCAGCACCCCGGTCGCCGCCGAGAAGACCGAGGCTGAGGCCAAGAAGGCTGACCTTCTAGACATTGAGGACAGCATCAGCGACTCTAAGAAGGAGAAGAAGCGTTCTGCTCTGATCCTGGACAAAACCCGCGGCTTCATGAAGTACAGCCGGCGGAGCGAGAAGTACCGCAACCCCACCACTCGCACCCGTGACTGGGCGGAGCTGTCCAACCGTCTCAGTGAGGATGAGCTCAAGTACCAGTCTGCTCGTTGCATGGACTGTGGTGTTCCTTTCTGCCAGTCTGACACTGGTTGCCCTATCTCCAACATCATCCCCAAGTGGAACGAGCTGGTCTTCCGGGACCAGTGGCAGGATGCCCTTAACCGTCTGCTGATGACCAACAACTTCCCTGAATTTACTGGTCGTGTCTGCCCCGCTCCTTGCGAGGGTGCCTGTGTTCTGGGTATCAATGAGGACCCCGTCGGCATCAAGTCGATCGAATGCGCCATCATCGACCGCGGCTGGGAGATGGGCTGGATGGTTCCTCGTCCTCCCAAGACCCGTTCTGGCAAGACTGTCGCCATCATTGGCTCTGGCCCTGCTGGTCTGGCTGCTGCTGACCAGCTCAACAAGGCTGGTCACACCGTGACTGTCTACGAGCGTGCCGACCGCATTGGCGGTCTGCTCATGTATGGTATCCCCAACATGAAGCTCGACAAGAAGGTCGTCCAGCGCCGTGTCGACCTCATGGCTGCTGAGGGCGTCAAGTTCGTGACGAACGCTGCTGTTGGTCCCGACAACGAGGTCTCTCTCCAGTCCCTCCGGGCCACCAACGACTCGGTCATCATCGCCACTGGTGCCACTGTCGCTCGTGACCTCAAGGTTCCTGGCCGTGAGCTGGACGGCGTGCACTTCGCCATGCAGTTCTTGCACCAGAACACCAAGTCCCTGCTGGACTCCAACCTCGCCGATAACGCCTACATCTCCGCCAAGGACAAGCATGTTGTTGTCATTGGCGGTGGAGATACCGGTAACGACTGCATTGGTACCTCGGTCCGTCACGGTGCCAAGTCCGTCACCAACTTCGAGCTGCTGCCCCAGCCGCCCCCAGAGCGTGCCGGTGACAACCCGTGGCCCCAGTGGCCTCGCATCTACCGTGTCGACTATGGCCACTCTGAAGTCAAGACTCACATGGGCAAGGATCCGCGTGAGTACTGTGTCATGTCGACCGAGTTCACGGACGATGGCAGCGGGCGTGTCAAGGGTATCAACACCGTTCGCGTCGAGTGGACCAAGAGCGCCACTGGCGGCTGGGACATGAAGACCGCGGAGGGTAGCGAGCAATTCTTCCCCGCCGACCTGGTCCTTCTGTCAATGGGCTTCTTGGGACCTGAGGACCGCCTCCTCGGTGAGGAGATTGAGCGTGACCCTCGCAAGAACGTGAAGACTCCTCCTGGACACTACTCGACCAACATCCCTGGTGTGTATGCGGCGGGTGACTGCCGACGTGGACAGTCTCTGATTGTCTGGGGTATCAACGAAGGCCGTCAGTGTGCGCGTGAAGTGGATGCTTTCCTCAGCGGCATCAGCTCCCAACTGCCTGTCACCGGTGGCATTGTCCGCCGTCCTGCCATGGACGCGGTTCCCCAGCCCGCCCAGGCTTCCGTCCCGGCCTAAATGATGATCTAGCCATGGATAGGGAGAAGAGGCTATGTTATGACCATGATGGGCATGATAGATGATGACATACTGAGTTTTTCACGGGAGGAAAAGTTTGTGATCACACATGGGAAATACCCCCAAATTGTTTTTGTCTTTTACAGTCTCCATCTTCACCGATCGTGACGTTCGTGCGATATTTCTTTTTCCTCTTTGCTTTGTTTCTTTCCTTTGTTTCTGTGACAGCAGCGTTTGCAGTGTGCAAGGTGTTTAGAGTCTGCCACCGTTCAGTGATATCTCTCATGTGCTGTACATAGCCTTTTTTTTTCCTGCTCTCCTGAATTGCAATTTCTTATCTTCATATGTGTGTGCATATACTAGAATTATACTAGGTCTTCTTTATCTACATTCCCTTTACTCGAATAGCAAGCCTGTAAGCAAAGTCATGTCTCGCTCTTATTTGGTCCCAGCTCCCGGTTTTCAACATTGCAAAGGGCAAGATTTCCTTTTGGCACAAGTATTCTTTCTGTAGCATCCTCTTCCTCTCCCTTGGTGGCCAGTCTGGGTCCATGGATCTAGCGTCAGAGATTCTTTCCCTAGGGAGGGCGAGGAAGGCATCTTGATACCATACAGAGATAGGCCTCGCATCCTCTCCACCCAGGACTTGACCTCTTGAGCGTTCTTTTCGGATGTTACACACACCCTTCTCACTGGATACCTTGCTTTGGCAGCACTGTATTCCTTTCTGACCCAGGTCTCGATCATCGGTTGTGGAGGAGGGTTTACTGCGTGTTCTGCCGTTGATGTTGGACCGCGAAAGAGATGAAGGCCTTTCACCTGTCCTCTCTTCATCCTCTTCCAAGAGCGCTTTTATAAGATATTCTTCCATCTTCAATGCCTGATCCAGATCCTCCAGCCACTCAGACTCCATCACGCTGTGGGTAGCCGTGCTTTTTGTCCGTCGTCTTGATCAAGTTCATAGGTTCTCGGTCAGTGAGGTTGTTCATTGTGCAGATTTCATTGATATCTTCCATAGTTCACAGAGTTCAGCAAAAGAGAAAATAAGACGAGAGAGATGAATGGGTTTATTGAACAGAATATCGTACAATTACCTGCACCAGGCAGAGAAATAAGTCATAAAGAAAAACCAAAGGATATCAAAGCGCCTATTGTTTTGCCTCTTCTTCCGCTTTCATCTCCCGCTCTAGCGCTATGTAGTCTCCCTGAAATGGTTTTGGCGCTGGCTCCTGCCGCACATCCCAGACATCTTCACTGCTGGGACCGGTCTTGTATTTGATGGCCTTTTTCCGGTTGTGGTCTCGGATGGCAGCCTTCTTCTGGTCATCGGGCCATTGTCGGGTTCTCATGCACATCCAGAAATTATCCCAGTGCTCGCTGCATGACCGTAATTCGCCGTACCGATAGACATTAACGAACTGGCCGCCGAAGGACTGGCAGAAGAAAGCGTAGTCGAAGGCGTCGCGACAGGACATGGTGTCGGAGTAAAGGGATTCGGGGGCAATGGACGAGGTGGGTGATTGGAGGCGGGCGGTGGTTGCGCCAGTATTGGAGCCATCATCTGGTCCTGTGGATGGTGGTTGTGGTGACTTGGACTTGGACAATGCCGCGTCTTCTTGTCGGAGGTCGGCCAGGATCTGACTGAATTCCAGTTCGGCTTGTTCGTCGGGGGTCAATTTCTTCGCAGGAGCCTGGGGAGGCGCAGGGGGAGCAGCAGGAGCATTGTCCTGCTGGGGACTTGATCGCCACCACCAGCCCATTGTGTTGTTGTTGCGACGAAGTTTTTCGCTGCGATCCGATCCGATCACTGCACTGCTTGCTTATGTACTCAAGGTACCGTAACCCCGTGACTGCCCGACGTCATTTACTTCCTGAGTCCAACAACAGTTACACGTTCTTTTAACACTTGTCAACTTTCTCCTGACAATAATGTATGCAGCGCAATGATGAGGCCGCTTCCCTTCGTGCGTGCACCTGCTGCTTGGGCTCAGGTGTCGCGCCCTAGTGCCAGCGTCTACTCGGCACGGCTATGTCCTGCAGTCGGGGTTCGTTGCACCTCCTCCATCCAGTCGGGCCACATTACAGTCGGGGAGAATGAGGGCATTCTCTATGTGAACAGTATGCTCTAGATTGTCAATTTCGTTTCTTCGACTGACCCGCAATAGATGTCTTCCCGCATCGGCTGCAATGGTTCCTGCGGGGCCCGCTCAGCCATATCCAGCCGTTTGAAGGACTGCTGAAGCGAATCAACAACCCTGACCTGGCCGCATCTGATCCTCAGCGCATAGCTGAACGCGCATTACCCCAGGGCTTGGATCTTAAAATCAAAGAGGTTGTCCCAAGGTATAAAGAAGGCGGCGCATTCGTAAAATATGCACGCAGCCCAAACGTCAACGATGAAGATGTCCAATCTGCGGCAAAAGAACACATGGCGAAGCATCCCATCAAGCCATGGTTCAATCCATTCCAAAGAGCCGACGTGGACGGTGTACGGGGCAAGCCGTGGATCGAAGACCTTTACCGGATCCCCAGCCAGACCCTGAAGGTGGAATTCTTGCCAGCTACCCCGGAGTCTTCGGCGGTGGAGCTAACCCAGGAGGCGTTGTACAGCCTCTTTCGCCCATATGGGAAGATCATAGATATTCACCCACAGCCTTCTGATTCCAAGGTCCAGCCGAGGTATGCGACCTTGACGTTCAGCCGGCCCCGATTCTCGGTCATGGCACGGAACTGCATGCATGGATTTGTCGCCAGTGAAGAGGATGGCGGAGGTAAAGCCGGAACCAAGTTCAAGATCAACTACGAGCGCAAGATCAAGTTTTCAGTGATTAAGGACTGGCTCCTGAATCATCCGAGGATCGTCATTCCAGCCCTGGCGGCATTGGTCGCGGCAATTACCGTGATCATCTTTGATCCTATCCGCACATTTTTCATTGAAATGAAGATCAAGTCCACTCTTCAGACATCAGAAAATCAGGTGATACAGTGGATTCGCAAGCAAGCCAGCAAAGCCAACATAGCCTACTTTGGGCGCAGGAAGACAGACCCTCGTGGTTTGGCAGCGATTTGGGAAGACCGTCAGAAAGACATATCCCAGGTGCAAGCCTGGTTGACCGAGACTGCGGAGACCTTTATTGTCATTCACGGCCCGCGTGGCTCGGGGAAACGGGAGTTAGTTCTGGACCAGGCATTGAAAGACCACAGCTACAAAGTGGTAATCGACTGCAAACAAATCCATGATGCGAGAGGCGACACAGCCAAAATCTCACGAGCAGCCGCTCAGGTCGGCTACCGACCCATCTTCTCGTGGATGAACAGTATCAGCAGTTTCATCGATCTTGCTGCTCAGGGAATGATTGGCACCAAGGCCGGTTTCTCTGAGACGCTCGATGCCCAGCTCAGCAAAATTTGGCAGAATACAGCAGTGGCAATGAAGCGAGTTGCCCTCGGCGGGCGACGCAAGGAGGACAAAGACTTTAACCTCACTGACGATGAATACCTCGAAGCCCATCCCGAGAAGAGGCCCGTCGTCGTTATTGACAATTTTGTCTATGATTCGGAACACGCCGTCGTGCTTGACAAGATGACCGAATGGGCCGCTGGCCTTACAACGGCCAATATTGCCCATGTTATCTTCCTGACCACAGACTCCTCCTATGCAAAACCCTTGAGCAAAGCTCTTCCAAATCAGGTCTTCCACACCATCGGTTTAGGTGACTGTTCTCCTGAAGTTGGCCGTCGTTTTGTGTTGAGTCATTTGGACGTGGATGCGAGCGATGATGGAAACGCGCCGAAGGTAAAGCGCGGCAAGGATGCACTCAATGGCCTCGATGATTGCATTCGAGTTCTTGGTGGCCGGGTGACAGATCTTGAGTTTATGGCCCATCGAATTGAAGCTGGCGAGACTCCTCAAGGTATGACCACCCAGTCATTCTTCTGCTGTCGACTAATCTTTGTTTTCTACAGCTGCCGTGGATCGCATTGTCGACCAATCAGCCTCGGAAATCTTGAAAATCTTCATCTTGGGAACCGAATCCGTCGCACCGCAGTGGACTCGTGAACAAGCATGGTATCTCATCAAATCACTCGCGCACGCCGAGGATGGACGTCTGCTTTACAACAAGATTCTTCTCTCTGATCTTTTCAAAGAGAACGGCGAAGCGACCCTCCAAGCCCTGGAGCAAGTGGAGCTCATTTCCGTAGGGTCGGTCAAGGGGTTTCCACGATGGGTCAAGCCTGGGAAGCCCGTCTACCAGGCCGCATTCCAGCGGCTGATCGAGAACAAGACACTGGAAAGCCGTCTGGATTTGTTGATCCTCACGCAGATGATCGGGAATGAGAATAAGAACATCCACAAGTACGAGGAAGAGCTGCAGCTGCTTGGTACTCTGCCGAAATACCCCTGGGAACTCACTTCGAGGATTGAATGGCTCCTGAGTAAGATACACAGCTCGCAGTCAAAGATCCTCAAGTATGAGAACGAGAGCGCGGTGTTGCAGAAGGTTTTGCACAGTGCGAAATAAACGACGGGCGATGATGCACATTGTACCATGCTATATCCAGATATCTTCAATTGTAAAAATTGTTGAATAAATGCTGATCATAACGATAAACGCAAGGAGACCGCAGAAATAAACTAAAAATCCGTCGTTGAACACATATTCACTCATAGTAGACCAGATGGTGGCTGATGAGATAAGCAAACTAGGGAAGCGCGACCCTTGGCAGCTTCTTTTCCTTCGCCCTTCAACTCTCGACAACATTGTGTCAAACGCCTTTTTTGACAGATTTTTCAATGTCGGCGCGTTTCGTCTTGTGTAGGCGTTGACTTTTCATTCCAGTCGCCTTTCCCTTGTGCGGCCTGTTTCTCCACTGCCTCTTAACAGGTATGGAGAAGTACGAGGCCTCGCCGCATGGACTGATACAAACTGTTCGCGATGGCCTTCCTCAATTGACTTGGTCCACTTTTTTTGCAGTTCTGGTCTTTTCATGCATTGCAACCCGGGTTATCACAGGGCTTCAATGCAGGCATCACGAACACGATCCAACGGAGCCGCGTACTGCCAGGCTGGCGCCTTATTGGGCTCCTTGGATTGGACACGGCCTGTCCTTTGTATGGGACCATGTCAAACTACTCTCTGGACTTCGGTTTGTGATCCATCTACAATCTCTCTGATTACGCTGCTAATACAACATCTTAAAGGGATTCTATGAATGAGCATGTATTTGGCATTTATCTGCGCGGTGTGAAGCACGATGTCGTAGTGTCACCCTCGATGATGAAGACAGTCTTGTCTTCACAAGATGCATCCAGTACCGCTGCCCTCGACCAGGCACTGCAGAACGTCTTTGGCAATCGCGGTCTTGTGCGCAATTTGAACCTAAACAGGGAGATTCGTGATGATGTCTCCAGGATGATCGACGGGGAGCCATTCGCCAGTGCTGCTACCACAGATATTTCCCGTTTAGTGAAACGCCATATTCCCGATTTGGTCACCTTCTCCCACAGTGTGGTTGACCAGATGCCCTGGGAGCGCGAAAGCCAAGTAACACTCCCGGACAGTCAGGATCAGTCGGTCTGTGAGGTCAAGCTCTTTGCGCTTATCAGAAACTTCGTGGGCCACATAACCACTTCCATCCTAATGGGCGAAGCCTTTGGGGAGTCCTTTCCAGGTCTACTGGAAAATCTTTGGACACTCGACAACAACTTCGTGACGTTATTCGTGGGCACTCCCCGCTGGATTCCCTCACCTGGTGTTTCCGCAGGTTATGCAGCTCGGGATCGTCTTATTCATATAATGTCGATCTTTTCCCGTGCGTTCACAGCATGGGATGATGGGATCGACCCAGGGATTGAACTTCGCGATCTGGACGATGTGTCTGAATTGGTCAAAGAACGAATGCGAACTTTTCGAAAGCTGGAGCTGTCTCCCGGAGCTAGCGGCGCAGCACACTTGTCCCTATACTGGGACACGATAGAGCACACGACGAAGATCATTTTCTGGACCGTCCTCCATATTTTCTCGGATCCTGCGCTCCTCAAAGATATCCGCACGGAGATATCTCTGCACACCAGCGCATCACGGCCCAGTCGCCGAGAAACTGGATTTCCGTTTGATTCCCCTCCTCAACTCACTCTCGACCTTGAACAAGTCATCGGAGCATGCCCGATGTTGAAAGCATGCTACTACGAGTCTGTGCGTTTGCACTCAGCGGGCATTTCCTTCAGGAAACTAGAATCAGACTTGACCCTGCCTGAATCCGCCGAAGAAGCCTCCTTCCACACGGGTGATCCTCGCATATACCGCATCCGAAAGGGCGAGAGGGCAATGGTGCCTCATGGTGTCTACCACAACGACTCTCGGCATTTTTCAAACCCGGACCAGTATGATCCCCTCCGGTTTATCGTGACGGATCCCGAGTCTGGAGCGAAACGCGTAAATGAGAACGCACTTGCGCCATTTGCGGATGGACTATACGGGTCTAAAGGAAACAGCTTCAATGAGAAGGAAATACTGGCTGTTACTGCAGCGATTGTGTCGATGTGGGAGATTGAATCAGCCAACGGGAATGGCCTGGTCGTTCCAGGGCATACACCCACTTGGGGGGCTTTTCGACCTGCAAAGGATGTGAAGGTGAGATTGAAACTGCGGGTATGATTAGTTTCTATATTAGCGTTAGGAATCCAGTATTTCGCCTTCGTGCTTCTTGTTTAGTGTATCTAGAAGTCCATGTCGGGCTAGCCCGAAACAGGTTATCGATATGCCCGACCAGGCCAAGAGCGCCCCTCATTCTTCACGTCTTCCTCGGATTCTCTTGAGTACTTTCTCCCACTTCCCCATCCCCCGGCGCCAGCATCACACGCCATGGCTCTCGCTGGCGCCCAACGCCGTCAGATCTTGACGGTGTTGATGATCTCACTGGTCCTGGACCTGGTAAGTTGACTCGCTTCTTGTTTACGCTTCTGGTTCTCACCATCCGCAGATCTCCTTCACCTTCATCCTCCCGCTCTTCCCATCGTTATTGTCCTTCTACCACGCCCAAGACCTATCCCCCGACTCCTTCCTAAACCGCGTCTTCTACTACCTGAACGCGTACAAGAACTCCTTCGCGCGCCCCATCGACTCGCGATATGACATCGTCCTCCTCGGCGGCGCCCTCGGCTCGCTTTTCTCCTTCCTCCAGGCTATCGCCGCTCCCGTCATTGGGCACCTGTCAGACCGCGTCGGTCGTAAACGTACTCTTCTCTACTCGTTGATTGGCAACATCTGGAGTGTCACGCTCTGGGTCGCTGCAGTTGATTTCCGGACTTTCCTTGCAAGTCGTGTTGTTGGCGGATTGAGTGAGGGGAATGTCCAGCTGGCGAATGCCATTGCCGCTGATATCAGTGATGAGTCGCACCGCAGCGCGACTATGGCGCTCGTTGGTGTTTGCTTCAGCATCGCGTTTACATGCGGTCCTGCTCTCGGCGCGGCGCTCTCCTCTGTCAAGATCGTTGAGGCCAATCCGTTCATCACGGCTGCTAGTGTCTCTTTGGCACTGATTCTGGTGGAGTTTGTCTTTGTCTATGTGTGTTTACCCGAGACACATCCTCGATTTACCACTCTCCGCGAAGGAGACCCAGTGTCGTGGGTTCAATGCAGAAAAGCGCCTGCGGAGGCACGAACCCAGGTTCAAATCCAAACCCCGAACCAGGAGAACAAGCCCAAGGACACACCTTCTGCTCAACCCAGCGCGGCAAGACATACCAACAACCCATCCTTCCTGAACGCAGTGCACTTCCTCTTCCTAGTCCCCTTCTCCGGTCTAGAATTCTCCCTTCCATTCCTAACAGCCACCCTCTACGCCAACACAACCACCGACGCCAGCCCCGCCGCACTGAACGGCCGTCTCCTCTCATTGATGGGCCTAATCGCCTCCTTGTTACAGGGTACAGCCGTGCGCCGCCTCCCGCCTCTTCTGATAGTGCGCGCTGGAGTAGTCGCCTGCGCCATCTCCTTCTTCCTCCTCGCCCACATTTCCTCACTTGCAGGCCTCTATGCTGCCGGTAGCTTGCTGGCCGTTACATCTGCCACGGTCGTTACGGGTCTCAATAGTCTCGGCAGCTTCGAGGCCCGCGACGCCGACCGCGGCGCTGTCATGGGCCGGCTGCGTGGCTGGGGACAGGCTGGTCGCGCGACTGGACCGATTGTGTTTTGTTCGTTGTTCTGGTGGGCTGGACGCCGTGCTGCTTATACTGCTGGCGGGGCGGCTATGGTGGCTGTTGCTGGTGCCGTGTTTATGTTGTTGAAGTCTCCTATTCCAGAAAAGAGGAGCGCGAAAAAGGCTTAGATTTTGGGTTGTGATAACCGCATGCCCTATTCATTAGACAAATATAGCAGCATAGTCGGAGCATTTCCCCTTTCGTTCACCCCCAATCGTACCGAGTTTATCGACTCGTCCCTAAATCGAGTCATTCCGGTCTTGTACATTAGAATCACATACTTTTGACTACCAAAAGAGCCCCGAACAGCATAACGGGAGCTGAATTTTAGGATGCTTAATATCATATGTCTTAGGGATATAGTGGACCATAGTAGCCGGAAGCCTAGGATGTGCGATGATCACAACCCTAGATTTTATGGGCTAGATATAGATCTCATGTTTGCATTACGGAAAGAGATGGATTCAATTGTTCGCGTTCGTCTAGTCAAGCCAGGGTATATAGTACATGCGACGACATATGAGAACAATTCAGGAAGAGCGGCGAGATATGGGTTCCAGAGCACAGCTCAAAACCAATAGAAAAGTAGAGAATATCAATACAAACCTGAAATATTCCGAGAAAGGCAAGCGCCCCTCAAAAAAGTTCCAAACTTCACAAGTGAAAGAATCAGCGTCTCCGCGTCCGATACCGCTCCGTACGCAACCCGCAGTTATAGTTCGGATAAGACTCCATCGCCAGACCCGGAGTCGGATCTGGAGCAGGATCAAGGGAGTTCCGCGCCTTTCCAATCAACCAGTCGGTTAGGGTAACGAACTTGGCCGTGCGGTCCCAGCCGTTCGCGTCGTCTGCATGCTCGATCGTATGCGTGAGGATGCGGCCGTCTTTGTCGAACGAGAAAATAAAGAGGCCGGTGAACTGCTCTTCCTTGGCCAGCTTGAAGATCGGCTCGTCGCCGCCAAGAAGCACGCTGAGGCCCTTGTTGGTGCCTTTTTTTGAATTAGATAAGTGGTGGGGATCGTTGTTGGCGCCAGTGGAGGATTGGGGGGAACCGCCACGAGTCGGCGATTTGGCTACGGCATCCGGCCCCGGATTCGAGGAGAACGGCGCCTTGTCGTGGAATGGTCTACTCTCCGTGCGCGGCTCAGTCCGCCATCGCACGACAAGTCTCTCATCACCGCAATCGTGTTGGTGGCCGTCGCGTCGCTCAGGGTCCAGTACCGTGCCCGCGCGCACGATCCGCTCGCTCAGAATCTGGAGCTTGACATTCCCCACGAGCGGTACACTGCTCCATGCTACGGGGACAGTCCACAGCGCTGCGCGGTAGAGCGTTCGACCTTTGACGGTGGGGAGATGCGGGTGTGTCGATGGGAAGAGGTGGAGGTTGATGGCTGGGGAAAGGATCTCAGGAGGAAGCGTGTTGTACAGAATAGTTGGGAGGAGCGGAGAGAGAGTGCGGAGAGCTAAATTGGAGTTAGTCAATTCAATGCTACTTGATGCTTTACTCACTTTTCCCGAGTTTCAACACCCGCTCATCTGGCGGCTTGTGATCGTCTTTTCGTGGCCGCCCGTCTAGTCCATCGAGATCCAAGCGCCCTGGGCTCGGCGCGAAGTGTGTGATCGGTGGTGGCGAAGAGGCTGATGGCAGCCAGGGCTCGGTCAGGATGCCATGGCGTGGTTGCGCGAGCGGGCGACGCCGCGAGGACGCGAAGGACTGCCGGCCGACGGCCTTGGGAGTTGGTGGTGGCAGGCGGAGGAGAGAGGTTGTGCACGGTATTGCATGCGGACAGACCAGCTTCGGCATTCTGCCTGGAATAGGCGTGGTTAGGCCATGCACATATGTCCCTCAGGAGTTCGTTCAAGCGATGCGAAGAGGAAGAAACAGGAAGTAGTGGGTTGGGGGATGACGTTGCGGCCAATAGCGGTGCGGGTATTATCGCAGCAACTATACTGTACATACGGCAACTACTAGTATATACGACACACGACATGGATTATTATTATAGTAGAATATATAATAGAATGACATTGGTGTTCGTAAAACTACCTCCTAAATCTCCCCATAGCCCAGTCATGCCAGCTCGTCGTCGTCGTCCATGCCCATCACACGTCGTTCCGCCAGGTCGCGGATCTTGTCCTCCAGCACACCTCGCCCATAGCGCTGGGCCACCTTGGCCGCCGCCTCAATCATCTTGCCATTGCGATCAGACATCATGCCCACCAGCTCGAGCGCCTTCATGCCGCGGTCCTCGCCCTCCCGGCACTCGTTGGCCAGCATCTGGAGCAGGGTCTTGTTCATCTCCAGCTCTTTGCGCGCCAGCTCGGCGCGCTGGCTGGCGGTCGCGTTGGTCGAGGCCAATAGATCCTGGTAGAGCGAGAGGAGGACATTGCTGCGCACAAACGCCTCCTCGAACTTGGCATTCTCGTCGCGCGCGTCGGCACCTTCGGGATCGATGGGATCCCTCGGCGGGACGGCAGACACAGGAACCTGGAATTCAAATTCACTGAGGAGTGGCCGCGGGAAGTACGGGTGCTGGTCTCCGCCCTTGAGGATGATGCAGTGGAATTTGTCCTGCGCTACGGCCACCGGCCAGTAGGTCTCTTCTTTGCGGCCACCAGCCAGACGGGCGAGCTGCTTCGTGTCTAGAAGAGGCACCCACCGGGCTTGACCGGGCGTGCGCCAGTGCTGCAAGACGAGCAACGCCCCCGTCGTGTCATAGATACATGGGTCCTGGGAGACTGTCAGTTGTGTCGTACAGATACATCTTCAATATCACGTACCCCAGTGTCGGAGAAGAAGACATTCTTCAATTGAACGCCTTCCGGGAGTGCAACCTCGTCCTCGTTCTGGCAAATCTCGTCCCGTTTGACATTTTCGATAGTATATCGTAACGTCGTGTGGCGGCCATCAGGTCCCAAGGGGCCGTTGCCAATGCTCATAATGTAGTCCCTCCATGCGGCACAACTGACGCCCTGACTCTTTTGTCGATACACTTTGAATGGTGTCCCAAAAAGTGTGTATACTCGGACATAGCCTTTCGTCGTCACGGCAACAATATATGAATCACTCAGTGCAAGAGCTATGAAGGCCAGTCAGCCGAGAAATGAATATTGGTTCAATATATTTACCTCGGACCATTTCGCCCTCGGGCAATTGGGTGCGCCAATCTGCTCTCGTGGTCCATGTCTCATGTGGCCGGTAGAAGATAGTGGCAGGGCTGCCATCAGACGGACTGTTAGCGAAGAGCGTTCCGTTCTCATCTGTATCGGGTCAGAATCGAAGTCAAAAATGGCAGGTCTAGTCAAGCTCACTGAGGCAGGCTTTGTCGTATTGATATGGATCCGTGAAGTGGAAGTCCCGGTACAGCTCGCGGTCATAGAATTCTACGGTGACTGTATGGTGTGTTTCTTGATCAACAGTCCAGACGGCGCCAGTCAAGTTCAGACCTGAACAAATTAGCACACGAAACAATTTTCCTCGAAAGGATCTTCATACAGAGATATCGCCGATTCCCAGCCCATGGCGTACTACCAGGCTGAAGAGGTGGATGTGGGTTGGGCTGAAACGAGCCAGAGTAGGCACGTTTGCTGTCCGGGCCAAGGTCTTCCAGGTGGCCGTTTGTCCGCTTGCCATACGGATTGAGGCCTTCGGCATAGCCTGCACCATCATCATCATCCACAAAATCCGGCATTTCATCATCCTCACCGAGGATGTCATCCAATGAGTCTGGTGATCCCCTTCTAGCTGCCCGCTGGATGGCCTCCTTGGACCGATCCGCCAAGGTTCTGCCGACATTGTTGGAGATCTCAGTGAGCGGTCCTGGGAAGATAGGAGCTGCCTGCAACGGCTTCTGAAGCAACGGCTCGTGTTCCCTCGGCACAAAGTCGTCATGAATGAACAGTTCGCCATCAGAGGTGGTGAAGGACAGCGAGTTCTTAGTCGGATGCCAGGCGAGATTGATGACATTTCCAAAGTCGTAGCGTTGCAGAATATTTTGAGTTTTCGTTTCCCAGAGGATGATCTGACCGTCTGCGGCGGCGGATGCCAGCAGGGTTCCATTCGGCGCCCAGCTGAGGGCCGTGATGTCGCCGGTATGCCCACCAGCAAAGGTCTTCTCTTTCTTCCACTCCGAGATAGAGTAGATGGAGATGTCCCGGGTGGCCTCTGCGGATGCAAACGCGGTACCGTCCGGGTGCCACACGGCTCTCGATGTCGCCTCTGCATCTGGCTCGAGTCTTCGAATCACTCCATCGAGCTTGCGGACCAACTCCGGTTCTTCCTCGTGCAGGGAATAGATGTAGACAATGCCGTCCGTGCAGGAAACCGAAACATAGCGCCCATTGGGGTCGAAGGTGACATGTTTGGCTCCTTTGGGTTGTTCCCGCAGGTATTTGACCTGGGTCATGTCCTCGATTTTGACGATTTTCACCGTGAGTTCACTATTTCGAGCATGTTAGTCGAGCCATTGTCTGCTATATACACCATGGCTGGACTTACTCGCTTGCCACGGCCGCCCATTCGCCGTCCCTAGACACCGCAATATCGCGCACCGGCAGCGCGCAGCGTACCAACAAGTTCCGCATCTTGCCGGATGTGATATCGTACTGCCATACCGTGCCGTCCTCGGCGCCCATAATAAAACACTCGTTCTGGAACCGGGCTGTCAGCGGGGTCCGCTCGAACTACCACCACCCCGAACATACCGTGGCACCGATGCCGTGATTCGCATCAACGCCCTCGTCGACTGTCTGGGGCTCTCCATCTTGGCCCACGGTGTAAATCCGAATGGCAGAGTTGGATCCGCCGGTGATCACGCGCTTCCCGTTGGGCGTGTATGCGAGCACAGTCGTCCCCGGGGTGTCTGGATGGGAGAAAATCCGGTCAGTGAAATGGATCGAACACTAATAAAAGCATTTCAAAACACGCCGACGTACGGGCTGGCCGGCCTCGCGGGCGCATGGCGTCGAAGCTCATTCTGGGAATGTTGCGACCGAGAATTGGTGAGTGGGAGGTGGTCAGACAACGATGAGTGAGGGAAGACGCGTCTTCCCGTTAGGGATACGCGTTCCGGGATTTAGCCTATTCGGGCAAAGTCCCTTTCCAATTACTATGGAGGTATCCTACTATACACCTTTTGCAGTCAGGAAATCAAAGTCGGCCCCGTCCTGCGCTTGGTTGACACTGCGCTCGTACAGGCCCCGGTATCCTCGTCGCCGCTCTCGCTGCTCTACCTCTCCCGCCAGTCTCTGTTTACGCGCCTGAATCCGAGTCTGGATGACCTGGTCGGGCACATCCAAATGTAATCTACGACTTTCGATCTCACAGGTGATCAAATCGCCCGTCTCAACAATCCCAAAGGGAGATTCCGGCAACGCAGCCTCGGGCGAGATGTGCAGGATGATGGTTCCTCCCGCCGTGCCGGACATTCGCCCATCAGACAGCCGCAGCATATCTTTCACTCCCGCGCCGGCCAATTTTTTGGGAATGGGAATCATTCCGGCCTCGGGCATACCGGGATTACCCACGGGTCCAATCCCTCTTAAAACGAGCACAGAGTCCTTGGTCACTGCCAGATTCGGATCGTCAATTCGTTGCGCCATGTCCGCGGCATTCTCGAATACTACCGCGGGCCCGGTATGAGAAAGCAATGATCGATACTTTGATGCAGATGCTTTGGTGACCGCTCCATCAGGTGCAAGGTTGCCCTGGAGCACAACGAGAGATGACGAAGGGAAGAGAGGATCGGAAAGCGGCCGGATGATCGTTTGAGCAAAGGACGGCCTCTTGGACTGAGATGCGTCCAATACTTCGCCCAGCGTCTGCCCAGTGATTGTCATGGCTGATAGGTGTAAGAGCGGTCGAAGCTCATGCAACAGTCGCAGCATACCTCCGGAGTTGTGGAAGTCGTCCATATAGTTATCCCCGCTCGGCTTGAGATCTACCAGTAACGGTGTCTTGCGGCCTACTTCCTCAATGGTCTGCAGTGTGATCACGCCATCGAGAGCAGGATGTCTATTTGCGATAGCCAGTATATGGACCACGGCATTGGTCGAACCTCCGATGGCTTGGAGGACTGTGATGGCGTTGAGGAAGGACTCCTTCGTCAACATATCCTGTGGCTTCCTAGCAGCTTTGGCCAGTGCCACTGCGTTTGCCCCCGTCTCTTCGGCGATTCGCAGCCGTGCAGAAGATACAGCCGGGGCGGATGCGCCTCGGAGAGGCATCATACCCAGTGCGGCAGTCACGCATGCCATCGTGCTGGCCGTGCCCATGACGCCGCACGTTCCAATCTACACGTCTGTTAGTCGGTCCGATGTCTCGAACTCAAAAGTGGATAGGTTGGCACGAACCGTCGGAGCAAGCTCCTCATTGATGGCCGAGATCTCCTCGAGATCAATCTCGCCCGCTCGAAACGCCGCCCAGTTGTTGCGGCAGTCGGTGCACGCCCCAATTCTCTGTCCGCGATTACTGCCCGGCAGCATGGGGCCGGTAATCAAAGGCAGGATTGGTTTGTTGGCTGAGATACCGCCCATCAGCTGTGCTGGCACGGTTTTGTCACAGCCTGCTTCTTGTCAGCTCAGATGATCCTAACAGGAAATTTTATACATTGCTAACCTCCAATCATAATACAGGCATCCAACGGCTGCGCCCGAATCATCTCCTCAGTATCCATACTCATGAGATTCCTCAGAAACATGCTTGTCGGATGCGAGAACGACTCATGGACACTGATAGTAGGAAACTCGACCGCCAATCCCCCATTAAGCTGCACGCCGCGCTTCGCAGCCTCGATCAACTGGGGCACATTGGCGTGACAGGGATTAAACCCCGAGAAGGTGTTGATAATCCCCACGATCGGTCGTGAGAGAGCATCTTCCGAATAGCCCAGTGCCTTGATGAAAACTTTGCGAAGAAACAGCGAGAAATGTGCATCTCCGTACGAGGTGAGACCTTGGCGGAGTCCGGAGGTGGACGTTATGGGCTTGGTGAGATCGTAGTCGGAGTTGACCGGTTCTGGGTCGGTGTTGTTCTGCATTTTCCTCTGGATGAAAAAAATATAGTAATAATCGGTGTATAAATTGAAGTTGATTCACCCCTGGCTTGCTTAAATATGGCGTTGTCCCGAGTGGATGATGGCATCGGTGGACGTCCGACTCGGATATTATTCCGCTTCGACAACCCCGCGTTGTTGGAGATTGAATGGAGCAAGCAAATATTGTCGCCAAACTAGATCACATTGGAAATTCCATTGAATTCATTATTATTTTGGAATTATCGGCTTGCGGCTCTTCAGAACAAAGCGAAGCTGTAGACTGCCTTGCTACAAGGTGGCAAATTCAGTACTTAGTGATATACCTTGGTCCTTCCTTAGGTTCTTTTATATGGATTAGTTCAGTGCATAGGGCTTTGATATTAGAGATCCTACTACGTTCTTTACGAGAAGAAAGACTCCTGCGATCCCGTCCATTGCCACAGGAAAATATTAGAATACATGGATGACATGGAGAATCGGGAATATGCACGCTCAAATACACACGGCAGGGGGAACTTTTTTTGGCAAGGGCCACAGACATCCTTCAACCCCTTCCGAAAGAAATTCGTTGCGATCGTGAACCATACACCGGAACAAAGTGATGACAGCATGGCTTTTGGAATTACCATCCGTCAGGCCCAAACCCGTTGGTCGAGGGGGTCTCTGCCGCAGGAGTAGTGCCGTTCGAGTCGTTGGCACCATTAGCACCACCGCGTCCACGACCGCGTCCGCCACGACCACGACCACGGCCCTCACCGCGACCTCGGCCTTCGCCACGGCCACGGCCACGGAAGCCCTCGCCACGACTGCGTCCACCACGTCCGCGGCTGCGGCCGCCGTTCCCCTTAGCACCGGAAGCATCAGCAGCCGTAGTGTCGAGAGCCGCGGGAGTGGCCTGGAGGCCAGTCTCGGTCTCAGCAGGGTCGCGAGGCACTTCCACCCATCCGTCAGTGGTGGCCGAAGAAGTCATCGAGGTCGGGTCATTAGCATTCCAGCTAGTCTCCGCCACCGGGTTAGCGGAATCCCCCACCATGCTCTGGACGGGCGGAGCCGTCTGGTCAGATCGTGCGAAGCTGTTGGCACCAACGCTGGTATCCTGGAGCTCGGTGAGGCCTGCATTCGCCAGGGTAGGATCCGAGGCTGGGGCGGCCTGGGCGGTGGTCTGCGCAGTGACTGAAGTGGTCTCATCTTCCTCGGGCGAATACTTGGTGGAAGCCACTTTCACATCGTTATCTGCAGAAAGGAGAGTCAGCAAGCAAATCACGAATGAGGGACCATAACTCACAGGTCAATTCAAGCGCATCGCCCTCGACGGCGACCAACTTCTCATCCGAGCCATCAATCAGCTTGATCATCGAATCCACCGCCTCCTGAGAACCACCATAGACCTGGAAGAGAACAGCCTCGAACGAGCGGCTCTCAAGGGAGACTGAGTCACCAGAGCGGCGGATGTTCGCCGCAGCGCACAAGAATTTGCTCAGGGTAAGCAGACGCTCGCGGAGGGCCTGGTTAGAAGCCTCCGTCGCGTCGGCAATCGCGTTCCCACGAACAGCGTCCAGCTCCTCCATGTGGGCCTTCTGCAGCGCGCTCTTCTGGCTAGCCAGGCGCTCCTCGCACTGGGCGGCGAACTGCTTGTAGTGGCCGATCTGCTCCTCGATCTGGGACAGAGTAGCTTGCAGCGCAGGTTTCTTCAGTATCTGGGCCTTCTGGTCGTTGTTGATGATCTTGTCTGCAACGAGATCATCGAGGGACTTGCCCGGGTTTTCGGCGATAATGGCGTCGACCTTGGCGGTGGCATTCTGTAGTGGAAAAGAAACGCGTCAGTCAGGCTGTGCTTGCAGATTATCGCAGACACTCTTACCAGTTTCTTGATCGTGTTGCGGAGGCCCCTGTACGCGAGTGTGGTTAGCTTGCTCGAGCTAGGATTGGCGCAGTTTGGCTGGATCACGATGTGGCCAAATTTGCGATCGTGAGTGTCACGTACTTTTGCAGCTCCTTGAGGTAGTTGTTGTCAGTGCTATCAGTCGAAGCATCGTTGCCGGGGCTCTCGGGGTCAGCTTTGGAGACGCTGGAAGCTCGCGAGGCAGGCTGGTTCTTGTCGGAGTGGTTGACCTTGGCCTTCGTGGCGGAAGCGGGAGACATGATGGAATGTGGGTGACACAGCCGTCAAAGTTAATCTGGGAGGCTGTACAGAAGGGGGCAAGGGGAAGTAAGAAATGCCACTCGCGGGGAACACCGATGGGGGAAAGGCAAGATGGAGGGAAAGATGCAGGGAAGAAGCAGAAGAAGAAAGAAACGAGTCGCGGGACGTCGCCCGAACCTTTTCCTGATCGGGCGACACCACCAAGTATACGGCTAGACCTACACAGCACACTACTCAATCATCAATGGTAAATGAATATTTGCATAACTCGTCCATCCGGGTATCATTTATATATCCAGCACCATACGCCGTAAACCAGTACATGAAACATAAAACACAGCAGCTCAGCAAGCACGATTTGCACCCATTGTATGACTCTCTCACCCTTGGAACTTGCGGAGGGTTTTCTGTATGAACCGACCATCAGTTAGACCTGTATCTCCCTGCGGAGAGTCAATCGCAGGCACTATACACACCTCTGTAACCTTGCGCACCGAGTTGGCCGAGATGTTCTTCTCCCCGGACTTGCGCGACCGGATCGAGGCTTCGCGCATTAGTCTGCAAGCTTGTTAGCGGGATTGGATCGCTGGGACGGCCACCGCAGTCACAAGAATATGAATGAGGGAAAGAGAATGAGGACGCACTCTTGCATGAACAGCATGTAGTCGAGAAAGATCTAGGGGACAACGCGAGTGAGTCGTGCGGCAGTTGCAGGACATGAGAGGCGCAGCCTACCAGGATATCGGCATTTTTGCTCACGTTGCGGTTGGAGTGGGCCTTGACGATGCGCTTGACGGTACCCCGAGGATACAATTTCTGAGTAGCTGGCATGTTGTCTGCGTTGGAGCTGGGAGTTGGGAGTTGGGAGTTGGAGAGAGAGAGACACTCGGGTTTGTTTACAGAGGGGTTATGTAAGCACTCTATTTAACCGGGCCAGCTATACAATTATTATCACATCTATCGGGTCACCGCAATTTCCTCACAAATCGCCAGGCGGAGATAGCTGCCACAGATCCAAGAGCCATACGCCAGGCCAGGAACACATAGATCGCGGCACGCAGTCGTTGGTAGTACCCGCGCAACATGATGCCCACCGCGTACGAGGTCCCGTCTGGCCGATCAGACGGCCCATAGTACCGTCCAACCCCAAGCCCGCCGATACCGACCTCGTTATGGTCGTGATTGGGATCGGACTCTGGCGCGACGGGCAAAGCTTCTGTCTCACTGTCCAGCGCCGTCTCATTGGGGCGGGTGCCCAATCTCACCTGGAGCGCATTGCGTTTCCGCAGGTTATAGGTCAAAAGGCTCACGATCAAACGCAAATCGGGCGCCGTAAAGGTGGGGTATTTCCACAGCTGAACAGCCGTGTGAGGCGGGAGCATATCCAAGAAATCGGCCAAGACGCCGAGGGTCAAGCCCCAGAGCAGAAGGGGGCGGTTCATGTCACCCGAATCTGCTTGGTTGCTCAAGGCCCATGCTTTCAGGCGTTGAACTGCCGATCCGTCTGTTTTCTCGTCGGGTACAAACCCTGGAATAGAGCTGCAGTGCACACTTTCTGAGGGAAGGAGACGAATGGCAGAGAACTGCATCCAGCCCATCACCGAGCGGACCACAAGGCGGGCCAAGAACCCCCCTTGTCGCGTAAACCGCTGCGACATATCCACATATTCCACGGTACGCAGTGATGGAGACAATAGGGCTCGAAGAGGGATCCAATGCGTCGAAGCTACCTCGGTGGGTTGTAACCGGAGCGTGGGAGAATCGCTTCGAGTCGTGAGGAAAACGAACGGACATAGAACCATCAGCCTGGAGAGTATTAGCCACCCATATTGACATCACATCATAAGGTCAATCAGACTTACGGTACAGAACCCCAACTGGTAGTCACCACCCGCTCAGGCAGATTGCCTACGCTGATACAGTCCTCCGTCAGATCCAACCCAATTTCCTCCACTGCCTCCCTAATTGCCGCAGCGCAATCGTCCGCATCCTCCGGGTCTCGTTTTCCCCCGGGTAAGGCAACATGACCCGTCCACCGATCCCCGACCCGCGAAGCGCGCTTTATGAACAGAACCTCGGGATCGCCATGCTGAACCCACGACTGCGAGAAGAAGTTTTCCAGTCGCTGTTCGACAGACAGAGAAGGGTCTTGTGCGGGAGTAGCAATAGCGCCGGGCCAGTGGTCAAAGGTCGGTCGTACCCGGAGGATCAAGGCGACGGAAGCGCGCTTCTTGCAACCCGGTGGATTTGGAACATGCGGGTATGGCCGGCGATGAAGGTCTTTCAGCACGCCATGGAGGGATGATGACAGTGCCATATCAGGGCGAGCAGAGTCCATCTATACAAAGTCGTCGTTATACATCTCCTGCTTGAATGGATGAATGACTGAAGTAACTGCTGCGGATGGACCGAGGTAGATGTTTGCCGTGTTTGCATTGGAAACAGGCCCGGCTGTATACTTCGGGAAGACCAACTGATCTATTTCTTGAATTCTTGGCGACTACTATAGTGTTTTGCTTTCAAAGACTAGACTTGCTTATAGAGTGAAATTGTGAATCGCAATTCGCATATATATACCCTTGCGGTGTACGCTCCTTATCACGCACGCGACGGTCAAAAGCTTCGAGTTCAAAAGTGGGAGAAGAACACGGCCAGACCAGCGATCCGTTATAATCAATGTATGCTTGCTGATCATCCTAGCCAACGAACTATCCTAGAACACACATTTGAGGAGTTGAGATCACCCCGATTGCTCCCCTCCGCGCCCTTCCGCCATTATCCTCCATACACCATGATCACAATGTTAGAGAAAGACTATAAACCTTATTTTCCTCAAAGCTTCCCACCTTATCGTCCCGAGAGTACTAACTAACCAACTATGAATCTTGCATCGTTGGTGTCTCCGGGAGCTTCAGTTGCGTGTGATTGGCTGCCTGCAGCTATCGCAGAGAACCAAGCATTGGCGCACGTTGCGGCGGGAGCACGTGATCTCCGCTTGAGGGGAAAAAAGCCGATGATGCATTCCACTTTACTTTTCTTTGGCCGTTCGTGTTCTCGACCTTGTGAGACCCTGTCTGGAGCTCTCTCTCTACTCTTCCAACATCCCCATAGCTGCAACCCACTCCCTTTTGACATCTTCTCTCTCTCCTCCACTTGGCGGGGTGTACGACATAGCTGCGGGGATCCTGCACGAGCCTGCAATTCACTGCTGAGCAACCATGCGGTTCGGGAAAACACTACGCAACGCGGTGTACCCGCCATGGAAGGGGAAGTACATCGACTACGCCAAGCTCAAGACGCTCTTGCGGGAGCATGATGTCACCGGAGAGGACGCCAGTGACTCGGAGGACAGCCAGTGGACGGAGCAGGACGAGGAGAAGTTTGTCCAGGAATTGATCAATGTGCAGCTGGACAAGGTCAATGCCTTTCAATCCGAAACGTCGAAGCAGCTTCGGGAACGCACCTCCGCCTGCGAGCTCAAGCTGCGACCGTTGGCCCCCGACGCGGAACAAGAGGACCTCGACGCGCAAAAGAAGAGGATCATTGCCTCGGAAGTGCTGCATGAGTTGGACAGTATCACAAAAGAAATAAACGAGCTAGAGAAGTACAGTCGCATCAATTTCACCGGCTTTCTCAAAGCGGCCAAGAAGCATGACCGCAAGCGCGGAGCTCGATACCGCGTGAAGCCCTTGCTGCAGGTGCGTCTGTCACAACTGCCATTCAACTCGGAGGACTACTCGCCGCTTCTGCACCGATTGTCGGTGATGTTCTCCTTTGTGCGGGAGACCCTGAGCCAGGCTCCCGCTCAGCGGGATCCTGCAGACCGTGTCTTCGGTCAAGACTCCTACTCGTCCTACAAATTCTGGGTTCACGAAGACAACGTTTTGGAGGTGAAGACATACATCCTCCGTCAACTCCCCGTCCTAATCTATAACCCCGGGACGTCCAAAGATCTGGACACCCTTGCTGAAGACCCAACCATCACCTCGCTTTACTTTGACAATCCTCATTTCGACCTCTACAACCAAAAGGTGGCCCGCGCCCCCGAAGCAGGGTCTCTGAGATTACGCTGGACTGGTCAGCTAAAAGACAAGCCTACGATTTTCCTGGAGAAGAAGATCGTCACCGACGACGATAGCAGCCGGGAGGTGAAGGTGCAGCTGAAAGAAAAACATGTCAAGGAATTCCTGGAAGGTGAATACCATCTTGACAAGAAGGTGCATCGGATGGAGGACATGGGGAATGGCGAGTCAGCCCAGGCCGAGGCCTTGAAGAGCAACGTGGAGGAGCTTCAGTCGTTCATCAAGGAAAATGATCTGCAGCCTATGCTCCGGGCCAACTACACGCGCACCGCGTTCCAGATTCCTGGCGATGATCGAATTCGCATTTCTCTCGATACCGACCTGGCCTTGATCCGCGAGGATTCGCTCGACAGTGAGCGTCCATGCCGCGATCCGGCCGACTGGCACCGTGCCGACCTGGACGACGCCTCCATGAGGTACCCGTTCAGTGCCGTCAGGACTGGAGAAATTGTTCGCTTCCCCCATGCTTTGCTCGAGATCAAGCTGCGCGGCAAAGCCCACAACGCCGAGTGGATAAGCGACTTGATGGCTTCCCACTTGGTCAAGGATGCCCCGCGCTTCTCCAAATTTGTACATGGTATCGCCCAACTGTTTGAAGATCATGTCAACAGCTTTCCATTTTGGCTGGGCGAGTTGGAAAATGACATTCATCGCGATCCTGAGACTGCATTCCAAGAGGAACAAGAACGATTGGCCAGACGAGCTGAAGATGATATGGCAGTTGGGAGCTTCCTGGGGACAGGCAGTCCCGCTGGTCGTCCGATAATAGGATCCCCTTACCGTCGATACTCAGAAGTAGGGTCACCTTCGACGGTGAGGAGGCCATCGGGGCCCGCTGAGCCCAGAGCAGTGCCATCACGCCCCTCGATTCCTGAGATTCGACCTCAAGAACCCGAAGTACGTGCCAAACCTACTGAAGTTCCTGCCAAGGTCTCTCGTTTTACCTCGATGCTTCCGTCATTTGGTAGTACTCGCCTTGCGGGACGGGAAGCCGCCGTCGCTCTTCCACCCGGCGTTCGCCACCCGGGCACCTGGATCAAGGACTCAGGACCCGTTCGTGTGGAAACCAAGGTCTGGCTTGCCAACCAGCGAACATTCATTAAATGGCTGCACGTCAGTATCCTTTTGTCGAGTCTGTCACTAGGTCTCTACAACGCCGCCGGCAAGCACAACCGGATAGCCCAAGCATTGGCCGTGGTGTACACCTTCTTTGCACTCTTCGCCGCGGCCTGGGGCTGGTTCATGTATGTGAAGCGTGCGCGGCTCATCAGCCAGCGGAGCGGCAAGGATCTGGATAACATGTTTGGGCCAATCGTGGTTTGCATTGGCTTGGCGGTGGCTTTGGTTCTGAACTTTGTCTTCAAGGTAAGTTCGTTTTGAATCGTTGCAAGTGGTATAGCTAACTCCTGAGGGTAGTACTCGTCGATGTTGGAGCAAAATCGGGGACATAGTCCGCCGCTTGGAGGTCCCGTCCACTCTAACTCGTCGAATCTGTTTGATGGCGATTCGAGTGCATTGCGAACGCTAGTCAACCAGGCTGAGCAGCAGATCCTACAGTAAACTCCGCTATCTTTGTACTTGAAGCCTGGTCAACAGATCGTATGTATTGTTGCACATTTCGAAATCTTTGGTTCTTGAACATACAAAATTTCAGATGTATCTCTCAGTGAGGCCTGCGAATCGTCCTAGTTGTGTGATATATTGTACCATGAGGCATATATGTCAGTTCAAACGGTGTATCTGGATCACGAATGATTTGAGAATTGCACTTCCTCGGCATCATATCATTACTAGTAGTGTACATGAACTTACGCCTATATCTACATAGACTCACCTATATTACACAAGCATACCTCTTTAGCTCTTATTCCATCTCATCACTCTATTTTATCCTAATAACCAAGCGTAGTGAAGCAATGTCCCTAGCACGGCGCTGACAAATCCGCAGTTAATGCAAACGAGACTGGGGCAAAAGTACATCCCTCATCCCAAAACCCCTCAGTCTCCCTTCCAGCACCATCGCAGGCATCCAAAATGACCAACTTCAACATCCAAATCATCTCCGACACTGTGTGTCCGGTAAGCGTGCTTCCTCCCCGTATATCAAGGTCGCTGTCTGCCAGGGACATACATCCCCACCTCCGGCACAATGACATCACGCCACGGCCCGTGCAAATGAATAAATAACTAATGAAATGCAGTGGTGCTATGTCGGCTACCGACGCCTCTCGCGCGCCATAACAGCTCACAAAACCAGCTACCCGACTGATACGTTCAGTCTCACCTGGCGGGCATTCTACCTCAACCCCGCCTCGCCGGGGTTTCCGGGTGTGGACAAGCAAGAGGCGTACAAGCTGAAGTTCGGTGCGGCCCGCACAGAAATGATGCAGCAGCGTCTAGCTTCCGTGGGCGAGGCAGATGGAATCGCGTTCAAGTTTGGCGGGAAGACGGGCTCGACGAGGGATTCGCATCGCTTGCTGTGGTATGCGCACCAGCAGGAACAGCAGCAAGAGAAGACCACTGCCTCTACGACCGGTGCTCCCGGCGGATTGCAGACTCGCGTCGTGGAGAATCTGTTCCGGGCTTATTTTGAGGAGGAGTTGAATATTACGGATCCCGCTGTGCTGGCTGACGCTGCTGTGAAGGCGGGACTGGGTCGGGATGAGGTGGAGAAGGTGCTTAGGGAGGAGGTTGGTGGGCAGGAGGTTGATCGGGAGGCGAAGAGTGCGTCCCAGCAGCTTGTTAGTGGTGTGCCGTATTTCACGATCCAGGGGAAGTATATCATTGAGGGCGCGGATGAGCCGGAGAGCTTTTTGGAGGCCTTTGAGCGAGTCAAGCAGGATGAATAGTTAGTTACGCCTTAACATGTACTTATTTCAGAATCTACTGGTTGCAGATTAAAACATTTCTTATCAATTGCGAGCTAAATTGATCATAGAAGCAGAGTAGAGCAAGCAAGGCCCACCGTCATTCAATCTGCTCAATGTACGTGGTTGATAGAGCATGGCTGGGTGAACGCCAAAGAACCATGCAGAGACAGCGAGCATCATGAGGTAGGGAAAGCAAAAACAAGAATAAGAATAAACGCCCGTTATGCACCGCGCATCCACGAAAGCAAGTAAAGGAAAAGATTCAGCATGGTAATACACTAGTGTAGATGGGGCAGAGATACGATCCCCACGGACACCGGAGAGAAAGAATGAAGCAATCGTCAAGGGTCATAGCATGTCGTCAG